CGCCCCCCCCCCCCGTGGATCTCCCTCCCTCCACAACGCAGCGACGGAGGTCCTCCGTAGAAGATCGGCCTCGACTAAACCTCCCCCCCCTGGCGGCTGCCGTACACAATTCTCTGCGACCGTGCGTTCCGCTCTTTCTACCCCAACCGCGACAGCATCGAGGGATCGCATCTTGCCAATTCATGTTTTGACGGGCGATCCACACTGCGGATACTCGAGGAGGACGAGTCGCCGCTGAGATAGGATAGGATAGGAGAGGTCACCCAGGTTGTGCTGTCGCCCGAACCTGGTGGTAATCCAAGATGGAGTCGCCGGCCGATTACTTGGATTCTCCTATGGATGCTGATGATATCCCATACCCGTGCAAAGGATGTGGAGAGGTACGTTGCTTCTACGAGAGCAGAACTTCGTGGCCGCACACTGACAGTCTTTTCCAGATTCTCGAGGAAGGGAAGGCCTTCGAGCTTGGTAAGTGATCACATCTCTCGTCGCCCCATCCTGCGCGCCATAATCTATCAATCAGCAACGAGATGATCTGGCACCATTATGAGGGCTCCAAACGCTCGATGTTCATTCAATCTAACGAATCTACAGCTGGGAACCGATGGCATCTGAATTGTTTTCGATGCAACACCTGCGGGACACTACTCGACTCGGATGCGAACCTGCTCCTTCTCGGCGATGGCTCCCTCATCTGCAACAATTGTACATACAGCTGCAGCGCCTGCGGCAACAAGATCGAAGACCTGGCTATCCTCACGGGCGACCAAGCCTTCTGCGCGAGTTGCTTTCGGTGTCGGAACTGCAAGCGGAAGATCGAGAACCTCAGATACGCGAGAACTTCACAAGGCATATTTTGCATGAGTTGTCATGAATCTCTAATGGCTAGACGGAGGAAGAAGTCAAGAGCAGCGGCGAATGCGAAAAAGAAAGAAGACCAGTCACCACTGTTGGTCGAAAAATCCCTCCCAGCGCTGCCACCCAACGCCCTTCCACAGAGCGCCTTCTCCGATCATGAAACTCCTCCCGCGATAGAAACCGATACTCCAACAGAGCTCTCTCCACCACCCCGCCGAACATACCATAATGATTCATCTTCGAGAAGCAGTTCACGGCAGACCCGCGAGCAGTCTCCAGCAGGACAAATCTCGAATGATATTCCTAATCTGACCCTACCGACGACTACTTACCGGAGCAATAGACATTCGGTCATCTCTGATCTCAACAACGGCGATGGCGAAAGTTTCTTCATACCTCTTGCGTTAGATCCCAGCTCTGCTCCCCCGATGGGCTCTCGAACGACATCTGAGACACGGATGGACCCAACGAAGAAAAGCAGAGAGAATAGGGCTCCAGAGAGGGATCGTTTCAGCACCAAACCAGATGCTAGATCACGGGAAACAAGCTCATCAGCGTCCCCCGCCCCGCATATCGCGTTTCAGGAGAAGGGCAGGCAACCTTCGGCCGAGGAGACCGCCCAGATCAAGGATAATATACGCAAGGCAATGCTAGGGAGCACACCACCCTCTACGAAGGAGTCCCCTTCTGCTGATGATACTAAGGCTCAGCATGCCCATTCTCCCTCGGTGAATGGGAAGGAAAAGAACCAAACATCGAGCGAGAAATTCCGGCTGGGAGATGTGCCAAAGGGTAAGAGAAATGGACCCTTGAGGAACGATTCCCAGTCCGAGGCACCTCTGAGCGAGAACTTATCCAAGTCTGCTTCTGGTAGTCTACCAACCGCCTCACACCGCAAAGATGCATCGGCTAGTATTCCGAGAAGTAGTTCACCGAAACCATCGGCGGGTTCAGAAAGAGCTGGCACTCCCCAATCTTCACAGGATTCAAGGTCAAGAGAAGATGAACCTCGAAAGTCCGAAGAGTCGAACCGATCCATACCAGTTTCAAGGGTAGATTCCGGAGGGACGTCAAAGTCTATACCTCGAAAGGAGATCGGTACTGGCGTAGCGAAGAATAACGTCAGTTCAGTGAGCTCGTCTTCCAGCGCGGATACATGCCCATCATCTGCCTCGTCCACAGAATCGCCAGGGATTACCCCAACTCTCCATGGTAAGACCATCTCCGCGCCTCTAAATACATTACCCCTGGGCGAGGAGCTAGCACATCCTAGCCGTACCACATCGACACGTCCATCTGGCCCTCAACAGCAAATCAGTGATTCCTATATGGCCCCGAGAGCAGCACCACCAGCTCCCCTGGCATCTCCTCAAGCTGTTAAGGAGCTGCAGAGTTCGTCAAACGGGCTACCTGGTTCCCCTAACCTACCAAGGTGGAGCTCCGGTGGGGATTTCACTATGGATGAGGATATGGCGCGGATCCTGGGAGGCACTGATGAGAGCTCACAATCAATACTCCGACGTGTTTCAAACGCTGTGCGTCATGGTAGGAGCGGAAGTGAAGCAAGCATTTCAGCTCGGCATCCGGGTCACAATCGCAGTGTTAGCGAGACGACAACACGCACAGCACAGTCACCCCGCTGGCCCAAATCACCACCACTTGCTGAAGATGCAAACATTTTGGCACGCGAGATCAGCAGCCCCATATCAATCCATTCTCCCGTGGGCGATGACCCTGCCCTATTACGAAGACAACTGCGCAACTCTGAACAGCGAGTGGCCGAGCTCGAACGGCAGTTCACGAATGAAAAGGACCTTAAGAATTTGAATAGGAAACTCATTGAAAAGAGAAAAACCGTTTCCGTCCTGGATTCACAGACCGAAATCATGATTCGACAACTTGAGGTTCTAGCTGGATACGTGGAGAGGGCCAAGGATTCGAAACAACCTATCAACATTGCCGAATTGGAAGATTCGGCGATTAAGGAGTTCGTGCAGAAACTTGAGAAACTAAAGCAAACCATGTCAGGCGCTGTTGAGTCATTATACGAAGAACGAAACGAGCTCCTGGAAGAGAAGAACCAGATTATGGCAGATCGAGATCGGGCTTTGATCGAGTTTGAGCAGCTGTCTTCCAAGAACGCACAACTTGCCGATCTGAACAATGATTTAACTCACCAGATTCAAGAGCGCTTCAAGTCTCAGAGTGGGCACATCTTAGACAGCCCGAGAGCTCCTATGAATGTTCTGGGGATTTACACTTCCCACAGCAAAGAGAAGTCTAACGTGTCCCTGCATCTAGACGATCCAAGCCTTCGACCATCAACCAGCACAACCTTGCTAGGCTCCGCCAGCCAGCAGTCCATAGACCAAGATCCAAACGGGGAATCAGCAACAGTCTTGTCTGCACCACAGGTGATAAACATCCGCAAAGGCCAGGTGAAAAAGTTCAACTGGAAGAAAGGCGGTCAGACAGTGGCCAAGGGTGTTTCCAAAGGCTTCAAAGGTGCCTTCTCATCAACTGATAGAGAGCGGAATCCGCAGTGGGCTGGCCAAACCGGCGATAGCATTGGAATGCCGTACAATATGACTGTGACGGCAGTCGAGGCACCAGCACAACCAAATGGCCAGAACCGCCCTCCTCCGAATGATCCATCAAGGCAAGGATTCGCCTTGTTCAAGAAGTCCAACGCCATGCAAAAATCGATGGCGAACGGAGTCGCTGCGGTCGCTGAAGCTCCGTCGACCCTGTTTGGGTCGGATTTGGTAGAGCGGGCAGATTACGAGCGTCGTCAGATTCCAAGTGTGGTCACGCGTTGTATTGAGGAAGTCGAGTTACGAGGAATGGATATCGAGGGCATCTATCGGAAAACCGGTGGGAGTGGTCAAGTCAAGATCATTCAAGAAGGGTTCGAGAGGACTGATGATTACGATATTTCTGATCCGGATCTGGATATCACGGCTGTGACGAGTGTCCTTAAGCAGTATTTCAGGAAGCTGCCCATACCGCTTATAACCTTTGAGGTCTACGACCGCGTTCTGGAATCAATTTGTGAGCTCTACCCTCCTGCTTGGGAGAATACTGCTAACATTATCCCAGCTATCACGGATGAAAAAGAACGTTGTGCTCATCTTCGGAAGACTTTCAATATGCTGCCTCCCAAGCATCGGGATTGCCTCGAGTTCCTGATCTTCCATCTTGCTCGTGTTGCGGTGAGGGAGAGGGAGAATCTAGTATGTTTCGCGACCCAGACTTGATGAATCTTCAGACTAACCTATTACAGATGTCACCCAAAAATCTTGCCGTCGTCTTCGCACCTACGATAATGCGAGACCACAGCTTGGAACGCGAAATGACCGACATGCACTCGAAAAACAACGCAGTTCAATTCGTCATCGAAAATAGTAACGAGATATTCGGCAGCGCATAAACATATTTACACCACCTTGCTTACGGCACATATAATTTGCACCCGGTACCTCTCCGAATTGTACATTTTTTTCATCATCCTGGCCGGTAATTGGCTGGCGTTACGTTTGTTTACGTTTGGATTCAGCGACTTGATTGATGGAGGGCCGGATGGTTATCCCTCATCTATGGCGTTTTTACTACCTCTTTTTGTGTTTAATGAGATGCAGCCCGTTAAATTGATATCCCTTTCTGTTCCTGGGGTGTTGGGGAGCTTCTTGACCTGGGGTGAGGATGATTGACGAGGACTTCCGATTCGATTCTACGTTCACGAGAGAGCAGGAGAGCAATGGTGGGGAGGTGATCTGCGGGCGGCAGGTATTTTGAACTTAGCATCGTTGTAGTACATATTCCTTGGTAACGATGAAATGAATGGCTCCTTCCTTCCAAAACTAGCTATTTTTCCCGTGACTGCGTTGAAACCACATGTATAAACTTCCCCGTAGTATGTATATTTTCTACAAGCGAGCCTCTGGATACTCGAGACTACTTGCCTGCCTGCTCGCCTGCCTCTATCTTCATCGCACCTTCACCTCCGCCCAGCCCCAGAATTCAAACCCCGAATTTAACCATTCTATCAACTACCTTATCCCATTCAATAAAAGAAGTTCTAAATCCACCTGGATATCTAGCGCCTTTCGCAATTATCTGCTCACTAAGGTATTATGACTCTCCTTTTGTATTAAGTGCTGAACACAGAAATCTATTGTGTGAATATAAAGCGGGGAAGATAAGTAGAGATTTATATATTGGTTTATCGGGTGTGGTTTTAGGAGGTTTATTCGGAGAGGGGTGGGCTTTCGCGTATTAAGGGGGTTTCGCTTTCGCTTACACCCGGCGACACCCCCCTTTCTTTGACGAGTTTCGAACACTTCTACGAGCAGCGAAACTGACTACATACTCTGTAAAACTCGTCTCCACACCTAATGTACCCATGAGAGATAAAATTTGAGGTTTGCTAAATGCATCTTAGACGATGAGGTTCTAAGTGTCATGAAGTCAATGTCGTAAGTCTGCACGGATTTTGATGGTCTTGGTTTGGTAGTGAATAAGAAGATTGGCTGGAAAGTATATTTCTCGTTGTCATGAATGTTTTGTTGTCATTCGTAGTTATTATCATCAGTGAGCGAGTGAGTGAATGAATCGCGAGGATTGATATAATATTCATTTAATCCATATCTCGTAGAACTCTCACCTATCTATCTATCTACAACACAATTATACCCTTGCAGCGAATGCTCCGTCTTTATGACTCTATCTCTTTTAGAACTGGAACGACTTGTTGAAGCTCTTCCTTCCATCAGCAATGCCGATTCTTATATGATATACCCGACCTATTTATTCATTATCCCACGATGCCCAAGAAAACCAACAGCCTCCAAGGCTTCCTCCGTAACGAGGTCCTAAAGAACCGAATCCGGCCTCCAAGCCCTCCACCACCATTGGAAAGAAGCACTCCTCTCGTATCCTCAGAAGACATCCCCGCCTCCGACGCAGATAGTCTATTCGGCGAGTCTATATGCATCCCAGATAAAGAGCACCCAGACAAAAAAGAGCAACTTATATCCCCACAACTAAAGCAGCTCCTCTCACAACCTACATTCACGACCGCACCATCGCGCGCTCCGACACTCGTCAAGCCCGCTCTGCAGGACCTGAGAGAAGATCTTAAAAGCTTGGTCTATGCAGAAGAAGAAGCTGGTTCACGAGAAAAAAATCTGGTGAGAAGACAGAGGGTCGCTTTGCTGAATGAGATTGGCTGGGTGGAAGCTGAGGAGAGGAGGGCGAGAGAGGAGGAGTGGAAAGGTGAGTTAATTGTCTTCTTCCTATATATTATTGAATATTATTCTTCCACAATCGTTCGAGCGGCAGACAGAGAATAAGGGCTGATATATGATTTACGTATAGCAAGATTTGAAGAACAGCGCAAGACGTTGCCAGAACCGCTCAGCCAGTGGGAGAAGAAGCGGTTGGGTTGGGCCAAGGCAAGGCTTGAGAAAGAGAGGAGTAGGTTAGAGGTAAGAACCCGGGATTCGCCTCTCCTCAATCATCTTTGATTGATAAATCATGAATCATAGAGCTAACTGTAGTTTCTTTTCGCCTTGCTCAGAAGACACCGAAGAGACAACGAGAAGAAGACCTCGACGATCTGGACGGGGAAGAACGGCACCGGCTCGGTGTGAACACAAAGCGGAAAGCACCTTGCCTAACAGGGCATTGGAACTCAACTATTCATGACTACTTCCCGGGTCTTGGAAGAGAGAGTGAGGATGGCCAAGGCAGAGAGGCATTGACTTTGAGAGAGGTCGATCCGGAGGAGCGAGCGCTGTTGAGGAGGGAGCTGGCGGAGATGGGTGAGCGCTTGGCAAGGGAGGAGAGGAGGAGGCAGAGACGGGCAATTTTCAACAATGAGGTTTTTTGAGAATTGTTGTTGCGCGACGTGCTACTAAGCGCTGGATTCTAAGGAATGTCTGGTTTGGGCGGAATGAATAGGGGCATGGTCACGTGAATTTCAGAAGCCCGTTTGGTCTTCTCACCCTTGAACCATATAAATATCCAGGGAACTCAGTTTGCTTTTATATTTTTCTTCGTCAGCTAGTAATTTCAAAGCTCTCTTCTTCAACCGACAAATCTTATGCGAACTTATTGTGTCTGCCCAGAAGCTAACTTAAAGCCACATGCCTCTCATGACGAGCGGAAGGAGGTCAAACACCTCGATGTTATTGAAGATGAGAATCGAAAAGCCTAAAAGTGACATAACAAAGAACCAATCAAAACTTATTGTAATTGTAGAAAGCGCGTTATTGTGACTGGATTCCAAGTACTTGCTTGCTGTTGTGGCCTGTGGATATTGCCAAAGGGGGTATGCTTACGCCAGCAACAATAAGCTCCCTAGGTAGCTATTATATGCGATCACGATTTTAATCGAAGGGTCAAAATAAATATCTAGGTGAGAATTGAAAGAAACGTTATAAAGACGTTTTATACACGAGACCCATGCACTCGTTTAATTCCAAGAGTCATTCATTCACTTGTTGATATAATATATGTACGTGCCCGCAACGCGCCTTCTCTTACTCTAAGCAACACAGCACAAACAGACAAACAAACAACTCCACAATTTCTTAAATCCAATTGTCAGTCTTCTGATGCGAGACTAAGAACTCGACAACGTTTGCTGTTTTGTTTTTTCTCGCGCTTTCTGTTGGCTCTGCCTCTTGCTGCGTACCTCGGTCACTCAGCTTAGAAGCAGCAACATGGCCACCCCAAGCGTCCCAGGGCGATTGAAGACGCCCAGCGACATCAAGCCCCAGATCAAGTGGGGCTCCCACGAGGAGAGAAAAGTCATGGAGCTTCTGAGTGCGCAGATCGAGGCTGAAAACAGAGGTGAGACTGATGAGCTTAATATGGACCAAACTTGGAGCCTCTTGTCAACCAAGTTGCAGGAGCATGGATACTCAAGAACCCCTAAAGCTTTGCAACGTCGGTTTGGCCCGCAGGTCAAGCTGGATCAACCCTGGAAGAGAAAATCCGGACTCGGCCAAAAAGGTAAATCGCCAGACTTGGACGACATACCGAACGATGGTCGATTCTATGCTGGTGGCGACTCTGCCCAGGTCAATACTACGGACTCGTCTGACACTATTATTGTCGAGGCGCCTTCAGCTACCAATACATTTTCTGCTCAAGCTATGAAAGCTGGTCCAGGCCAGGTACGAGGTATGTAGCCTCAAATTCATTATGCAAGACGCCCAGCTATTGACTTAACTCAAAGTAAAAAGTGATATCGTATCCATGGGTAAGTGACCGTTGGATATACCTAAGAAGGCTACTCGCTGATTTGAAAATAGTCAAGAAGAATATTGCATCCAAAGGTAGGGTTTAAATACACTTAAGCAAGGCAACTCGTTGACTCAACGTAAAGCAGAGAGTAAACTAGATAAGGCAAAAAGAATACATCGAAAGAGACCATCAAGCGAGAAAAGGCCTGGCTCTTCACATGCGACCAGCGCTCCGAATCTGACGGCCGGACTCAGAAAGGATCCTAATCCATCAACGGGAGAATCTCAACAATCGTTTGTGGAACCATACAAGACCTCGGGGATCCTCAGCGTATGCATACCTCTGAAACCTAGCGTTGCTTATATCTCTTAACACTAATGATGCCTTTTCAGAATAGAATTGGGTACAATGTTGATGTAGAAGCAGCTCATACTCGACCTGGAGTGAAGCGGAGCACGCCTACGCTAGGGGGATCGGAACCACTCCAAACCCAGAAAGCTGGACCTGATATACAGAGCCACCCTGCTAAAAAGGCGCGCATTGAGAGCAATCCAGAAGTCCAGTTCGCGGGTATCAAAGGCTCTCAGTCGAATGTATGTCCTCCTGTCAGTGACCGAGATGATATAGAGGGACGATACTAACCGAAGGTACAGATCATCCCTTCTATTGCCCATGATAAATCGAACCTGAACCCGATGAGTTCTCAAAACCCCGTGTCTGTTTCTCAACCGATCTTGAACCCAATCCGACCCGTCTCGACCGAGCCCTTTACACCAACTATGGAGTCCGTCCTTCGGGAAACACCTGCCCAGACCATAGTTCCCCAGGCTGTCAATAATAATCTGGGCGGACCATCGGGAGGCAAGGTACCAGGTACCAAGCTGGACATCCAGAAGGGGGTATCCACCCTAGAGAATGATGTCGCAGTGTCTGATGAATACTACCATCAGGTTTCAAACCGCATGGTCAAGGCTCACAACGACGAAATCGAAAGAGTAAAGGCAAAGAGGCAAGAGGAGATCGAAGCCATGGAGAGAGATGGTGTCAAAATTAGGGAAGCGGAGAACCTAATCGCCGAGCTAAAGGCCGTGAAAGGCAATAAGGAGACAGAAATCAAGAGCCTCGACCACGAGGTCCTGCGCTTGGAAAAGAAGAAGCAGGCGATCATAAGGATGCAGACTGAGTGGGCTGCTGCTGATCCATAAGCTGATTTTGGAGTCTCTTGCATGGTTAATGGCGGTCGGGTTGAAGGATCCCTATATGGACATGCAAAGTTCATCATTGGGCCAAATCTCATTCTGCTCTCCAACCAGAAGCCCGTTCCGATGCTTATTGCTTTTGAGGATCAGAAGAAATGGCATTTCAGAATAATTACAAATTCATCCCAGGAAACCTCGAGCTGCTTTTGTAAACCTAAAATTCTGACTTCCCCTACTGACTGAGTATGGCCTGTGAATATAGAGGGTTGATAAGGACTGATATTGATTGAGACTAACAGAAAACGAATGATCTCGCGGGTATAGAGGCTTTAAATAAACCAGGGACTGGGAGAGAGACTGTATCGCCTCCTTCTGGATGAGGCGTTGGAATTGTTTTCTTTCTGAAAGTGGGGTACGAGGGCGCCAATCTTTTGGGTTATATCAAACTTTCGTCGAGAGAAACCTTTATCGCCTTCGGGATCTCGTCGTGGGAGCGTCGCAGGAATATCCGGGCTGTTCTGAGGCTGGCCGACTCATGTATCTAATAACCAGTAACTCATTACCGCCAGACTGACCTGGTCCTTTCCGCTTCCAAAACGAGGATATCTTCCCATGATTGATACGTATTCTTGTGGTGGAGCATCTCCCCTTGTGGACTTATTCGCCGACCATCTTCTTAACCCTTTCCAAGAGCACTTTCGACTCTTTCCCCAATTTCCTTTGTCCATTCTTCCCACCCGTCCTCGCCTTAGCCATCGCCTTCCGGAACCGCTCCCTCTCCTCAATCTTCTGTCTTCGTTCTCTGTCCCTCCTCTCGAATTCCGCTCTCCTAGCTTCTGCCTCCGCTTTCCGCTGTTCTGCAATTGCTAGCTCCTTCTCGAAATACTTCGGCCGCTTTGGCCGTCTCTCCCTAGGACGCTGTTGTGATTCGGATTGAGGTGGCGGGGTTGGTTCTTTGGGAGCATCGAGCATAGCCTGTCGTTCGGGGTGGATTACTTGGGACGGTTCGGGGGCAGGCTCTTGGAGGATGGCAGCGAGTGCCCGAGGTTCTTCGATCGGCTCCCGTGCTTTGATTTTGGCGTAGGATTTCTTGACCTTAGCCTTGTAGATAAGATCCTTCTTGATCTTGACCACTGCTGTAGGTTAATACTACTGCTTCTTCTCTGGGGCTGGGATTGCAGACCTTTTCTTCTCCATGTTCCGTCTGGTAGGTTGTCGGGGCCGACTTTGAATCCTGTGCGGGGCCTCTTTGGCTGCGATGCAGCCGCATCATCTTCGAGAGGTCTCTTGGGTGCCATTGCTTCCTCTTTTTTTTTATCGTGCTGGGAATATTGCAGGTTGCAACGGTTCAGTTGTTCTGTATCTGAAGTCGAGTCGCGGGACCCAAAGTTCCTATTGAGACTTGACCAGGATAGGCAAGGCTTTTTCTGGGCCGTTTTTGTGGCATGTCGAGGCTAGCAGGGATTAGATTCGGCCGGCGGGAGCGATAACGGATTGCCCATGACCTCTCCAAGTGACTCGACGAGATTTCCTGTTCCTCAACTTCGACACTTCAACACGCATTGCTCGTTCATCGACCCGCTGTATATCCTCAGAAAACGTTCTCTTCGAGAGGGACTGCGAGTTGTGGCAGTCGCAGTGTCGCGGGACAGGGTCATCTATTCCTGGATTAGCTTGTTGCATAGAGTGAACCAAGCTTCCGCCACTTAAATAAGGGTCCTGCATATTGAACGACGCCCAGGAACCAGGCGGGGACGACATTCCTCAGAGCTCCTCCTCTCTAACGACGACCACTCTCGGGGAATACTTCGATCACTTAATAATGAATGCGTAACGAACACAAAGGGAGCACATAAAAGCTCCAGAATGCCTATTTTTCAGGATGACCTTGGCGGTGACCGAGGTCTACCGCCCAAAAGGCCCACGATATCACCGCTTTCGAACTCGCCACTCGAGAGGAACGTGGTGTCGAGAAAGGCTTCAGAGGAGAGTATAAGAACAGAACTATGCGAGGGGCCTCTTCCAGACGACCCCGGAAATCCAGGTGCCAGTCCTGCGGATTTAAACACAACCTTCACATTTCCAATACATGGAACATCAGACCGGATTGAACTCATTGAGCGGCTCAAGAAGGGGGCGAGCTCAACTTGGTGGCCAGATCGAAACGTGAGAAGATTTCTCCCATTCATATCCCTTCTTGATGACAGCTAATACCTTCTAATAGCTTGGATCTCCTCTCCGTGATAAAGATCAACAGACTCCTCGCACGCCTTCACGAAAACCTTCGAATAAATCATCTCTTCTACCATCCCCCGAGATTTCAGAACAAGGGAGATCGCGGGCCCTTGATATCGAGCGATCTCAAGCAGGTCAAGAAATCGAGCGGCCACGATCGGCTCTACACAGTGGTGATTTCACACAAGGACCTCATCAGAGTACAAGCGATCATAAGCTTCTAGAAGCAAGTGCTGGATTATATACTTCGGAGCGACAAGAATGGCTTGCTACATCTCCCCCGCGGAACTTCTCGCCTTTTCAGCTCGACCCCAGGTTCCCAGCTGTAGATCAAGTCGATGGAGCACGATCTCGGGCTCCCTCACTGTCATCTTCATATTCGTCAAGCTTCGTGCTGAAACCACCCACCAGTCCCTTGGTGCAATCGGAAAGCAACGATGACTTGGATTTTTCTCCGCGCGTTGACCCGATCAATATCACGCCCGGTTCCCAAAAGAGCCATCGAAGACATACGTTACAAGCAGCACATTCCCTTCATTCGACGCCTTCAGTTCCGAGTGCGTCGAGTTTCAATAGGCCATTACCTCATTTACGACGGGATTATTCACATCCATATCAGGCTCATCAACCAAGGAGGTCTCTGGCTTCCAACCAGATGGGACCACCGACATCTTCGCCCCAGACACCAGCGCTCTTTCGATCACGGAGACCCTCTTTTACTTCCGATAGCTCGCCTCTTCAAGCACCGATGGTTGGCTCTTATGAAGAAAGCATCCTCCGTGGGCGGATGTCAACCACGCCCTCGAAACCTCTGGATTTCGTCGCTCAAATCGGTGTGTTGGGTCTCGGTAAGTGCAAGTCGAGTCTTCGGTGTCCGGCTCACGTAACTATACCATTTCCGGCGGTATTCTACAGCTATGATTCAACGCCCCATCGCCGTGCGGGGGCAACTGAAGACGGGCCAAGTCCTTATGTTGGCTTAATCGATCTCGAGAACAATCTTCCAAACCCAGACGAGGTACGGGATAGTAAGCGAAAGCGACATACTTCCAATACTGGGGGAAACCGCTTGGATGACCTTGATATGATTGATGGCCCAAATAATACAAATCAAATATCAGAACATGGGCTCCGGCGGGCTGAGAAGCAAAAGCGGAGATCAACATCACCCAGAGCTCCTCCAGGGGGTAGTTACAGAATACCGGAAAAGGGACAACTTCAAATTATTATTAAGAACCCCAACAAGACTGCCGTCAAGTTGTTCCTTGTTCCTTACGATCTTGCTGGTATGGAACCAGGTACAAAGACCTTCATCCGCCAACGCAGCTATTCTGCTGGCCCTATTATTGACCATGCGTTATCGTCGTCGCCACAGGTCCCAGTAGCAAATTCCTTAGAACGACCAACTCTACGTTATCTTATACATCTACATATATGCTCACCATCTCGCGGTCGATTTTACCTTTACAAAAGCATTAGAGTTGTGTTTGCAAATCGAGTCCCTGACGGGAAGGAGAAGTTACAGAATGAGATTTCCTTACCTGAACCAAGATTTAGCATATACAAACCTGGTCGGGATTCCAGTCTCGGCCTTGGGCTTCTCAACGGCGCAGGTGCAAGTCTGACCGCCGAAAAAGCTTTTAGAAGGCGAAGCTCAGGCTTTCCTCTTGCTCCGTCACATCAAAACTTTGATGCGATGGACGGGATTACACCGTCTTTCGAGAATGGTTTCAGCGGCGGGCCATCGTTCCCGCATGGGCGGCAGTTGAGCACCACCCCTGTTCAACCTATCCCATTCAGCCTTTACCGGCAGACCCATCGCCATTATTCGGGCGATTCCGGTCAAGAACGGCCTTCCAACATCCAATCTCCAACGTCAAGTAAGAGTAGCCAGCCACCGACATCACAAGGATCAGAAACATCCTGGAACAGCAGTTCAAATATCGGTAGCTACGACAAGCTTCACAAAGGAGACGTTGGGTACGGCGGCAATGCCTTCACCGGGTCTCCGGATGGAAAGCAGGTAGCTGAAGGCCTTCTCGCAAAGAAACTACGGGACCTAGGTGTCGGAAGCCCCAATCAACAACAAGATCGTCTGGACGGCATGTGAATTACTTACCTAGCTACTTACTGTTGGAGTATCCTTTTTACTTTCGGTATACCCGGACTGGAGCAAGGTGCTTTGGATACTCGGGGGTAAGGGATCATCCATTGAAATTATCTGATCTATCTATCTATATTGGCGTACATATACAGGTTCTATGAGTGATGACTTACTTACTCTCTTATCTTTTTTCTATAGTTCTATCTATCACGTATGATATATGAAATGAAATGAAATGAATATAACATGAACATAACATGAACACAACAGAAGTCTACCCCTACTGCATACTTCATTACCGCTATCATGATCTTGAAATAATTGAACGTATCATAAAAGCCGCTTGCTTAGACACGATTCCCGAACCCCAGACCCGGACGAGGACGAGGAAGAGGAAGAAGTTCGTATGTACCTATGTTTGTCTGGTTTTGATACGTGTTCTTATCTATATATCCATCAATCACCAAGGCATGCGAACAATATACCAAAACATATACCTTAGATAGATAGATATATATATAAATCCTAGGATGAATAATGAATCTCGACTTCAAATATCATCATCATCATCATCATCGTCTTCGTCAATCTAGCAGCCCGGTGCCATAATTAGATACCTTACCTAACCTTACCATACCTTACTCATATTCAAGAATCTGGCGCCTGGCGTACCTACAGCAGAAGAAGCAAGCACTCATGAAATATTCTCCAGTAAAAGAGGAGGAGATTTCAGGTCATAACTTTTTACGAAGTTTTCATGTCTATCCTTGGTTTCATCGCCATCTATGACGCAGCAGAATAGCAACAGAGTAGAGCAAGTCTCAAGTCTTCTGCTCCCGCCACCGCAAGAATTCCAGAAAAGAAAGAAAGAAAAGGGCGAAAACAAAAAGATTTCCCGCGATCCTACTACGGTGGTCAATCTGATTCGAGATTGCTAATTCCTCCCATTAGTCCCTTCATGAATCATTAACCCTTCTATGGTCATGTACATCTACTTTTCCTCTGGCTCGGTGACCTCATCCGGCTTTGCGGTTTCCGCCGCATCTGGCATTTCCTGGTCAGGCTTGTTGGCCGCCTCCTGTGCCATAGCAGCCGCCTTGGCTGCCTCAGCCATCTCGCGCTTCTTGGCGGCTTCAGCCTCCGCCGCAGCCTGGGCTGCCGCACGCTCCTCCTCGATCTTGTCAAAGTAGCGTTGGACAATTGGGCCAGCAACTGCACGGATCTCATCCATCTTGGCGATATAAACAGCCTTTGTGGCGTCCTCTCCCTCGTCGTAGAGCCAGTCCTAGTCTTGATTAGTATTTTAACTGAAAATGGAAGAAAAGAGACTCACCTCGCTGGATTCAAGCTTGGCCTTCAATTTGGTCTTCTCTTCCTCGCTGGCGAACTCGGAGTATTGGTCGTCGATCTTATTTCTCATATCGTAGATGTAGGTCTCGAGCTCGTTCTTCTTCTCTTCGGTGTCCGCAACAAGCTTGTCCTCCATGATCATAGCCGCCTCGGCTTCGGCAGCAGCGGCCTTTGAAGCCTCGTCAAGAGAAGAAGTACCGGCGACGATGGGAAGATCGCCTTTTCGGACTTGCTTCTTGACCTTTCTAGTCTTTGGTGCAGCATCCGTTTCCATTGCCTTGGGAGATGTTAGTTCAGTTTGTCCCACACGGGGACGTTTGGTGGCAGGTTCATCCTCGCACAGGGCTTGAACTGGTGCTGGGGGTTGGGGTAAGCTGAAACTCACATCTGGATCCTTCTTTTCTCCATCCTTCTCCTCTGGTATGGGCTCCTCAACCTCGACGTCCTCCACATAGTATCCCTGCTCCACGTTCAAGATACCATGCAAGTTCAAACGTGCCTTAAGCTTGCAGATCATGAAATCATCCTTGGAGTCGGCCTTCACGCCCTTGACAGTAAATCTTCCAATCCATGGGTTCATCTTGCCCGGGAGAAGTTCAGGGTTTGCGTATTTCGCCTCGAGATTGAAGGCCTCCTTCCGGTAGAATGTAAGGATCTTCGTCGATGGCATGACACCGCCTTTGTTGAAGACAGTCAGGCTGGTGTCTTCATCTGGGATGTCGGGAGATTTCTCCCATGTAAATTCGATGGGGTAGTTGACCGTGTCGTGGATAGCGAAGTCACGAACTCGGAAGACAGGTGAGAGAATAGCGCAGCTGAAAGCGCAGCCTCGGGCAACAGCCTCATCTTGGTTGAGAGTGAAGGAGAGGGGCTTGCCGAAGAACTTCTGGATGCGCTCCTTAAGAGCTGGTACACGAGTACATCCACCCACAAGCTCGATGACATCAATGTCCTCTACTTGCAGCTTCGCCTCAGCAAGAGCCTGCTCCAGGGGAACGTGGGCACGCTTGAGAAGAGGGTCAACAAGTGCCTCAAGCTCATCACGGGTCATCATTGCCGCAACGTCAATATCGTTCATCAAGGACTCGATGTTAATGGGAGCCTGTTGGTTGGCAGACAGAATCTTCTTCAACTTCTCCGAGGCAGCCTGAACACGGACCAGAGCCTTGGGGTTGCTCTTGATGTCGATCTTGTATTTACCCTTGAACTCCCTTGCAAAGTGCTCAACGAGAGCCTTGTCGAAATCACGTCCACCGAAGTGGCGATCGTATGCAGTAGATTTGACGACCAGCTCGCCCTTTCGGAATTCGACGATGGAACAGGTGTAGTTGCTGTGTCCAATGTCGACAAAGGCCACACGTCTTGGCTTCTCCTCGGCAGTTGGGAGGTCAAGCTTTGTGATACCGTAGCCAAGAGCGGCCGCAGTAGTGTCGTTCATGAGACGGAGAAGCTTTAATCCTGCAATCTCAGCGGCGTCCATAAGACTTCTTCGCTGGATATCGGTGAACCAAGCTGGAACGCTCATGACTAAGTCGGAGACAGGGAGCTTCAATTCCGCCGAAGCCGTTGCTTTGACCTTGCTCAGGAACATGGACACGAGCTGGGTCGCAGTGTATTTCTCCTTCTTGCCCAAGTACGTCACCTCCGCACCAACTTGGCCCTGGATGTCGATAAGGGGAGCCGAGACAAAGTCCTGCTCGATTTGAACATCTGGATCACTCAATGACCGACCCGCTAATCGCTTCAATGACCCCACCGTATTCTTGAGGTTGGAGATCTCTTGTGTCTTCGCGGGTTCGCCGAGGTATCGGGACTTGGGCCCGAAACCTACGAGGGAACTAACGACGAGTGTTAGTTGTTCATCTGTAGGAAGGCATTCGAAGGGGAATGACTTACGGCGTAGCTCGATTGGAGACTTCATTTGTGATCTGTTGTGCCAGTCAGTATTCCACGATGGCAGCTCCGGAGGACGGCTTGTACTTACGACATCGACACCACGGTTCCGAGCTACAGCAATGACGGTATTGAGAGTCCCGAAGTCTACACCGACGACTGCAGGATGAGGCGGTTAGCTGATAGATCGATAGGTCTCGGGCCAAGCAAGGATCGGATTTGTTTACATACCACTCATTTTCGCAACCTGGCTTGTGCTGCGGTAAAGTCCCAAATGAAGATTTCGATGAGAAAGGGGGGAAGTTGTAGAACTGGAGAGTCTGCAATTAGGAGAAAGTCGGCCGAGGTATGGGAGGGGGGTTATGTCAGTGAGTTTTGAATTTGGATTTGTGTTGTTTGCGCCGCCAATTTTTTCGAAGGCACACCTCTCGCTCTAAACTCGTCTAGCTCCAACCAGAAGCTTCGATGACTTGAGGGGCGCAACGTGGGGCCAACGACGTGACTTCAACTCGGTGTAGAGCACCGCCTCACTATTGCCACTCTCGTATTGTCTTTTAAATTGTGAAGTATTTAACCTCGAAAGCGCCAACAACACATCACATCTGCTATACATGGCGGTGAAAGATCGGGCGAGGGGAGATCTGTTGTGCCCGCGCGGATCACGTGACTAGATTGATATACGGAGCCCGGAGTCCGATAAGCTTATCAGGTGGGATGTGGTGGGGGCTCAAGGTCAATGTAGGGCTTGGACTGATACGGCTCATTACACTCGTCACATTCTACCTTGTTGTCTCTCTGGGAGGACATGCTCAACTATCACGGTATGAGTGGCTAATATGGTAATTGTCAGTCGACAGGTGGAAGCCGGTTCAAGATAGAATCCCTTGTCTTATTGACCCACCAGCAGCCCCTCGAGAACGGCCCCGCCTTGCTCCCGTCATTACTCCGTATATGTGTGCAACTCGCGGTGGAGCATTCTCGAGGGTTATGCTCGCCCACTCCACTTTACTTTACATAAGTGCGCCATGCTGGCTACGCAAATACAGTTAACAAAGTCCTTTGAAAGACAGGAGAAGGAGGGCATCAAAGCCCGGAGAATTCTTGTCATGATTTTAGTCGAACAAGGTCGGCGAAGAAAGAGCACGGTCGAAGCCTCTTGAGCGAGTGCCTGGAACTTCAAGAACCTACTCATCCTGGATATTGGGCTTGGGTGCCTGCCCACGAGTTTGGGCTTGTTCATGCTGATCCTCGAGCCCGGCCGCCAATAACCCTTCGTTGGATACGGTTCTTACCATGCTGACCAGGGCCAGAGGGCTTCTGCCGTTCCGACCCCCTGAAAGCACGGCTTGAGAGGCAGTTAGTGTACCTGCACCAGTAATGAACTCTGTACCTGTTGTAGGTTCTCCTGCTCTCTCGATCGAGGCAATGCTGTTGTAGCTACCACCTCGCTGATGGGATAGCCGACCGTAATAAGAGCCAAGAGAATCAGCAGAGTTCCTCCATTCCTCTCTCGTGGAATCGCCCTCGAAAAATCTGGAAGCCCGACCTTGAGCAATGCCCATCATATAAGCTCCTCCAGCCTCACGCTGGTTAGCTTGAGCCAGGGCATACTTCTTCTGATCCTCCTCTCCCATGATGCTCTCGACTCGCCTTGGTGTATGTACTGAGTTATCACTAGTCTGTGCCGAGATGAGGCTATCGAATGAGTCTCTGGGATCTCTAGGATGCAGTGGATTGCGTCTTGAACCGCTTGATATGGTATCGCCGATAGCAACACCGACCAAGGAATCGGTATCATGCGTGTACCATCCGCCTGGAAGTCTTTCCGCCGCTGTGAAGCGGCCCTCAATGCGTCCGGGTGGCTGTACGCCAGTAGCAGCAAATCCATGTCGTTGGGCTTCGGCTGCTGGTTTGAAGGTTTCTGGGACGACATTGAGTTCATCTCCTTCAGCGTCAGCCTTCTCAATGACCTGCTGAACAGTGGTTGTTGCGTCTGCTGAGCCTGCATCTGCTCGCGGCCCACCCCATGTTCGTTGACCTGCGGTAAATATCCCATAGACCATATAAAACCAATTAAAGAATGGGTTGATGATGAACATCAACGGATAGAGCCAGACCTTGTAACGCCTCAGTTTAGCACCGAAGTAGATCATCAAGATCCAGTTTAGGCCCAGAGATATCCCGATGAACTCGACAGGTAGATCCTTTATCTTTTTGCTTGTGGTGATGATTGCAATTACCATTATGAAGAAAAGCAGGGCAGTCGTTCGAATAGTATTTTGCATAAATCTGACCAGAACCAAGAGCGGATACCTCTTCCAAATTCGAATATCTGTCAACATGCAGACCTCGTTGGTGATGAATCCCAGGAACCAGCGGCGACGCTGCTTAATCAGGGACGGGAATGTCTGCACTGCTTCTGTCTTGCAGAATGCAGAGGTGCACATCTGGATTTGGTATCGTTTCTTCGCTCCAATCATGAACAAGTGTGTCAGCCACCTATCTTCGCCTAGGTGACATTTCCCATAGTCAAAAAGATCTTCACACTGCTCTGCTTTGTCGGCGAAGTAGTATTTGGCCATCCTTCGGAAGGCTGAGAAACGCAGCATTGTCAAGGCCCCGGGCAGGCAAGTGACCGAACCACACCCCGATTCTACAGTTCGCTCGAACAGTTGGCCATGTATGTATTCGATGTCTTGGAGAAGGGTGATCAGGCTATGCTTCTTGGTGGTGGAAGTAATCACCCCAGTCATCGCCAACATATCTCTCGAGTTCCCAGGGCTCATTTGCATGTCATAGACGAAGTTCTGGAGGCATACTCGGTCAAGTATGCAATCTGAGTCGATGAAAAGAATAAAAAGATCGTCATTACGTTTTAGGTACGATGTGTAGACCTTGTCGATGAGCTTAAAAGTAGCCTTCTGACAATGCCGCTTTCCTCCGTGTGGGAACCTAGAAACGGTAATTCGAGCAGTTCGATAGGTCACGTCGATACTTTTGGGATAGGTGTCTAGAGAAAGAGGTACACCGAGTCTTCCAATGGTCTTGAGGTATAACTCATCCTCCTGACTGCCATCGAAGGAGAGGAAGACATGAATGCAAGACGGTGGATAGTCGCAGTCAACTACGGAATCGATTGCCGTAATCAAGACTTCGGGTTCCTCTTTGTAGCATGGCATCACAATAACAATCTTTGGAGCAGAAGTCTCGTCTAAGACTTCCTTTATCCGCTTTGTTCTTCCAAGTGAGTGTGTCACCTGCTGATAGACACACAAGAGCCAAGGAATTGTCAAGAGACCCGCAAATGACCAGAACCCGAACCATTGGAGGAAGGATACCATACGCATTGGAAAGTATTGTGTTATATGACTCGGTAGTGGAAGGGTGACCAGCATTACTGGTAGGAAAATGAATCTAAACCCAAGTGAGAGAAGTCCAACAAGTGTAACCACCTCATGGTTTGTAAGACATACCTTAGAATTGTGAATGCAGTCGCAACTGCCATTGCCAAAACCTTGACCGACCAGTGCTCAGCCTTTTGATAGACTTTGACAAGGCAGTATAGGAATGCTGCGAGCCAGAGAAACCATTCGAGAAATGCAGCTACCATCACTGTGCCCACAATGGCTACGTAGACAATCTATCGAAGCTTTGTGTCAGTAGATTCTCAGTATGCCATAGCAGATAGATGTTGAGATGTTGAAGAAGTTGGATGGACTTACGTCTTTGACGGGCCATGGTGATGTGTCGAATTCGGACATATTGGGCAGTAGAGACGATCGGAGGAACAATGTCTTTTGTCGTTGAAGAAGATGGAAGAGCCTCTGAATCACGTCAAAGGCACATTACCAAAGAGGTAATGCAAGGATCCGAAAAAAGAAGCCACCTGGGATTGGGAAAAGGGTAGCTGCAGCAAAATGCGTCAGTCGCGTCTCTGCCTGTTCTCCAAATATCCCAAATCCCCGACCGAGATGTGAATGTGATTTACTTCTAGAAATATTCAGTCCCTTGTAATCATCGTCAGCGTTTCTCCTGCTGTTTGCTATGAATAAGGGCAAACATCAATACAATAAATACCTGGTCTGTGCCATACACGAGCTGAGATCATATGCAGTGATCCGCCGGCTGAATCGAATCAGAGACTCGACGCGTCAACTTGGAGAAGTCAGCAGGCAGAGGATGACTTAATAGTTGCGGCTTCACAACGCCTGTGGGTATTCGAGATGTACCTGGCAGAATCGAATAAGGCAGGTTTGGCTGTATGTTCAGCGGCTCCACCATTGTGTGTCTTTGTGAGATGGGGCAGATCTAGATAAATGAATAGACGGCAGGATGTTTGCGAGGACTCCCAGAACGATCGTAGATGTTTCGTAGAGAAGTGACAAGGCAATTGCACGATTGTGGTGCACGCCAGACAAGGCTGAGCTGAAGCCTAGCAGAGTAAAAACAAAGATATATAGTCGCAAAAAAGACATTTCATTATCAATCTCATTAAGAAAATTCAACTCACTACCTTACTTGGGAAATCAGGATAAAGTATGGACTGAACTGATCCAAGATCCAGATTCTGAAGCTTTGCAAAAGCTCTGTAATAAGATGAACTGGCTATGATTCTGTAATTGAGATGACGACATGGCTCCTTCCCTTTCACCAAGGGCTACCTACCTTAGAATCATGGGAGAAACTCACTATGGCCTGAGATATTGAGGAAGTTACAGTAGGTACTGTAGAAGTCCCGGTGGTGTAATCGCAAGAAACTTCGATAATGCAGTGCAGTGCTTGAGCCACCGAAACGAGCAGTCTAAAGCTTTCTTTTCCCCTTTCTGCCCCTTGCCGTAATACCCCTAGCCTTTACTTCTCCGCAAATACCTACCAAGCTCCTTTTCTAGAAACATAAAACGCATCCTGCAACTGCTTTTGTGCACAAGACTGTCCTGACCCCATGCCCTTTATTTTGGAGAGACTGGTTGCGGAAGCACTGACTTACCAACAACATCACACGTTTCACGCATAAAGGTTGTGAATACACCCAACTGAAAGGCAAAATGGAGAGCCGTGCGCTTTATCAGCTGGAGTTGGGGCAGTTATCTTCAGGAGCACCAGAATGTTCCAAGAATACGAGTAGAAGGAGTGAGTTTCCGTTCTGTCGAGAGCAAGTAGCAAAGAAAATCTTCTCCATCCACGGCCTATCTGTCGCCCTTCAACCCCTCAAGATCCATCCTCTCGCGGCCCAATCCCGCTAAACAAGGGAGCAACCTTCCCATCCAATCATTTTCCATCTCTCTCGTCCACCACGTCGCAACATTGCTGCCTCTGTTCGCACGACAGGGGCGTACTCGTCTCCCTGTATGTGTCGTTCTCATCAACCCCAAAACGGAGGGTCAGAGTCGAGACTCGAGTGTCGTTCGCATCGAAGCAGAGAAGAAGCTAGTCAAGCAACTAAGAAGAACTCAGTGGCTAAACTACATGTCTCATCATGTCCTATTATCCCCACATTGTGCGGGGGCTACGGTCAGCTTTCTTCGTTCTACGATACTTGTACATGAAGTATAACATAAAAACAATTATCTCGCGACACTACTTCTCCTGGTCGACTTTTGAAGCTGCCTTCCTGGAAGCATGCTCTTGGAGAATTTCTCGCCTTGTCAGTCTTCCTCTGCCTGTGGTTCTTGGAAATTTTCGGTGTGGCTGAGCTTGTCGCGGAGGGGTAACACTAAAACCACGAACGGAATTGCCCATCCGAAGGAGTGGTTGCTTCGGAGCAATATCCGCCCCACGATTGTGCTCGGGAGAAGGCGTGTTTTCAATTTGTTCAACAAGTAAAGAATGAGACTTTTTCTCGGGATCATACCAATCGACATCACTGAGTTGCAATTTCCTAGCGCGCTGACCGCTGCGATTATTACTAGACTTGTCAGGCCTGGAATAACTCGCGCTGATAGCCTTCTCGAGACCTGCGTTGTATGCGTGAATATTTGGATTCGGAGGCAAGGGTGCAAGTAAAGAGTCACCATCTTGTTCATCGCCTTCACGGAGGTCGTAATTCAGGACTAGATTCTTGATCCGTTGCTGCTCCTCACGTTCGGCAGCTTGTTGGGTTTTCATCGCGATCGCGAAAGTTGAGTCGGAGGGAAGAGCAACGGTGCGAGTCTGGGGAATGGATGTTAGCAACCGCATAGATGATTGATCAACTACTTGGACTGACATGTTGGCGATTGCCTCGCTTTGTGAGGAGTGAGAAAGCCATTGTACCATTTGGGGTACTAGGACTAGCCGATTCCTCAGTCCACGAATCATTTGCAATATTGGTCTCGCGCTCTTTGCGTCTCATTGGCAGTGGAACATCGAACGTAGGTTTGCGGTCGTGTTTTCGCGATTCTAGACTTTCAGCCATCATCCTAGCATACTCACGCTCAAATTCTGCTTCATCTTCAGGATCAACTTCTTCCTCCTGTCGTGTTACGACAATCGATTCTTCTTCAGAGTCAGTGCCCGGTGCAGAGGGGGCTGCATCGCCATTTGTATCAACCTATTGAAGTAAGTAAATTTGAACTTGATATACTGACATCGACCAAGCTTACTTCTGCATCGTCATCTGATTCAGAGTCCTCGTCTGCCTCAGCGATGCCGGCTTCGGCTTCAGCTTCAGCTTCGCCATCATCAATTTCAACATCCGACGGACCATCACTATCAGGCTCTGTGGGCTCGGCGACCTTGTCAAGCCCAGACGTCTTTTGATCCTGTGCAACAGCAAGTTGGAAAGCTCGACTAGCTTCTTCGAGATTAGAGGCGAGCTTCCATTGAGGTCTTGTCAGGGCAAAGACGTCTTGTACGATGAACTCAATATCCATGGGAAGGGTATCCTTGGTGTAAATGTAGTACTAAACTTCATGAGCTTCCTTGTTCTTTTTGACACCTGAAGTCCTTACCTGAAAGAAGGAAAGAAAATAATCGAGCTTCTTGCCTGCAGCCCCGCGATTGAAGAAGATACCGCAGGTCTCCAGCAGAGTAGCAACCAGACGAATGCGGAAGAAGTCATCTGGCATGTCAAAAGGATTAAGTCGGCCGGGAATTGGGGCACCACCTAGATCTCGTATCAGCGTTCGCCCAAGGAAAATGCTCTTCCCACATACCATGTCCGAAGGTCATGATCCTATACATTGTGTCAAAGATGACGGGATGGTCAACCATGCGGTAGTTGTAGAGCTCGCCAAGATACTTGACTTCTGCTAGCCGGCGCTGGTTAAATTTGAAGTCATTCTGCTCCAAGCCAAGCACGATGTATTCCAAAACGTTGTCAATGACGGTTGTGACAAAATCTTGATGATACCGATACAATGCGCTTGCAAGGATTGCAAGGAGATGAATATTGCCATACTTGACTTTGCCAGGTTTGGAGAAGATCTTTTCCAATATAGCAACAACCTTTATAGATTAGATACTGCTTATCTAGATTTGGGAAATAACTTACCTCGGGTTCTTCCCAGTGGAGTCTCCGAATCTGCTTGAGGATTCTGGTATAATTACGGTTGTTCATATCCAAATATACCAGCTTGCGAATGAACAAATCCATTGGGGTTCTTTCTTTCTGTTCAATAGCAGCTCTGACTGGAGGATCGACATAGTAGACAGCATTCTCGATGAGCATTCGCTCTTGTTGTCCAATATGCTGTACAGACTTCTTGCGCTTCAGCGTCTCCAAGAAAGAGGTCATGCGAGGAGATGTGTCGGGATTTCGTAGCAGGTATCGTCCGCAATTCTCAAGCAAATTACATATGATCTCGATGTTCATTCTCGAAAAGTCATCTAGACTGACCTTCAGGCAATGGAAGATAACGTGCTCCGGAACTACCCCAAATTTTGTCAATTCGGCAATATATCGGATATTTCCAAGTCGAGCTTGGCCTAGAAATTCCTTCTCTTTACGTCGCTGCAGACTTCGGAACTCCTGGTCGAGATGATCAACGAGACCTTTTGTGACATCTGGCATATATCTGCCCAGGGTAGCGACAAGCCGAGCATAGAATGGAAGCAGGTCGCTGCGACCTTTGGGAACTTCCTGAACCGTCTTTATGAGTCGATTTCGAGATGCTTTAGAGTTGAGAAAGCAGAAGTCGATAGCAGCTTGATCAACTGAATCTTTGCTCGTGAGATCCGGGAACCGTGCCAGAAGAGCATCAACTTGGGCTCCAATAGTCTTGTTTGCAATAGCTGTAGATTGATCTTCCTCCTTTGTACTTGTCGGACTGGTATCTGTGGTTTCGGCTGGGTCGATTTTCTTGCCAACTTGCTCGTCGGTGTCTGTTTTCTTCTTTTTTCCGTCTTCAAGTAGCATCCCAGGAACTTTGCCCTTCAAGTCGACGAGATTCTCATAAAAGCGTCTCTCTTCTTCGTCCTCCCAGATACCAGCGCCATCACTTTCACCTCGCAGATATTCGCCAGTCTTTACGAGACCTATTCCCCCACTCCCAGTGGCTGCAGAATCCTCGGAGTCTTTGAGGTCTGGCATTTCTCCGCCAATGGCATCTGCAAGAACCTGTGCATTCGACACAAGTCGTTCTTGCGCTTTGACGGCTTTTTCATAACTGGCTTGCCGATCCTCAAACACCTGGCCAGACTTCACGTATGCTTCGGCATCTTTTCGTGCCTGCTTTCCAATAGCCTTCTGATCGCGAATGACATGGGCCTTGACATCTTCAAAATATCTTTTCAAGATGTTACGAAATCGTTCCTGGAGCTCAGGCGACGCAAGGGGAGGATCCTCCGTAGTATCTACTACTGGTGTCTCTTCAGAAGAGTCCTCGTCTGCTTCGGTAGCACCATTTGTGATTTTCGTAACGCCGTCCTCCTCAACCGTCTTCCGACCCTCGGATCCAGCTTCTTTGACACCCAGTATATCCCAGCTAAATGCCTTGACGAAAATGACGAGCAATGGCAGATTGGCGTGCTCCCTATCATGCCCAAGTAAATCCTTGAGAACTTCTAGGGGAAATGGTTCTGCGCCACCTCCTTTGCTGGAACTACTGGCCTTTGCCTTGGCATCCGATGCCTTACTAGAAGTGGTGGAAAGAGATTCCTTACCCCGCGAAGCATCGTCCGGGCGACTAACATCATCCAGTGTTCGCAAAACGCCAACAAGCCATAATTCCGTAACTACTCTTAACAATACTCTCTGGCGCGTGATCCGTTCCTTCTCTTCCTTCTCTCTGGCGTCTGGAGCAAGAGTCTTGAGCAATGACTTCTCCGGAGTAGCCAATCCCTTGCCCACGAGCCAACCAAGAAACTCTGTGAATTCTGCCGGCCCAAAGCGCTGGTGTAATGCGCTGACTATCTCCACCCCAGCTTCAATTTCGCCTGGCGACTTTAACTTGCATAGACCTTCGTAGCATGCGGATATGATCTCGGAGAGGTATTTGTGTAGGCTAAGCGTTCGGATTTCTTGCAGGAAGGTGCTGAGAGTTGGCGCCGTGATTGCAGTGCGCAAGCGCTTTATGAAGGCAGTATTCTTCTTTAGGGACGAGTCAAGGGACTTGTTAACAGGGTAGATATCTAAAGAGCGATGTCAGATGATTCCAAGTGCCAGTCTTCCTGATTTACCGACCTTTCTCCCCATCCCAAGCACGACGGTTCAAGTCGCGTAACTCGCCTTCAGTTCATGATGTCAGCAGGATGTCCCCTGTTTTGGAGATGGTATGTAGGCTTACGCTTCCTCTGACGATCCATCGCTGTAGACCTGAGTCTGCCCCGGCGGGATGCTGAGTAGCGAAGTCAATAAGGTTTGTTGTGCCCTTCCGTGTGCCCCCCACATTCGTGGATTCTAGGGACGCATGAAGGACCGGTAAAAGTGAGACCTTACAGAGGCAATGAAATGCATCTGAATTGGCTGTTGTCAAACCGATTTGTCTGCGATGGCTTGCCAGTTGTCGACTATCGTTGGAGGGGTCGTTGCGTCAGCGGCAAACAAATGCTGTATTTGGGTTTTGGCGTGTAGGATTTTGATACATTGCAATCAAGGACCGATAGAAAGCTCGATACGCGGAATTTAGCGCGCCTTCCCGATCCTGGCGCTAAACTGCATCCAACTCCAACATCTCTCACCTCTTCGATGCACAAGTTCCAAAGGTCTTTGGATGTACTTTTTTCCTGAAGAGCCAGAACGTGATTCACAGCATAGCATGATCTGGGCCTCCGCAGCTAGGAGAGAACAGGCCGCATCCAGGTCTCGACGCTGCTAAGTAAGTCTACCGATTTTCTTGCTCAGGCTGCCTCGGTTCGCCTCATTCCTACGGAGTAGGTAGGTGGCCTGACAGCTTCATCCCATGCCTCGGATTTCAGCACGGATGGTTCTGTCTTACGATTAGGACTACTTGGCTATATTTATAGGCAGATGATACCATGACCAAGGGCTGGGCGGCTGGACCCTGCCTAGGCTACCTACTGTAAGTAAGGTAAGGCAGGTAGATATCCAACTAACGATCTTCTACGCCTCTTTTCGGTTTCTCATATAATCTCCTATCAACTTCATCGAACTCATATACAGTACAATAAGATTATTGGTCCTTCGGTAGTCGTTGGACACTCTAAGCACTTTCGTTCAAATAAAGCTTCGTCGAAAGGCTGGCCCGTTGCTGTTCGACATCAAATGGTGAACTGCCATCGAGCATGACAGTCAACCCGATCTCTGAACAATACAATGATTCGGTGGCGTTTAATCTTGAGAGGGGTTTCTTTCGAACCGTCCAAGCTTTGAGAACCATCAGTGTGTGTTCTCCCGGGGCTCACTGCTCTGCTTGTCATTGTTAGCTTCAAATCAAGCCACACTGAATTATCCAGGATAGGCATAGGTTGCATTTCGAAGGAGTTGATTTAGCAGCAAATTGAGCTTCCCCAGATTTCATAAAGTGCCTAGATTCACATTTGCTTTCAAAACATGTATCCAGTCCAATCAAGTGGTCGTTGTCGCACATCTTTACCTCACTCAAAACTCAAGTTTGGATCCAGACTAACATCAGTCCAGTTGAGCAGCCCAGGCGTATCGTATGTACCAGGATATCCATAGGAAAACCCCATGTGTTATTATCTTCCTGATTGGAAATACTCCCTGCCACAGAGACCCATTCGCAGCTATTGGTACCACGGCAAGATACATCTTGGAGAAAACGGGGTACAAGATAGGCTGTGGCCAGAGCAGTGGAGAGATTAAACAGGTGGCAGTTGCTCTCCGGCGAGAGTCGAGTCGAATTAGAAAAGTACCACATGATGCCCCCCTTTAGTTGCTGGCAGTGGTATGCCGGGTGAAATCTTGTCGGTCAGATAGGCCCCTGCATTCCATCTTTGCTGTTATCTGGGAGATCAAAGAACGAAAGGAATATCATATCATGGTCGGGCTAAGAACCAAAATCGCCCAAAAATTGCAATGGCTCGTACGGATCTGACAGTCCATCGAGAATATTGTGGGCAGCTTCGGGAGAGGTTCCACGTTGACGACGAGGGAGAAACTCGCCCTTATATCTCATTGATGTCCCGTTGTCATCAAGCTGATTCCAATTCCCTCGTCCCAAGACTAATGGTACGGTACCTTTGGCGAAAGCACGTGAGGGAACCTCTCGAGTGTCAAGGAGTTGTGTAGACCCTATTTATGGTTCTGTTTGATAAGACGCGAATCAGTCTTTATAATCGGATCGGAGCATAATTATGGGTGCGGTCCAAGATCCAACAACACTCGTCGCTGGCGATTGCGCTTATTAATCTTAAATACACAGTCATGAGGGCCGGACATCGCCGCACGCAGTAACACTGCGAGATCCTCGACGTTGGACTGCACCGAGTATTTATCGCGATTCGCGATTGTCCCGCGGTAAAGGCGGCCCGCGAAAGGTCAAGAGTGGCGGGCTAGACCCTCCTTACGTGTGCCTGGCTCTGCGTTGCAGGTTTAGAACTTGTGTAACTTTGGATGGCATTTTCCTTATTTTCCTTCTTGTCGCACTTTTTCCTGCTTTTCCAAGGAGTTGACTTAAGTTATCCGGAACCAAGTGCTATCAACTTGCTATCTCTCTTTGGATAGGTGTGTCGTCCACTTAGGCCGGGGGTTAGCGAAGAGCAGTTTTGAACATTTCCGCCTGTTGCGAATTTTCGACCAATCACAGAGCAGGATTTCCGTTGATTGGCACTTATTACGCACTTATTCCGTACACCTCCTAGGAGACTTTTTTGCGCAAAGGACATCCGCGGAAGTTGCATTTTTCTGGAAATCTGCATACCATACCACTGGGAGAGCGTCCTGGTAGGTTTGGGTCCAATGCTGATGGAACCCGTAAGGTACTAAAGTTACTACTGAGAGAGCATGGTGCGGTGTTTCTTCTTGCTTACTCCTCATTCATTCTCCTGCCTTGGAAGTATTATACACGGTGCGATAATACATACACCTATCCATCTTTTCTCACTCTTTCATCTCTTCATCTCATCGCACTTCAAGCAACCACTGTCCCCTTTTCATGTAAGGCTGGCGATATCCACAGCCTCGATGCTGTAGTATTGCCGAATTTGGATTGTATCTTCAACTCACCCAATATTTCAAGTCCTCACACATCGTTTGGCTTAAGATAGCCTTACGGATAATGCCCAGAGCTACAGCCTCACTTACCCCTCCATGCACGGGGGCAGACGCCCAGAAACCGGGCACCCAGCTATCAGACACTTCATTCCGATTACCACCTACACCACTTACACCACCGAAATCTGAGGACAACAGCAGCGAGGAATCTGATAGCTCGGCTACACTTTCAAGAACAAACAGCGAAACTATCCTAGAACCGCGATATCCCCTTCCGCCACGTTCAAATCCTCCGAGAGAAATTCTCAAAGAAGACCTAAAGACTCCAGATAAACACGTTCCCCGAGATCCTCGACTTATTCGTCTGACCGGCATTCATCCATTCAACGTCGAGGCGCCACTCAGTGACCTCTATAATGACGGCTGGCTCACATCTCCTGAGCTTTTCTATGTCCGCAACCATGGAGCCGTTCCCGAAGTTGACGATGCCACGATCCCTGATTGGGAATTTTCGATAGAAGGAATGGTCAAACACCCAATTACCATGACGCTCAGGCAACTGATATCAGATTACGAACAAATTACTGTTCCTATCACCTTGGTCTGTGCCGGCAATCGGAGGAAGGAACAAAACCAGGTTCGGAAAACGAAGGGTTTCTCGTGGGGTGCTGCCGGTGTATCTAATGCATTATGGACTGGTGTTCCTATGATGGAATTGCTCAAAAGGGCTATGCCTCTACGAGGGGCAAAATATGTCTGCATGGAAGGTGCGGATAAGTTGCCCAATGGTTACTATGGCACATCTGTCAAGTTAAATTGGGCTATGGATCCCAACAGGGGAATTATGGTGGCCTACAAAATGAACGGAGAGATGCTCCGTCCGGACCATGGAAAGCCGTTGCGATGTGTGGTGCCAGGACAAATCGGTGGCCGAAGTGTGAAGTGGCTGAAGAAACTCATCGTCACGGCGAAACCTAGCGACAACTGGTATCATATTTATGATAACCGCGTATTGCCTACAATGGTGAGCCCGGATCAGAGCGCCAATGAGCCACAATGGTGGATGGATGACCGATATGCAATATATGATTTGAACACAAACAGTGCTATGGCGTATCCAGCACACGAGGAAAAGCTATCCCTCGTCAATGGGCGTGAGACATATCGAGTCAAGGGATACGCTTATGGGGGAGGCGGAAGGAGGATTACAAGAGTCGAGGTGACATTAGATAAAGGAAAGTCCTGGGCGTTGGCCGACATCAGATATCACGAAGATGACTATCGGGATCATGCCGATGAAAACGAGATGTTATATGGCGGTAAAATCGACATGGGATGGCGAGAAACCTGTTTCTCCTGGTGCTTTTGGGAGATAGATGTCAAAGTTGAAGATATGAGAAAAGCAGGCGATATTATGGTTCGAGCAATGGATGAGGGCTTGCATATCCAGCCTAGGGATATGTACTGGAGTGTACTTGGTATGATGAACAATCCGTGGTACCGAGTCACGATCACCAAAGAAGACAATTACCTTCTCTTTGAGCACCCTACACAACCAGCTCTTATGCCAGGAGGGTGGATGGAAAAAGTTAACAAGAGGGGCGGAGATCTCGCAAATGGTTTCTGGGGTGAGGAGATGGGTACAGAGGCAGAAGAGAAAAAGCTTGTCGAGGCAAAGCCAGAAATCAAAATGACCAAGGATGGGCTCGATAAAACCATCAGCATTGAGGAATTACAGAAACATGACACAGAAGCAAATCCCTGGTTTGTAGTAAACGGCGAAGTCTATGATGGGACGGCTTTCCTTGAAGGTCATCCGGGAGGAGCAACGAGTATCACTGGTGTTGCCGGCCAAGATGCCACTGATGAATTCATGGCTATCCGTATGTTTCAAGCCATATCGTTTAATAAATACACCTGCTAACGCCTCCTAGACTCGGAAACGGCAAAGAAAATGATGCCATTCTACCATATCGGCTCCCTGGATGAATCTTCGCGGGCCAACCTCGCCAATCATGAAGAAGTCTCGGCCGAATCTTCAGAGTTGCGGCCTGTCTTCCTTCAACCCAAGACCTGGACTAAAGGTATTCTTTCCGCCAAAAAGAAAGTCTCCGCCGACACCCGTATCCTCACCTTCACCCTCGAACACAAAGACCAGATCGTTGGCTTGCCGATCGGTCAACATCTCATGATTCGCCTACGCGACCCAGTCACCCGCGAGGCTATCATCCGCTCCTACACACCCATTTCCGAAGGCAACGAAAAGGGTGTCCTGCACGTGCTAGTGAAAGTCTACTTTCCCACGAAAGAAAAGCCAGGCGGCAGAATGACCCAAGCACTAGAGGCCATCCCCGTCGGACATTTCGTAGATTTCCGTGGCCCGATAGGGAAATTTCAGTACCTCGGTCGGGGGGCGTGCGAGATCATGGGGAAGCCACGACAGGTCAAGAGATTTATCATGATCTGTGGCGGCAGTGGAATCACGCCGATTTTCCAGGTCTTGAGAGCGGTGCTGAAGGATGCTGAAGATCCGACTACGTGTCTTGTGTTGGATGGGAATCGTCTGGAAGAGGATATCCTGTGTAGAGAGGAGATGGACGCCTTGATCAAGGGAAATGAAGGACGTTGTCGTCTCCTGCACGCGCTTAGCAAACCTTCAGATTCATGGACAGGGTACCGAGGACGAATTGGGAAAGAACTGTTAGAGCAAGAGGTCGGCATGTGCACGTCGAAGAATGGGGAGGAGTTGGTGTTGATCTGTGGCCCCGAGGCGTTGGAGAAGAGCGTACATGGATTTTTAAACGAGATGGGGTGGAAGGATGAAGATTTGTTATTCTTTTAAGAGGGGGGAAAGGCGTAGAAGAAAGGAGGGAAGCATGCATGCATCGGTTTGACAGCGTTTTGGGCCGGTTACCATACCATAAGACCTGGTTTTTGGAAACACAGGATTTGGGTGCGATTTGATATTAGCGCTAAACATGAATTATGCCAACTTTGATTCGATTTCTCAAGACGTGTCGGTGTTTTTGATTTGGTGGTATCCTATGCATTGTAAAAAGGCTCAAGGAGTAATCTTCAGCAACAGAGTCCTTTGATTCACGGATACGGCACGGTTATCTACCAAACCCAAACCATCCCTTCTTCTGTTGCTGCGTCTGCTCCTTGCCGGCATTTGCCTTCTCCTCGTTGGCCCCATTTACCGCCACATTTCCAACCTGTCTGCCCGGATACTCGATGTAATTCCAAGCCGCATCGAAGAATAACGGCTTTACCGGTACTGGCTCTAACTTCGGTGGCCACTGCACCAAGTTCTGCAAATCAACACCTTTGGATGGGTACTCGTTTAACCGCTCTACGAGCGGTGTTTTGTTGTTGCCTTCTTCGCTCTTCTGAGCGGCCTCGTTGAGGTTCAAGAGCTCAACTAAAGCGCGGTAACGCTGCACCTCGCCTGCGAGGAGATCTTGCAAGAATTGCACCTCGGAGGGAGAAACAGAGATGTTGGGTGGGGATGAAGAGGAGGCATCCATTGCGGATGAGAGGTAGGCGTGTGCTGCGTTGCACTTTTCTGACGCGCGAGCAAGCAGAGCTAGGGCATTTTTGGGGTTTGAGAGTAAGGCGTGGGAGCGTGCTATAGTGAGGCATCTTTTGTGACAAAGTTAATGCTATCCGAAGATATCAATATGGGAAACTCACTTCAGGGCGGAGAAGTAGCCATATTTTGCTTCCAACTCCTCTAGCAATGCTGAATCGGCCGCAATTCCTGGAAGCTCTTTGATCGAGTCCAAACTTTGCAAGATTGAATCGTAGAGCACCGCTTTCTCTCGTAAATGAGCTAGTTTCCGTCCTGTACCCTCCTCTTTCAATGGCTTGTTGCGGTTCTTCTTCTTTGGTAGGTTCGCGCTTGAGTCGTCCAACACTGCGCCGTCACGTTCTCCGACCAGCACCCTATTCCGTCCTATTCGCCAACTAACCATATCGTAACTGACTGCCGTTCTCGTGATTTGTAAACTTTGCATCCGCCTATCACCTTGTCCTACACCTTCGGATACTAGTTCGTCGATTGCATGTTTTGTTGCATCGACTGCATCCTGGCTTGCAATAAGTATATCATCATAAGCCGACGCTCGGTCTTTGGGTTGGGAAGTTGTCGAAGAGGCTAATGTCTCTGATAATTTTCTCGCTGCAGCGTTCACTGACGCCAATGCCGTAGCTATTGCAGCATCTTCCAAATCGACCTCTCGAGACCTCCACGTTATAGTCTTTGGCGCAGCTCCCGCTTCTGCGGCTGCTGACTTGGCCTTGGGCTGGTCACTCAGCACATCCGGGTCCAATTCCTCTACCTGCGATACCAACTCCGAATCTGAATGAGGGAAGAATTTCCGCGCAATCATGGGTATGGCAACAGTTCGAGGTAGTCTCATCTGGTACGCGCCATATCGTATACTAGGATCGACGGGGTCCGACAACAGGTCTCTAAAGACGTCACTTTTTGTAGATGTAGCAAGGGCGTTATATATTATTCTAGCTTCCGAGTAGCTCTTCACACACGCTTCCCAGCTTTGTCTTTCGAACTCCCTGGCCCCGGTGAGTGAGGCGGCGTACGCACGTGCTTCAAGAATATCCCCAACAGTCGCGCCAGTTTGGGTCTGATCAGTCAGAAGTCGAAATAGATCGTTTGCGTAAGTTGCGGCTTTGTGCAGTCGGGATATTATATGCGATCGAGTTGAGCCAGTCATTCCTTTCGTCTCTTCAGAATGCACCTCCCGCATGGACATGGCATTCGCCCAGGCACGCTCCGAGGTGAGCAGAAGTAGGTGCACATATCTATGCACATTAGCAGATGCAACAGTATCAGAGGCTTCGACTCACTCATGATTGCGACCAATGTCCCCCGCCGTCACTGGGGCCTTGGGGGTGTACTTTGCGCGGGGTTTGGTTGCGATTCCCAGTTTCTTTCGGAGATTGTGGATGCGATTTGAGAGCTGCGTCCGGTAGGTCGCATAGTCCCCGAAGAGCTTCGCCTTTTCACGCCCCGAGACGACAAACTTGGTGACCTCCATAATTGCACAGAGTCCTGCTGGTGATTGAGTATCTTGCTTCAATCCTCCCTTTCGTGTTGTGCCTTGGTGGGGTTCTCTTCTGGGCTAGCCGAGAAATAGCTTACTGTGATCCCTGCAACTCAACGGGAAAGCTGACAGACCTGTTACGAAGTCTAGAAAATAATTGTAACGCCATCGACCTCTTGTAAATACTTCCATCCTTGCTGCTTGTACAACTGCAAGATTGAACAACCCCAATCTTTCCGCACCTTGAATTGAAGTTCCTACTCCTCAATGGTCTTATCAAGGTGACCACAATTACTAAGCATGCTGTACAGTAAGTCCTCTACACCTCATGAAGCTCCTAACACGATGGAGCTCTCCCAGTAACATCCAGGATCGACTAATAAACGTGATACGCAGACTCCAGGTAACCAAGTGAAGAAAAGAATCTGCTCTGGAAGCCTCGAACAACCCATTGGCGAGGATAGGGCATGCTGGAGCGTACGGCGGGATGTCTAGAATCAGGCAGTCTGCGGAGACTGCTGCCAGGGCCCCGAAAGCCGCTGAAGAGCCGCCGCATGCTCCATTCCGGCTTCTGGAATCACAATTCAGTCGAGCCTGAACTTTCGCCGCTGTATTCTGCCTTGCTTCGAGGTCCAGAGTCCGCGGATCAAGATGGCGAGATCCAGAACCAAACGCCCTCTACCCTCCAAGCCGGCTTTCTCTTGGATTTTCTTTACCCTGCCGGCACGTTAAACTTTCTTCGACAGTATTCGGGCTGGGGCATTGATAGACAAGATGGCCGACAGACAAGATTTGGGATCAGAAGACTTGGACAACGGCTATACACATCCTCTGCCACCGACAGCTCTGGGGCAGAGAACGCTGCCATCGCACCAGAAGCCCCTGTTAGAACCCAAGATTCCTTATCAGGCAAGAGGGCAGAAACAGATGAACCTGATCAGGATGTTATAATGGGGGGGCAAGCAGCACAGTCTTTGCGAAAGATCATGGTGCTCACAAGAAGCCAGGATTACGAGGAAGCTTGGCGGCAGTACCTTCTATTGGGTGATTCGGAAAAGAACGAACTACAGCGGGAGCTGATGCAATATATGTCAACGTCAGGACGAGTGCTCGAAGCAGAACGGGCAATTGAGATATTTGAGCAGCTGGACGAAGCTAACAGAGATGCGGACGCCTACTCTATTGTCGTTCGTTCGTATCTAAGGTTGCGAAATCTTCCGGACGCGGTCAAACTTTACAATGAGGCACTGCGCAACCTGCAATTTCCGGCCGGTGCCTCTGAGCTTCTGTCATACATGATAGAGAACTCTTTGTGGTCACAGGCTATCGGGTTTTGGAAAGATTTCCAGAGTTTCCGGGACCATTCTCCGGGGCTTTCGTACAATATCTTTTCAACGTCTCAGAATCTTTCTAATCTTATTGGGCAAGCCATTGGCCTTGCGGAATACGTCAATGAGAGAATGAAAACTGCCCCGGAATCCACGGAATTGATTACTTTCACGTCCAAAATCGTCCGAAGAGCCTTGCTGAATCCAGAAGTGGATGAAAGGCGATTTGAGAAACTACTATCATTTCTTCAGGAATGGAATCTCGACACAGCCGAAATATACGAAAGAGCCTTCGAAATGCTTGTGGAGACAAAGCAGACACGATTTGCCGTCAATTGTTATCGAAAAGTTCGCCGAGAACGGGAGGTCAAGTTTTCCCGTCCAACGCTGCATTCCCTGTTGACAGTATTCTGCAATAATCATAGCGTCCTCGGCATGCAACAGATCCTTGATGACTTCTTTCGCTTCTATTCGAAACCTACTCGCTTTGCCTACCGGAAGTGCATGACCGAGTTCGCTGCTCAAGGCGACGCTAAGACAGTCCATGCTCTCTTCGAGCAGTATGTTGCACGATTTGAATCGAAAAACAGGTTATTAGATGCTGGTGATATTGCACCTATTCTTCATGTTCATGCAAAACGAGGGGAGCTAGCAGAAGTGATTAAATACTTCAACCAACTTCAGGACGTGTACAAATTACAACCCAACCTTCTCTGCTGGAATATCCTCATTGATGCCTATGCCAAAGTTCATGATACAGAAGGCGCCTTTGAATCCTTTGAGAAGCTGCTCGATTCAGACTATCTCCAGCCCGATCACTATACTTTTGGTACCGTCATGGGAATTTATGCTACCCATGGTGATCTTGACCGTGTTGTTGAGATATACCGGCTTGCTTCAAGCATGAAGATCGAGAAGAGTGCCGCGATGGTCGATTGCGTCGTTCTCGCACATATTCAAGATGAGCGGCTTCAGCAGGCGGAGAAAATATGTGAAGATGCTCTTGGCATGAATCTCAAAGGTTCGAAAATCCGAATGTGGAATTACCTCCTTCATGCATATGCAATGCGCCGCGACCTTGTCAACGTCAATCGACTACTTCGACGCATGTCAGAAGCTGGTTTGGATTATGACCAGCACACTTACTCGGCACTAATGCAAGCTTTAGCAATGGTCAAACAGCCTGATCGTGCTTACGCCATTTTGCAGGATGTGATGAGAGATGCCGGGGTTAGAGTTACCAGCTTGCACTACGCAGTTGTAATGGGAGGCTACATCGCAAATGGAGAGTACCGCAAAGTATTTCACTTGCAGAATCGTATGAAGCGGCGAGGCATACGCAATTCAGCGAGCACAAAATTTATTGCCATGAAGGCAGCAGACGCTGAAGATCAGAAACTGCTCGAAAGCGGCACGGAGAAGGAGCAGGGCCAACGGGCACTTCAGATGTTCCAAGAAGTCCTCAACTCGATGGATCAGCAGGATATATCTGCTTCACCACAAAAAGGCACTCATCGTATGCCTCGCCATATCGCCTACACTTCAATGTTTTACAGTTATGTGATGTTTGTTCTTGGCCAAAGCAACGAAACCGAAACGGTCGAAGAACTCTACAACCAGTTTATCAGGACATTACCGGAAGATGCCCGTGATTCGCCTCCAATTGCGGTATTGTCGGCGATGATGTTGACAAAATTGCGGAACCGTGATTCAAAGGGGGTCCAAGAATGCTGGGATCTTGCCGTGGCTAAGGCCAAGGCCCAAGGAGTGCCTCTCCGACCCTTGGGCCGCGCTGCGCAATCCGAAAGTGCGCAATTGGACAGTTTTGATACCAGTTCTACCTACGAAAGCCCGAAGATCGTTCCACTTCATCAGTTAGACTTGTCAAGAAGCCTGAGTACATACATGATTTCTCTAGCCAGACAAGGGAGGAGCGACGATATTCCCAGTGTCGTCAATGGATTGCTAGAGGAAGGTTTCCTCCTGGATAATAAGAACTGGAACCTGTATATCCAGCTCCTAGCTCAACGATACCGCTACAAGCTCGCTTTTGAACTTTGCGAGGAGAAGCTCATGGATGGCTGGACAGGTTGGGCACGTCTTCGATGGCAGGAACCGGTGAGAAATCGCCTACCGATCGAAGTGCGCAACAAGAAAAAAGAACCAAAGCATTTGAGGCCGAATTCGTCCACGTTACTCTTCTTGGCTCGAGGATTCCTCGAGCTTCAAGCTATGTCGGCAGAATCGAGGGCCAGTCAGACGCTGCTTGAGGATTTGCAGCGTACCTGTCCACGGACATTACTGGCGATAAGAACGATGCAACGGACGGATAATGCGCTAGAACGTGAAATACTAAGGGGATATTAAGTTGTATATTATATAGAGAGAAAGTTTATTTATCAATCCAGATCTCCTAATACTCTTGTATGTTCGCAATCGGCGAATGGGATATCTGCTTCTATTCAAACCGTATTCATGGCTGCCTCTGGGAATCCCAGTCCACGTTTCAGCCTTGTTGGCCGTGTTTTTTGTCTTTGTCTACGACTTACTCACGAAGCCAGTAGGAACAAGCAAGGTCCGCGGGTTACTAACGCTAATCTGCTGCTTCATCCAAGCTTGCATCCTCCCCACCTCCCCATGGCTGAATTTCACAGCCTCCTCACTTGAAGGTTTTCTGGCACGGGAAATACTTCAGTAGACAAGGAGAATTCAATATCTCCGCTGAACAAGGCTCCAACAAGATTAGACCTTTGCTGGATGGCGATTGTTGGGTTTGTATTCCGGCAGGGCGTAATGACGCCGAGTCGGGGGTAATCAGAAGGAGGAGATGCGTGTATCAAAACGAAGAGCGAAAGTGATCTTGAGACGAGAATTTTAACGTAGATTCCTTGATTCCACAATCTTCATTGCCTCCTCCCACTCTTCCTTGGTCTTCGCACCCATGATCCACTCCTGGCGCAAAGGTGGAATCATCTTCCCATTAACTTGCTTGATCACGTTACTCATCCCATTCATTCCCTGTGCAGCATTCTCTTTCAGCTGCTGCAGCGCCTCTGGACTCCATATTGCCAGCAACGGCTCCGCAAATCCATCCTTGTTCAGAAAACAAGTGATAGGTGATGAGTACTCGAGAACAAGTTGCTGTAATGCTGTAGGTGGCAAGAGAGGATAATCACATCCCAACACGAGCCAGTTGGAGTCTGGGAACATTGTGTGTGCTGCCAGAAGACCAGCCGCGGGCCCGATATCATTCTCCTGATCATCGAAAATCGGCTTGATGGCAGGGAATGGGGCGTGATCATGATCGTGATTGGAAGTCGCCGTATTGGCATTCGACGGTTTGGAAGCCTCCTCAACCTTGGATTCAAGGGCCGAAAATTGACTTGGCTCGTGAAGAGAGATGTATATTGTAGTAGCTGAAGGGACTGCGCTATGGAGCGTGTCAAGAGAATGCTCAAACGCGAGCCGGCCGTCCGGGAACGGTAAGAGTTCTTTACGGGTCCCCATTCGAGACGATTGGCCCCCAACGAGGAGGAGAGGTTTTAACTCAAGATCTTCGATTTTAGAGTTCATTTTGCCAGGCCGATTTTCCTCATCACATTGCTGATTTTGGAGAAGAATGGGACTGCGGAGCGTGACCAAGATTCAATCACGTTTGTTTCACGTGATATACATGGTCTGTGCTTCAGGACATCTACCCCGCTGAAAAAAGGGGCAAGCTAAATATGGAAGAAGTCTTTGCATGATTGGTCCTTTTATTATTCCTTGATGTCTTGTTGCTTTTCTCCGTTTCGCTGTATATATCATCTTTGGTATCCAAGAGATTCAATGCAAGCTAGATTTGGATCCAACCATTCAGCCATCCGAACATTTTCCTTCATCGTGCGCCATCCTTGCGCCAGATATATCCTCTCCAGACCACCTCAGATTCGCTCATATTAAGTAGGTAGGGCAGAACAAAAGAGTGTTGGGTAATCTATAAAGATAAATTTACATAACTAAATGACAGGATTTTAGAGCGAGGATCTGCCTAAACACCAGGTAGATCGAAACCAGGAAGGTTCGCTGGCCAGTTGCCAAATCCAGCCGGGTCTTTGCCAATGCGGATGAACTGGCCTACGGATGGGGTAGGTCCGTCAAGCACAAAGAACATGAACCAACCTGGTGGCGCAGTGTGGGCATCGGGTGGAGCTGTGACCTGGCAGACATTGTCTGTACAGGATACAGCCGGGAAGATGGTCCTTTGCCCCATAGCGTTCCCGTGAGTACTCACTACAGATCCTAGCATCGAGACCCTAACGTTGGCGGCAGGAATAGCACCAGAAGTAATCGTAACAGTAATCGTCTCGCCCCAGTCCCAATCTGTGCTTGAAAGGGTAAATGTTGGTCGTGGGAGGTTGGACAGCAGGTAAGGTGGCGTGAACACTTCAACGCGGTATTCTTCAGGCCACTCACCGCCAGGGTCTGTGTAATCGCCAGTGGGATCGGATCCGGAAACCAGAACTCGTCCGTCAAGCAGTACAATAGCCTCTGAATGGTAAAGACGAGCGACTGTCGTGTTTGCCATAACACTCATACGATTGTTGATTGGCTTGGTAGGATCATAGAGAATGGCATTGTAATTCGGAGAACCGCCCAGGCCAAACCCAGCAACACCGTGCTGAGCGCCATTCAGGATGAGGTAAGTTCCATCAGGGAGACCTGCCATGCAAGGCATAACTCGCCGGGAGGGCTGTGAAAGGGAAAGGAGTCAGTATTACAAGAACAACTTCAGTTTGGAATAATTTGCATACCATTCTTTCAATAGTCCACGTAGGATTTGGATCTTCCGGTGCGGTTGACACGCAGTTGTCAATAGGATATCCACCATTAGAAGTAGAACCACCACAGATTAAGACTTGTAGATTATCAGTGTATGGTGCATGCTGAGGTAACAGGACCATAGATCCTTCCAGTTGATAAGTACGTCCACCGGTCGGGTCATTGACAGCACCAGGAATGTTCGGCAGTGTCTTGATTGTCTCAAATGTTACCTCGTCCAGGATTCGCGCCTCGTTGTAATATGCAATAAAGATACCAGATGGGATAACACAGGTGTACGGGTAGAGGTTGAAAGGGGCGGTCCGATCGAGGAATTCCAAATAAACAGTTGTGTTAGAATAACCGCTTGTTGTAGATGGATCTGGCACACCCGTCGCCGGGAGAAGTTCAAGCGTGGGCTGTTCGGCATCATTGCTTCCAATCTCACCGCCCACAATGAGCATGGATCCATTAGCCATTATCATAGCTGTTGGGTACCATCGTGGGACTTGTAGCGAAAGAACACCAGGGTCCTCTGCCCATTGATTCTTGCCCGGGACTCCAGCAGATCCGTCAGGCCAATAGACCCTGATACCAAAGTTTGATTCGCCGGCCCATCCTCCAATTGTAACCTGCCGTCCGGCTTTATCGGGCAACGTGACTCCAGCAGAGCAAAACACGTCGGTCTGCATTCCAGTCATTGACCTCCAAGCGAGATCCCAGTTGTCAATCTCAGTGAGATCAAGCTCATAAGCTCCGGTTCCATTTGGCTCACCAGAGCCATATTTCTCGGTGAAGGTGACCTTTCCAGTTACCACTTGTGAGGTCATTAGGGGGACGACAACACCGCCAATCAAAAATGTGTATGTCCCAGCGGCATCACCTGTGGGGAATTCCCAGTTGTAGAGAGGAGTGGGGCCTTCATAGGCATACCATGTCAACAGGTTTCCCGACCCACAGAGGTGTTGACCATCACCAGAACAGACAGAATTGCACTGTGAATCATCAACAGTTTGTGGCTGGGCACTTCGAGTGTAATACTGGATGGCGCTTGGATCTGTTGACACGCCCGGAGCTGAGGCAACATAAATATTCTCGACGTCACCGCAGTAGCACTCGGAACCGTACTCCAATCCAGCGGCGTTGTAACCAAACAGTTGACACTGTTCAATGCACGCAGTTGGCGTGTTGGAAGCGTTATTCCAGACCTGGTAGGGGAACGTCGATACAATCTCGTTTGCATCTTCCTTTGAAGGAATGTTGTCCTGGAGACATCCTTGGTATACCCAGTTTGCAGGTAAGCCAGTTTTCTGAATAGATGGCGCCTGGTAGGCTTGCGGAGTTCCAAGAGAATACAGTGACATCCTGTTTCCTGCGCCGCACATCTCGGTTGAATCACCTCCACAGGCCATATTGCAGTCTGTTTGGGCAGCAGCAAGAGCACCCCCATTATAAATTTGATTATCACAGAAGCATTGGATGCCGTATTCCATTCCTGCAATTGTATATCCTGCTGCTACACACGCTGCAACACATGACTGTTGAGTGAGTTGTTGGTTATCATCCAATTGGTGGTTCAGAATACGGCCATTAGTACCATCAACGTAACATCCTTGGTATGTCCAGTTGGCAGGGAAGCCCGTTTGGACTGGCTTGCTAACGGAGATGGGTATTGTCGAAGAGCTAGAGACGACTGATGTAGGTACGACTGTCCCTGTTCCAGAAGTGCTAGAGGCCACTGCTGAGCCTCGCGAGTACATCTCCAGTCTATTTCCGGCACCACAGTATTCGGACTCATCGCCTGCGCATACGAAACTGCAATCCTCTTGATTGGTAGCAAGAACAGATCCAGTATTGATAGTATCGCCGCAGTAACCTGTCGATCTTGTTAGTGTATGTTCAATAGGGAGAACAGGTGCAGCGAACATTCTCCTCCATATTCAACACCAAAGTAAGTATGACTAGCGCAGTCTGCTGCACAATCTTCCAATGTCATCGCAGTATAATCATAGAATGAAGCGGCAGAGAGTGCCCGACCGTTGGTTGCTTCGGTATAACATCCCAAGAATGAATAGGTCCCAACTTCGTTCTTCAGCCCAAGGCTTGGGGCTGCGGCCGCAGGAGAAGAGGAGACTGGAGATAAAGCCGAAGAGCTCACTAACGTCGCTGATTGGGAAGTTGTAGGCTGGACCGGCAAGCTTACTGAGCTTGTGGGGGAGGTTGAGGTCGATGTATACGGAGGCAATGACACATCATTTTTATAATCATAAACACCAAGTCTAGAGGAGCCACCGCAGAATTCGGAATGGTTGCCATTGCAAAGCATATTGCAACCAGCCAACCCATCTGGAGCGAGGGCACCTCCATTCTCAATGGCGTCGCCACAATCTGCAGAAATAGTTAGAAGATTGTCATATAAGAGAAGTAAACGACAAGGCCGTCTCAGAATTTGTGCGATTGTCCAAACAATTTCAGCAACCCAACTTATGTAAGGTGCATTGGATCCAAGTTTAGTTGCAGAAACAGTTCGGATAATCGCAGAAAGCTGAAGAGACTGAAGAGATTTATCTCGGGTCGGGTTATCACAACACTAGAGATAAGTAAGAGCTTACAGCATTCTCCAGAGTATTCCACTCCAGCAAGCGGATAGCCTGCTGTTTGGCATGCGGATAAGCAGAGATCAACTGTCATCAATGACGACCCGCCGGTTGTGGTAGCTCCATAGGTCAGAGCTCGCCCAGTGGTCCCTTCTCTAGAGGTAAGTTAAGTCAGCAATGAATGAGTTGCATGGCGCACGTGATTTTGAATTGATGGACCACTTTCAACCAGCTCTCGGGGAATGCATGTGGAAGATATAGGAACTCTCGCTAGAGCATCTGGGACCCTTGATCGACAGGTAGGATGTGTAAAGATAAAAACGAAGGGAAGTATTTGAATTACTCACGCGTAGCATCCAGAGAAGGTCCAGCTTCCATTTCCAGGATTGATTTGTGGTCCGGTTGTGCCGCTCCAGAAAAGGTTCAATCTGTTTGGACCGCCACACGCTTCTGTGGCATTGCCTGAACAAGCCATCGAGCAGTCCCCGGAAGCGGCCAGTCCTGATCCTGTTGCCAGAGAGCTACCGCAAACTAACGGTGTCAGACTTATTCGATACACCTGAGTAGATGACTTACAGCACTGAGTTGAGTATTCTGTCCCAGCATATGTAAAACCGGCAGTAGTACAATAAGAAATGCAGGATTCAACGGTCATAGCCACATTGTCATCATACCCTCCGCCAGTCAGGGTGCGGCCAACATCCCTATATTGCGGTGAGTTTCCTTGACTGTTGGGGAACTTATGATGAAAACATACACATAACATCCTTGAGATGTCCAATTACCTGGAAGATTGGAAGGTATGACAAGAGCTCTCCTCTCGATAGTCAAAGCATTAGTTAACTGTTCACAATTAGAACAGTCTATCCAAACAAGTATCAACTTCCATCGAGAAACGCACGTGTGATATCAAGGAAATTGCTCTAAGAGCATATCCAAGATTCCGCACCATCGTTCAAGGATCTCACCCAGTACTGGGCGTAGCGATAGTATTGGGCCAACGATATTCTAATTAAGGAAGAAAATTATATATCTCATGGGGCCTTCGGATTATAAAGGACAGTAACAGCGGGGACGACAGTCGCCATCTGGCCTGGTCTGGGGAAGTGAGGCAGTAATGTTAATGATATACTTCGTACAGAGTGAGGAGAAATAGAAAAAGCTTCAGCTTGGTGACGCTGGTCCCTGTTCCTGCCAGGGGTATATGCATTGTATACGATATAGGGTAAGCTTGTAGATGGTTCGTCCGTATCTGGACAATTCCCGGGCTTCGAGACCCCAGAGATTCCCAGAGCCTTCAGCTTTTCGACGGTACAGTAGTACCACATCATCTGGAAAATGGAGGAATTAGGTCCAGACCCGGTCCAATGTGAAGATGCTATTGTTGGCGGTCAACAACAAAACTCAGCGATAGACCCAATCGGAAAATTTCCCACCCCTACTAGGCTGATCCCTCTTTTTCAGATAAGATATATCCTGGGGGTTTGCGTGACGGGTGAGCTATCGAATACGAGTTAATAGGGGTCAGCAAATCGTTGTTATACGTACTATATAACAGAGTATAATCATCTACTGCTGTGTGTGATCATCAGGCCATTATGCTCTTGCATACCTAGGTAGAGACGTGTAGCCCTAGGGAAGTATGATCGCGCGATAAATATAGTCAAGAATAGCCCAGAATTTACCCAACATGGTACTGATTAACGACACATGAAAAGTAGCATAACTTTTATATAATCTCCAGATACGTAAACGTCCAAAACAGCCTTGATATTGAGGATATACCATGGCCTTTTCAACGCTGATTTACCTAAGGTAACCATTATCACTCACGGGGTACTGTATATGGTCCCCTCTACTCGCTAAGGCTGCAAGCGAGCTGCGACCTGCCAAGGGCCAAGGCAGAGAGAAAAACGCCACCAATATAATCGTGGCATGGTGGTGGTGATTACTAGGCACTCAACCTGTTCGGACTACTGTACTCAGAAGCCCAAGGAGCGAGGCTCTCAAGAGTTGGAACGCCTTTGGTTGCTCTTGGTCACCTCGTATCGCCTGTTCTCGGCAACGTCTAGATATGTAGGCGCTCGGTGTTAAATCTGCGAACTGGGCCGCCGAGAACGAGACACGGTGCGAGATGGAACATGATAGGTGAGGTAAGAAGGGAAGGGGATAGCAATTACTGCAGTGCTGTTGAGTGGAGTACTATTATACGAAGCACATGAAGATGACCTAGGCTAAATATAACCCGCAGGATGCGGGTTATGCCACAGCTTCAAGCTACACGTCGGCGCCCTCCTATCGCAGCCGACAACTTCGGTGAGATTTTGCGCGTTATATGCGTGGTAGCAGTAGAGAGGCACAGTTAACTGCCCAACTCGGCATGTCTTTGAACAACAAGCTGATAAGGTTACAACGGGTAAACGCGTGGAGTAGGAGGCTCAAAGATGTTGACAACGGCTGAACGCATACTTCAAGCAAGCCATGGGAAAAAGAAAACGAAGAGAACAGATGACCCCACTCAGGGCTGAGCTGTGAGCTTGTGAATGTGTTGGCGCCATAGATGATAGAGGTGGCTTTACAGCTGAGTGTTGCAGGTACATGGGCCGCGGGGAGGAGTTGCATGAATCATGGGCACGGCAATAATACCATGGCAACCATGCACAGGGTTGTAGGTAAAGGCAAGGTAAGGTAAAGAAAGGGTTGGGTAAAGTGCAACACGGGATATCACGTGCAGGACATGTTGAGTATTGGCTGGCTGGATCGGGCCAAGGCGGTAATAGGACCACGAGGTTCAGATAAGACGGTAACATTATACAAATCTACGGTCTACGTTGTACCTAGGTAGTATAGAGTAGAGAGTATCCTGTGTAGAGTATTTGTACCATCATGCAGACCAAAAGGTAAAATACGCCTTTGTGCTCCTTCCTGCAGAACATTTCTGCACAGATGTTGGCGTTGGTAATTAACGAAGTACTGGCAATGCATTACAACAAACCAGCCCGTTTGGCTTAGTGGTACAGCGTCTCACTCGTAACTTCGAAAATGAGAAGATCCGCGGTTCGATTCCGCGAATGGGCAGATACACGCAACATATCATTTTTGCTCCTTCAATATATTTCCTATTTCTTTTAAATATCTTTTTTGTCTAGATGACAGGCTGAGAACCCTATGATCATGGGTCTTTTGACACTCTTTCGACCGCCTAACATCTCAGCCCTCGCTTTTCAGCCAACAACTTTTTTATCACGAAACATGGGCGACATCAATGAAGCCACTTTCCAACGGTGTCTGTCAATTCTTCCCTCGAGGCTCGTGGTTTCATTTAAGGAGGGAGGTGGGATTTTGTTCGTTGTGGGGTCGCCGCTTCCAGAAGGATTGCAAGCCCGAAAGAGAGACGAGGACGATACCTCCAAGCTATTTTGGGATGGAATTGGCTTCCTTGGCCCGAATCTACAGGAGATCCCTCGGTGTTGTTGGTAAGTTGTTGAGGGAGATTCGAAATTGGCACTCTTGCTGAGTGTAAGCTTCTACATAGAGGGAAAACTGACAAGCATCATAAATCATGTTCAGAGCAATGTGAGATATAGATTGTCTATTGTATCTACTATCCCCCCTCCCATTTTATTCCTTCTCGCTCATGTCAAGCTCATCCATTTCAGTCCAGTTTGCCGATAGGAGTTATTTCTGCAAACCTAAGATGGCCAAAATCCAGCTCCGGTCCATGCGACCATACGTCCCATACATCCCATACGTCCATCCATTAGCTCATTGTATTTAGAATAAGATCAAATACTTCGGTCCATAAGGCCTTCTTAGGCCCTTATGAGACCGTCCATTTCTCTCTCCACCATGCTATCCCCTCCATCTAAACACGCAAAAGAAAATCCGCCTACCCGCCTATCACCGCTATGCCATGCATCAAAAAGAGGGGAGACGAAAGAAATGATCAAAACCCGGAAGAGACATAAACGATTCATATATCTAGCCATTGAACCGGAATCTTGTAGCTTCGAGATCCCCAAGGCCATCTCTAGGAGCGACGTATCGTCGGCGATAGCTGTTCGTGAAGTCCTGAAGAAGACTGCGAACCTTTCGTAGACCATCGCGTCCAAGCGAAAGTCGGTCCCGGATACCAGCCAAGAGGCGGTCAATTTCGTTCTCGCTTACTGTACCTGGTGGTAACATTCTGACGGTTTTGTCGACCCAGGCGGTGGTCTGTTGTGGCATGATCTCGAAGAGGCCGAGGAGAACGCCACTTCCATCTGAAAAACAGTCGTTGGGGAAGGTAATCATCATGCCTGCCATGATAGATTTGACAAGTTGCTCCCCGTTGGAGAGGATGAGCTCTTGCACAGTGTGCTGGATTTCTGGGGGGTTGGGACTACTGCTTGAGCTGGGAGGATTATCGCCACCATAACCGATGACATCTCGAATGTAATGCAGAGAAGCCGAGAGGGGATCTCTTTGCTCGAGAGCTAAAGCGGCGATCGCAGCTTGGAATATAGGTGAGAACAACTCTGATCGAACGAGCTTGTGGGGATAATAGAGCAGCGCATCTATCAGGAGGCGATAGAAATCCTCAATTACATCAGGCAAGTCTTGCGGTGGAAGATTGCTCATCATTCGAAGCATATTGGTTGACTGCGCTTCGAAAAATGCATAGATGGCTTCTGTTGTCTGCTCATCGACGTGCTCTCGATCCTCGGAGAATTCCCGTAAAATTGCACTTGTGACCCAGAGGAAACAGCCCTGCTTTGAAACAGCAAAGCCGCTGGCTAGCTTGTTAGCCATCTGGGGTAGCAGAGGTGCCATGGCGGTGCGGTATGAAATAACCATGTATCGCCAGCAACGACAAATTCGCTCACAAATCGGGATAAACTGGATGAATGATTCTAGGATGGTCGACAAGACTGGGAATATTTCCTGGCAGTATTTGACGGCTGGATTCTCTTGACCGGGTTCCACATAAGGGGTGACAAGCTGGACGAAGAAAGTTATCAACTGCAGATGATCTGGTAATACAAATTAGCATAGGATTTCACAAGACAAATAGGGTACAAACCTGCAACTGCAAGTTTTCCATCCTCGTCCGTAGCTAGATTGGCTTTTGTCATCAGTCTTGCCATCAGCGGATCGCAATAGAGTTTCAGTAGGTCATAAATTTGAGCAGGCGGTTGGACTGCCACAACAGACGCAACACCTTCAGTCAGTTCATCTTGACTGATACCCGGTAATTTATCCAGAGTTTGATCGTAAAAGTTTTGAAGCTGCACCACCTGCCCGCTAAGGAGATGTTTACAATCGCTACAAAAGAATTTCATAGCCATGGCAGCCGCGCGTACGATTTCCTTGGAATCCGTTCCAAAGGATGATACAATGTACGTAAACTGAATTTCCAAGAATTCGGGGTGGTTTGACGTCCATTCCGTATATCGACCAAGTACCATGATCGTAGCGAAGCGTAATTTTTCGTGGTTGGGTATCTGAACAATCAAAGGTATAATTTGCGGGAGGATGATATCTTCATCTTTGTCCACCATGCGTCCCATTGCACGCATACTGAAAAGAGGTGCCTCGAGCTGCTGCCAGTGGGGGACGGAGTTTTCAGTTGCTTGGCTGGCATAGGAAGCCATCCAAGTCTTGATGCATACAAGGACCTTCGAAAGACACTCTGTGACGCCCATTATCTCGCAGCAATCCTTGAGGACGTCCCCCATATGATGTCGGAACTCGCGGAACTTCTCCTCTGCTTCCCGATCTCCATCAAATAGGTCAGCCTCATTAGCGCCATCCGGACTTGGGTACTCTAGCTGCTTAATCATGACATCCACAAGCTTTGAATAGATATCCACGTATTGCATGCGAGCTTCAATGTATCTTTCTAGGATGAGATACAATTTCAACTCATACCAGAAGATAAACGTCAAGGCGATGGCATCCCTATCAATATCCCTGGCAGCACACTCCAACACGGCCTCAACGATAGGGCGGAACGATGTTGGCTCACGTGCAATGAGGACTACCCAGGCTTCGCCAGCTTCAGCGAAGATACGAGTAATACCCTTGTATAGATCTGTATCCTCCTGTTCTGCTGCTTGTTGAATACGAGGACGTAGAGCGATAATCCGAGGCAATAGAATCTGGATCGTAGAAAGATATTCATCCACATCGCGAGTTTCTTTGAAAATTGCAACTAAACAATCTGTGGCAGCCTCAAACGATCGATCGTTGTCCAGGGCGTTAAATATGATATTCAAGAGAGGAGAATTCACAATGTCGCCTACTGGCACTTCTCGCAACCAGGATGTTATGACTTCGAGAAGCTGGGGGTTCGTCGCCGCGGAATCTATGGATCCTTTAGTCAAAGTGGAATCTAAGTGTCGGCTGGTATGCATACCTGATGATTGAGCATAGCTGATCAATAGCCCTACAACAAGGCTAGCATTGTCTCCCAACAGCTCCTGTGCTCTTTGAGATAGCTCTTCTTCCTAATATGACGCATTAGATTCTGATACTGGTATTCTCTCGCCAACTCTAAGTCGTTGATGCTCGCAGAATGGTATCTTTCGGCCCACATACAGTCAAATTGATCTTGCGTCCTTCGGTGACTTCTTCGGGAAGAACCTTCAAAAACTCCAGGATACAGGCATGGCTCTCAGCCTCATTACCCAATGCTGATACAATCGTTTGCACAACATCTTTCCAGCCTATCATTTGTATTGCTAAAATGGCCAAGCAAACACATAGTTGAGTTCGAATAGGTCGCGGGCCCGCTGCAAAAACTTTCAAAAGCCCTAAAATTTGATCTCGAAGTTCGGGTAATGCGCCTGCTGGTATTTGTTGGATATCGTAGGTGACCTTGCTCGTCAGCTTCCAAGCATACTGGCTGGGTAATTTATGTCCTTACCTTGCCTCTCAGAGTTGTAGCCGCAAACATCTGATGTTCAGCATCAACTTGAGACTGCAAGATTCCAATTGTGATCTGCCAGGCCTCTGTCTGCGAGAGCTATGAGCTTACGGCCTCAGATGTGGGGAAGTCATCTTCACGGTTGACCTACCGACTTTTGAAATTTCTCCAAGTACGAGTGCGCCGCCTGTTTTTGTTCTCTCTGTCCATCGCGCATGGTTGACATGGCCGTCAAAACAGGCGCAAACGCCTGTTGAGGCCCGCTTCCATTTGCAGCCATGGCTACCATTCGTGAAGGTGGGGTAGAGGATGAGGGCGAGTGAGGTCTAAATACGCCGAAGAGGCATGCACCAACCGAGAAAATGATCGTCAGTCCTTTTCTGATAGGTGTTTGAGTTTGAAAGGACGAAAAAAGGAGTGTAGAGGGTCGATTATCGGTTCGTTTTGTATGAAGCAGGTAAATGTGGAGGACGGGCCGACGTCTCCAAAGAAATCACTAGCGCCATTCTGACAAGGCTGCCCAAGGAAGCTTCAAGTCGCGACAGGATTTGGGAACACCACGGCAGACAACCACAAAAATCAGTCTCGAACCCCAACACTCGAATCACGATAGAATCTTGCTAGTTCTGAGCGCCGGTGTCAACCTAAAATTCAAGATGAACAGAGGAGGCAGTGGAGGTGGGCGCAAAGTCCTTCTCCCTCCTATCAATTTCATCTTCAAACTCCTACAACAACACTCGACTGTACAGATCTGGCTTTACGAGCAGCTGGCGATCAGGATTGAAGGTAGAATTAGGGTCAGTTGCAAGTCTCTGGGTACATTGGTGATCTCGTCCTGACAGTTGCGCCGCAGGGCTTTGACGAATTCATGAACTTGGTTATTGACGATGCCGTGGAGGTGAAGCAAGCCACGAAAACAACTGAGGAGAGTCGGAGGTCTTTAGGTACTTGTCAAATCAAAGGCTCCTTTTCGAAGCATACTAATTTCGGTCTAGGTCAAATACTGTTGAAGGGAGATAATGTGTCGTTGATTCAGAGCTTGAGCGGATAGACGATATCAAAAGGCGTTTTGTGCGTTTGGGTGTGATCTAGGGACGATAAAAAGGCACGATGGGATTTGAGGGACTGCAACTTGGCGGAATTACCCAGTTTGGGTTTGATACGGCTCTATTCTTTTGTGCTAGGATCCCCCAAGATCGTGCCGTCTCCAACCAGCAGACCATGCAAAAGACTATCATGTTCTCCAACGGGTACTGAAGCTTTAGCCTCGGACTTCAGAATCTGCTCCTTGAGGGCCAGACCATATAGCAATACATCAGTTCCTGGACTGGTTGAAGGTCTCACCACCCGTGATCCTTGATTGTCCCTATATCTATCCAAGAAGTAGTCATAGAAACCTTTTCCGTGACCAAGACGTCTGACGTATCCACTAGTTGGATCGATTTCAAAAGCCACGCCGGGCATCAGAATCATATCTAGTGGTTGAGCTCCTTTTGCTAATATGCGTTCTCTTTGTTCAACTGTCTCTGCTCCAATAGTCGGTATTCCCCAACTGTCCCTCTTCAACGATTCATAATCTGACACAGATCGTAGGTCTACCATATCCATCACTGACTTGGGAGTATCAGGTGGTGGGTTTTGAGCCCTGTGAAGGTAAGGCACAAAAACTTGCTTTCCAGTTCCAAGTGCGTGTCGTACAATGGCATCTGTTTGGATCTCGCCAGTGGGCATAGAAAGGTAGATCCCAATCCGTTTTGCCTCTTGATACGGCTTGAAATCTTGGATGCACCTGAATACAGCGGCACCTGACACTGGTTAGTAAGTTCTGGAAACGCTGGTTATGTAGGCCTACTTTGGGAAGAGACGGATGTGTTTGATATCTCAGATAACCTCTGCTTCATGAGGGTACGAAGCTCTTTCTTTGCAGACTTCAAAACTGTAGGTGTGGCCATGGTTTCTTCTTGAACTGTGCTCTTCCCCATATCAAAATCTCAAAAACGATGGATATATCAACGGGATTATGATCATGATACGCTTTGCATTTCCATTCGAATACCAAAGGATTTATGATATTCGGTATCAATTACTGGAACCCTTGCTGCAAACAAGTACGTCTCGAGGGGCCTTATAGTAAATCCGGGTCTCGACCATTGCCTTCCTTCCCGCGTAACCAGGACTTCAGTTTCCCTGTTTCATCACGAGAAGATTTCGGTGTGGCTGTCTTCGTGGCGCCCGTCCTGTGGCTGATGCCGCTAACACAACCACCGTTACGAGATCCGCGAGATCCCATCCCTAATAAATCTTGCTTGAACCTCAGGAATACTCCGACACAACAACATTCCACAATGGCTTCCGTCCTACAGTCGTTACTTCTCGTCGGTGCTCTTTTATCCTCTACCGCCAGCGCACAAATACCCTCATCACTCGTCGGAACATGGTCTACAAAATCTGGAAAAGTCTTGACTGGTCCGGTGAGTTTCTATTCTTGGAACAAGAGCTCTCGAGTTGGCAACGATGACCTTAGAGGATTTGCAGTACTGATCTGGGGGTGCAGGGGTTTTATAATCCTGTCAATGATAGTTTCATCGAGCCAAGTCTTACGGGAATATCGTATTCGTTCACTATAGATGGGTTTTACGAGGAGGCATACTACAGAGCCGTTTCGAATCGTACGTCACATCGTAAAGCCTGGACAGGTAGGGAGATACTGATGGATAGTAGCTACGAAGCCCAATTGTCCCCAAGCAATCATGCAATTCCAACACGGCACGGTCACCTCGAACGCAGACGGATCGCTGGACCTTACGCCCTTCGCGGTTGATGGCAGGCAATTGCTGTCAGATCCATGCGGTGGCACTGATAACAAAGGGTTGGCCACATACACACGCTACAACCAGTCAGAAACCATGAAGGTATGTTGTTTCTTACTCAAAAACAACGTGCTTCTCCTAATGTGCTGTAGAAATGGCAAGTATATGAAGACCCGTACACGAAATTGACACGTCTCGACCTCTACCAATTCGATGGCACCCCAGTGAATCCTATGTTCCTTGCGTTTAGCCCACCTCAAATGCTTCCAACGATTACGATGAACCCCACAACGGCCGCCGCAACCGCGACGGGGAAGGCGAAGAGAGACTCAACGGAAATGTCAGTACCTCTAAACAAGAATGCAGCGCACATCAAACGAGGAATTGAGAAACCGTCTCTCATTCATCGAATCGATTTGGACCTACTTTGGTGGACGGGAGTAGGCATGACGATATTTGGCGGGGCCGCATACTTGTTATAGCCGGCTGAACCCTCTGTGTTTGAATTGCATTTCTGGAAATGGAATCGGGAGTATTAGATGCTAGGCGTATACCATGTTTCACGTGCTTGGTATGAAAGGAGTTCGGATTAGCATCCCTGGGAAATAATGAATATGGGGAGTCGGTGTTTGCCAATAAGCCATGATGTACTTGCAGACCCGTATGTATATGAACCGTTTTATCAACCATATACGCCTGTGGAACAAAGTGTATGAGATGAATTCTATTGACTGAAATCTATTCCAGTGATTGAAATTGATCACAACCGAATCAAGGTCTCTATTTCAAAGGGCAAGAGAGCTTTCTAGCTATTTTATACAGAGCATTCCTCCCAATGGCCTCCGGCTTTCGCAAAGCTCAGACTCTCCAGAAATGCAGTCAGCGTACACCTCCCAAACTCATCACCGCCACAAGTCTTTAGCGGCAACACCCTATCATTAACCAAGACCCTGACATACTCTTCTGGTTCTCCCACACAAGTCATCTTCTCAAAATATGCCCTCGCCGCAAAAGGCACTGTCCAAGAGGCCGAATATCCCTTCATCTCCTGGACATCCTCCAACGTCGTATTCAACAACGGCTGCGTCTCATTATATAGGCCCATCGCTGAGAAGATGCCCGTGAGGTCATTATCGTGGCTAAAATCCGCATACAGGGCGGTCTCGGCTCCAATCGGAAAAGTCTCCTCCGAATCATCCAGCGTGTGGTTAGTGCTCGTGTGGTCATCAACTGGAGTAGCTGTCAATCGAGCAATGAGTTCGTTTGTGAACCCCACGCCTTGTGTTGCGCCTAAAGGATTTCCCCAACTGTAGCCATAGTATTTGCCCAGAGATTGATAATAATCGTAGCTCCGCCATTCCTGCTCTGTAAATAGGTTACAGAAGGGGGACAGTGTCCCGATTGGCGAGGCCACCGTATTGAAAGGACATAGGTCCATAACGTGAATGGTATCCTCATCTGTCAGGTTTGCACCGGGCAGATTCATATTCAGACGTGTAGTGATCGGTGGGATGAATGCATCCACCCATTCCTTCTGCGCACTATCCCCAACCGTGGAGTTCTCAAATACGGTACAGAGACCATGGTCCAAGGTATTGTTTTGTCCAGCATCCTCGCTGATTACCAGAATAGAGTAGGGGTAGCCATCATGAGCAGAGGGTAAGTCGACTAAACGTGCATCATGAAAGCCTTGCGTCCAATTCTGTGCCGATTCAACAACGCGGTCTTGGCCGGATGAACGAATGAAGGGCGTAACGTGTCGAGCGAGGTCCTGGTATCGGTAATAGAACTTTTTACCCGAGTTTACCATTTGCTGCTCGCCGAACACAGAGAGGAGATCTGCTCCCAGAGTGTATTCGTAGTCTTTGATGAAAGCGTAGTCTTTCGAATAAGATGTCGCATTGGCATGGATTTTCTGGACTGTTGCATTGTACCGCTTAGTCTTTGATGCAGTGGGATCTCGAGCACCGTGCCTGGAGAGGATTTGTACGAAGCTGATTTGGCACTGATCTGGTACTTCCGTAGGAATCTCTGATGGAACCGTGAAGTAGGGGGAGTACTGGCCCCAAAACTGAGAGATCTCGGGCTGGCACATGAACCCATGTTGCCAGGTATCACATGATAGAGGAGCAGGGGGACCATAGGGACTGTTTGTTGTTAGAAATGACTACTACAGAGAACTTGCTATAATGAGAGCGTTTTGAAGGGATATAGAAGTGCGGGCTTAAGTCTCCGCAGAAATGGGAACCAAAGGACTTACACAACAGTCCAGTATAAAAGGAGTAGAGTCCCGATAATGCCCGCAACCAAAATGTGCCAACGACATTTTTGTCTTTTGCTGAAATTCTTCGGGTGACCCTCAACCTCGACAAGCGACAACTTCACTGTGTCTTTCTCCATTGATGTTCTCTCCGGTGCTCGAGAACCACGATCGGCCTCCTCGGCCAATGACAAGAGTTCTTCATATTTATGCTTGCCTTCCCCTCCTTGGCCAGTAAGTGCTGCAGTGTAGGCACGCTTCATTCTTGCAGCTCTATACCGGGCCTAGGAGGCCGGAAGAGTAGTACTCACTCTAATTGCGTTGAAAGCCAAGACGGTTAAATTTCTGTCTCATGAAGCCCTTGAATTTTCAGTCTTGATGTGCCGAGAGTGGTAGATAGACTGCTGTACTCTGGAAATGAATAGAAGTGCGGTTGTCATCTTTTCTACTTTGGGTTTTGCGAGTCGGATTTGTTGTCGAAGGTTGCCGATGCACGATGATTTTGATGTATCACGTGTTATTCAATTGGACACGGTTTACTCTGGTATGTAGCACAGAGACGGACGAGAGTTAAATATCGTTGAATGGCAGTATACTATGGAAAGTTACTAAGGACATTATCCCTATGAGAAAAACAGACAAGGACCAAGGAAATCCTGGGCTCGGTCACTAGAGCGTGCGCCGAATGGTTAGTCTTTCAGAAAAATATGCATTTATTCATAGTACAGTCTATGTATGTATGACCCCTTCAAACAGTAGCAGGTGCCGGTATTTCTACAAACGCTTGATGATGGCCTCGGCGTACTCGTGAGTCTTCGCCTTTCCACCCAAGTCTCCAGTCAGAGACTTCCCCTCCGCAAGGGTATCAAAGATAGCGGTCTCTATCCGCTGAGCATGTTCATTCAACCCCATGTGTCTCAACATCATGATAGAGCTGAGCAGGAGCGCGGTAGGGTTGGCCAGGGACTTCCCGGCGATATCGGGGGCAGATCCGTGAACGGCCTCGAAAATTGAGCACTCGTCTCCAATGTTGCCAGATGGCGTAAGACCAAGACCTCCGATAAGACCAGCGCACATATCAGAGAGAATGTCACCATACAAGTTGGGCATAACAAGGACTTTGTCGTTGTAGGGTGTAGGATCGGTGACGATCTTCAAGCAGGTGTTGTCGAGCAATTCGGCATCGAATTCAACATCTGGGAAGTCCTTGGCAACACGCTCGGCAGTACCAAGGAAGAGACCGTCACTCATCTTCATGATGGTAGCCTTGTGGACCGCGCGAACCTTCGGTCTGCCGACATTTTGTGCGTATTGGAATGCGAAACGCAACACACGTTCACTAGCTTCTCTCGTGATAAGCTTGATGCTCTGCACAACACCGTCGACCACAACATGCTCGATGCCAGAATACTCCCCCTCAGTGTTCTCTCGGATAAGGACTGTGTCCACATTGTCGTAAGGAGTTTTGTATCCTGCGATCGAGCGGCAAGGTCGGACATTGGCAAAGAGGTTGAAAGTTCGACGGAGGGTCAAGTTCAGCGACACATGGCCTTTACCAATTGGAGTCTAAACATGTCAGTAACTCTATATACCAAGTGAAGCGATATACTCACAGCCAACGGGCCTTTCAGAGCCACCTTGTTCCGCTTGATGCTCTCGACGGTTTCCGGCAAGATTGAAGTCTTGCCATCCTTCAGTTGTGGAGTGACATCGACCGGTTCCCACTTCACTGGTGCCTTTAACTTGTCAGTTGACTTTTCACACCGATTGGTCGTTATTTAATACTTTGGCAGCCGCGAAGATATCCTTGACTGATTGCGAGATTTCCGGTCCGATACCATCACCCTCGATCAAGCTGACTGTGTAGAGGCCCTTGAAGCAATGTCAGTACTCAAAGCATCTATAGAAAACATCTGCAGACTGGAATTCCTTGTAACAGGATAGATCGGCCTCCTGGGTCTTTATCTCTTTATCGCAAAAAGGACGAGGGCCTTACATCTGAGCCTTTCTGTCCAAGGAATTCGGCAACCTTTCCCTGCTCTGTCGCGTAGTGGCGTCGAGACTGAGGTGTAAAACCAATTAGTAAACCCAATCTTCAATGTGGGAGCTTGTATCTGCATACTGCAGCGGGGGACCTTACTTGGATAGATGAGGGTGCCCAGGCACGCACAGGTGCTTGAAAGCACTGTCGTCGCGCAGGGGCAGCGAATGAGCGGATTGCCAGCATTTTGTCGACTCAGCAACCAGAAACACTTTCGCCTATTAGTTGCAAGAGTGCACTCTGGGAGGAAGATGTAAGGGTGAGGAGGGTCAAAGGATTTGCGAAGCCGTAGAAGCGCGGGTCGATGGAGAGTTAAATACCTTACGCGAGTTATCCGGAGGCTCTGCAGAGCGGCACTTGCCGAAGTCGAAGTGGGACGTCTAGGGACATTCATATGCTCACCACGACGACGACCATCGATCTTCGAAGGCAGAAGAGGTGATGGATCTTGAACGGCACACACTCTGACATCACGACATCATTGATGCTTGTCTGAACTGGCAGACGACTCTTTAAAATGACAGATTACGAGCGAACCATATTGGAACATTACAAACTGCCAACTCCATATCCTGTAGAATGGCCTGCCGAAAAGGATCTAAGTGATGGTTCGGATGCAGATGACGACGACAACTCGAGAGCCCTGCGTTTGCAGGAGATGAAAAAGCGCAGATCCAGGTTTTCTGCCTTGGAACGGGTTGCCAGTGACAGACGAAGTCTTGTCCCAGGATCACAAAAGACTGACAATGGGATGGAGAACATGGTGCAGAGAGATGAACCTGATCCTCTAGGTTCTACTGATAGTGTTGTTAGAGTCCTAAGACAGCTGGGCCTGCCAATACAAGAGGATCCAGTACTACGTTTGTATACCCTTATAATACGTAGGGTTATACCTAACAAAGACCAGGTAATAGATTCCTCTTGTCCTCTACGACATTTTCTCCGTCCCTATTCCTCTCCCAAGTCCACGCGAATGCATCTACGCAGGACCTCCTTCAAGGCCTGGATGTACTGTCAAGATCCATTGATCAGAAGTCCGCTTCGTTGAAGGTCTTGGTGGAATCAAATTTCGAGCGCTTCGTTCGCGCCAAACAGACCATCGACAATGTATATAGGGAGATGAAATACCGGGGAGCAGAACCTCCTGCTGCTCGAAATCGGCCTCATTCTCGCCGTACCAGCAGGAACAGCTTCCGAGCGAGTCAGGGTAATCAAGTCGCTATGGCGAATCCTGCTTTGGATAACAGAAAAAAGAACGCTTTGACAAAAGAAAGCGAATATGGAGTTTTGGGAATTAAGACCCCTCTCCTCGATGTCTCTGCGAAGGCCGAAGAAGTCTGGGGACCCGCATTAGGAGGGCGGGAAAAAGAGGATAGTCTAAAAGCTATGTCTACGACTGTCGAACGATACAAGGAATTCTACGAATGTAGCGGAGCAGTAACTGACGCCATCAAACGAAAAGACTATGAGACACTCGTGGAGGAATATGCAAAGGCGAGGCGCTTTGCAGATGATGCAAAGAAACTCACGGAAGATTTGGGAACTTCCTCTCCGACTGACTCTCAAATTCGCAAAATTCTACTGGCGGCACGTCTATGGCATGATGTTGAGGAGCAAATTGAAGACTTCAAGCGTGATATCTGGCGGAGGCTTATTGCAACGCAAAACGTTTCCCTGAAGCCAGAGGGGAGCATTGGTAACCCACCAGACCAGCATATGGAACTCATCGGTATACTTCTCGAGTTGGGAGTAACGGACAACCCAATCTGGGTCTGGTTGCTCAGCCGTTATGACCATTTGAAGAATAAAATCCAAATGACCTCAGATCGTTCCAAGATGGAAATCGAGATAATACGACGCCGGTTAGCATATAGCGAGAGACCATCGCCTCAGACAATAGCTTCTCATTTACGGTCACTAAGTCGACATACGGCGGATGAGAAACCTGCTTCTGTGGATTCCGCTGAGGTCATCGAGCTCTGGGAGAAGATGAATTCTTTCATTAGCGGTATGCTTTCGCCCCAAGGGATCCTTGGAGAAGTATTGGAATTCTGGCAAACCGTGCAGAGCTTCATAGACGGACAAGCACAGAAGGCTTTGCCGGTGGGGATAAACGGGGAGTCTCAACGACATCATAGACTTTCGAGTCAAGGCACAGCCGACTTGCAGAAAGGCACAGTTGAGCTAATAGACATGATCCGGGAGAGTATATTTCAATTCTTTGCTGATCCCCCAATCGACGATATCTCTGCCTTATTTTCGCCATTATTTAGTCCGAAGGCCCCAAAGACCCCAGGCACTGCACAATTCACACCTACCTCGTTTCGGGGGTTTAATATTGACCCCAGTAACCTTCCACCTCCTTCTCCAAAACGAGGCGAGGCGTGGGAGAAATTCGCTTTTTGGCCGCCATGGTCCAACTCGCTCAGTGGAGTACACTATCTAGCAAAGTTTCTTGCATTGGTTGGAACTGGTGCCAGTGAGATGGCCGCGGTTGGTCCCGTGGGCAACGGGGATGGGCAAATTTTAGAACGGCTGAGGACCCTTGTTGGCAGCGCAAGAGAAAGATGTGTCACAGCAATATGTGCAGCTTGGAATAGGGATGCTGAGAACATTAAGGTTTTGGAGGATTGGAGACGATCACCCGAAAAGCGTGATCTCACCCGAATCCCTTCTTATTTTGGCGCTTTTGAAGGAACCATTTTGACGGGAATGCAAAAGATTCTCTACATGTCCGACGCGATGATAAAGCCAGATTCCGTTGATGTCGTCCTTCCGCCGCCAGCAAAGTTACTGCAAATGGTTCGGAGCCAGTTTGTGACGACTCTATACAAAGCTCTGAGTGGAATGGTCGAAAACGCAGAGAAGACTGTCAAGAAGGAGGAAGATGACTGGACAACAGATGCTGATGGTCTCGCTAGTCCTGTTGCAATGATCATGGCAACTAGTATTGGCGCTGGGACCGTCAACGCCGGCGATAGAGTAAGTTACACACCCTATTCTGCAAGCCCACGGCTAACAGTAAATAGAATGTTCGCATGCTCCTAACACTAAGCAATCTCCAAGCCCTGCGAGTAGACGTAGTTCCCAACTTAACCACCCAATTCGAGAACGCCTTCTCGGTCAAACTTACCGAAGAAGCGAAAACTATTCGCGATGTGCTAGGCCAAATAGACGCCCGGCTTTTCCAATCCTACACCCGCCCCGCCGTGCAAACAATCCAAAGCATAATCCGGAACGGCATATCCGACCCGAACTGGGCGCCGGGCCCGAACGAAAAGCCCAAAGAAGCCCGCCCTTACGTTTATGAAATCCTTCTCTCTCTTGTCCTAGTCCACACGCAAGTATCCACCACCGCCTCGGTCCTCACTTCCCAAGTACTCTCTTACCTCCTCGAACAAGTCTCGCGGGAACTGCTCGAAGCTTTCAAGCAGCGCCAGCGCTACACGCTCCCCTCTCTCATGCAAGCGACGCTGGACGTCGAGTTCGTAGCGCAGACATTGAGCCAATACACCACAGACCGAGCGAGCGAGATGCAGAGCCAGATCTACCAGGAGCTCGACAAAGGTACAGACAACGATGCGCGCACGAAGCTACAGAACGAGTTGCCGGAGATGAGAGCGGCGCTCAAGAAGTTGAGGGAGAGGAGTCGCAGCGAGTTCGCTTGCTTTAAGAAGGCTAGGTCGAGGGGGGAGCGTACCCCCGGTGCTACGCCTGTTTAGGCTCCGAGTGCTGATCGAGCGTCACTGGAGCATGGGAAGGAATGGGAAGAGGAATCGTGTTAGATGTGTGGAATAAATTTCTGCTTTTAATCACTCGAGGATCTTGAATCTTGAACTTTCATGACTGACTGGCTGGTGGATGTAATTTGAGATTGTACGATGTTAAGTTGTTTATGATGCAGTTGAGCAGGATGGATAGTGTATCCTAGCTAGATAATCGAGAATAGGGGAAGAGAGGATAGCAATTTAGCATCTTATAATAGCATACGATGACTTCACAGATAATGGGAGCTAGGCAGTTATTTGTCATTCTCATTCATTCGTCTTAATCTGTCTATAAGCATCCCCCAACATGCACATAAGAAGGTCGTTAATCATCGGTCGAAAGGAAAGGTGAGGTGAGGTGTGCTGACAGGCAATAGATAACATCGGCGAGCGATGAAAGCCAGTCGGAGCATCTCGGATAGAGGTATGAGTTATGAAACAATCTGATCCCTCTGTATGTGCAATGAAGCCTGTTATGGAAATATGTGCAAGAGGCACAGGCCTATCTCAGAGGATGCAAGGAGAAAACAGACGAAGAGAATAGCAAAGCAAGCAAGTTGGCCAACAATCACGCAAGTAACGCCCCTATCCACCCACCCGTCAGTGATCTATACCCTCGAACCCCGTAGTTCCAGAAACCGAATTCCAGAACACCGTGGTATAGACAGCCGGAGAAACGTTATGCAATGAAGGACCTGGTCGTTATTGTGCAAGGAGAAACGCCACCGATTCTTGGTTTCCTAATACGCCCGTCCATGAGAAAGGAAAAGCATGAAGAGAAGAGAAATCGTCGTTTTGTTGGATGGTGGACTTTATCAAGCGGCGTGGTCCATACTGGGAAACAGCCGCCTTGGACGGCATGCAGCATCTCGTCTAGATACCCAATCGACAAGAGGAGTATGGTATCGTGATATGTCGAAGGAGGATAAATGGCTTGAGGTGGCCTATACAAACTGGATATAAGCCTGCGAGACGATAGCCGGCGCTCAATCTGAGAGATCGCCAGCAGTCAATGAACCAGAATTATGTGTTCGAAAGCAGTAGCTTCGAGACGAAGCGGAAGTCGAAAGAGTTAGAGTTGCTCTTATCGAAGACGAAGTTTGTTTGTTGGTTGAGGACATGGTTATCTACAGCATGTTAGCTATGCCACTTTAGATTTCGATCTGCCACTTACAGTTGAGTTGGCATTTCTCGAAATATTGGCTTGCATTCGAATCAGCCTCTGTACCCATAGTCCCGTCCGCCTTCTGGTAAGTCTTCGGGAGAATTTTCCTGATCCTCAAGAGCATCTGCAAGAAGTTGGTGACTTTGTCACCTTGAGAAGTGAAATGACTAGGCTGCTTATCAAGAGGCCAGCGAGCTTTAAACTCGTCTTGCTCCCAACACTGGAAGAGCCAGGTGGACTTTTCAATACAGTGTAAGAGAATGACAGCAACGAGGAAGTGCGCAAATGAGCCTGTCGATTTTGATAATAGAAGATCCCTCTCCACGTCATTAATGACCGTCTTACTTAGCTGTGCCGCCTTTTTTTCAGCCGCAGCTTCAAGTTGTAAGACAAGTAGGGCATATGTCTTTCCATGAAGTGTCGGATCAATCAAAGGACCTTGACCAGGTTGAGTTTCAAGATCAGTTCTCTCTGAAAAGTTCCAGCCACCGCCGTCAACAAGGATGTGAACGCTGGCCCAGAGATCCAGGACACGTGTCAAAAGACTGGACCATTCGCTCATGTTTTGAGTAGAGAGTTCCAGGGCAGTAGTCAAGGTGACCTTTACAAAATGCGACGTCTCGTTGTCGATAAATGTGGAGAGCATTCTCTTTGTGTACGCTTCCAACTTCAGTGGGAGATCATCATTGTCGTCATCGAGCATTCGAACAGTGGCAGCAGGAAAGTCACCGCTAAGGCCTGGATCAATGTTTCCTTCAACTGGGATTTTCTGTCCTTGAATTGCTTTGAAAGTGGCGTATATGCCTGTATGGGGATAGTGTGAAGCATCGATATGGAATGGGGAGTTGCTGAATTTGACCTGGTTTTTCTGGCTATTTGAGTCGTGCCGTGCAAGGATCGAGTGTAAACCCAAAGCATACATATCCAGGATAGTGTCAAGTCTGGTACGGATGCAGGGAGTCTTCCATAGACGTGCAGCCTCGATACCTTTGCAGGTATCGCAAGGATCCCCGGTGGAGCAGTTTTTCTTGAGCATTCTGCACCGAATGCAAGCGCCAATTTTTCGAACCTCTTGAACTTCTTGGCGACGTGAATTGTCAAACTTTCCTCGAACCTTCGGCTTGTGAGGCTTCTCCCCATTGCCATATTCTGTACTGAACTCAGTCGTCATTGGTCCACTCATAGTAATCCGAGGGTAGGAGCTAGCTGTTGCAGAAGTTCCTTGCATGCTATTGGTGACGTTCGGGTCGGAATACAAGTTGCTGTCCATAATCCATTGCCCATGTTGATCATGGGGCTGAGAGAAAAAGCCATCTGACATGCCGCTACCAGCCGCATTGAAATCTTGCTCCAGAGATCTGGATTCTGAGACATGCCTGTTGGCAGCGTCCGATAGGAGCTGACGCGAATCATCTGCAAGGAGTTGAGGGTCAACCATATCTGGAATGAAACGAGCCGCGGCTTGTGCAGCTGCCATGGAGCTTGCCGCCATGGCAAGATTTGGCGATGCAGAGCGCGAGTGGGATAAATGAGGGAAAGTTGGTTGTTGAAGAGTAGCTTCATTCTGCTCTCTACGATTTTGCTTTTGGGAAGAAGCTATATGGATTAGCATGAGAAAGGAATATGGGCCGTCAAAGCTTACTCTTCCTGCCTCTTTGAATATGTTGCTCGTAGCTGAGCGGCGGGTTGTCTAGGGTGTACTGCTCTCTCACTTCAAGCTGTTCCTGCTTTTGTGGATCAGGTGTAGATCTAGACTTCTTGCCATCCGGATGGTCATTGGTACCGATCTGTCGTGATACCTCTGCCAGAGTCTCGAGAGCAGTCCAGTTGCGAGTACCGATAGGAAGCTCGACTGTGGGACCGTTCAGTTGTACTTCACCGTTTTGATTGCGAGCCGCATCGCTGGAGAATCCGTTCAACTCAAGCAATGCCTTCTGCCTATCTTGCAAGGATATACCAGGGCACTTCTTCACAAGATGTGTGGTCAAGCTATCGATCCGTCCCTTCGGAAACTTCTCACCGCATGACTTGCACGTATGTTGATATCGATTGCTCGAATCGTTAAGTTTCGCTCCTCGTTCGAAATGTTGAAGAATTAACGCTGCGGAAGCCCATGGAAGTCAGCAAAGAGAGCCTCGAAGTGCGGTTTGCTGCTGATAGAGTGGAGGGAAGATGTAGAGAGGGGGGAGTCGAGTCGACGGTCTCGAACTGGAATTGAGACCTCAAGATCGTCGCATCAATAGGGAAGACTGTGAAAGGACATACCATTTGGTTTCCGACCCATGATTATCAGTGTACGTATGTCGACCGCACAGACAGAGGTTGTAGAGCTGGGTTGGTTTGTTGTTCTTTCTTTGGTTGCTGCGAAAGATGGGGAGATCGATGACCGGGTTGGGAAGATTGTGCCCGTAGTATTTCTCACCGAGCTCACCGCCCATAGCCCTGAATCAAACGCTAAGTCTAGCGAATGGCGCTAACGGATATAGTAACTAGTGTTGCTGTTAGTGCCGCTTGGAAAGTATTACGTCAGTGAGCCGCCACGCAAGTAACGCCACAGACCACAAGTAAACCACGTGAATATCGTCGTGTCTTATTCTGTGTGTTTTACAACTACCTAGGTACTTCTTTAGATACTGGCAGCTATCACGCATATTGCAGAATTAGATCTCTGGAAATATTCAGTTTGGCTTCCAGCGTATTATATATTTTGGTCAAGATTGAACTGTCTTCTTATCTTTGCACAGTGACAGTTCTGGACGTTATATTTTCACGATGGCAGATAGCCAGTCTGAATTATTGATAAACGAAAGTCTATCTATAGTTTTCAAAGGTTCTTGTTGATAAAACATCATTGCTCCTCTGTACTCCCACTAATATAAACAACCTATTCCGATTCCCAGGTGCTCAGTCCAAGTACAACGAACGCCTCATTAATTCCCGCTTTCCCATCCAGCTTTTGTATCCCTCACCAAACCTGAGCAGGAGTACTGTACAACAGCTTACATGCACTCGCCATCAAGGCATCACACACGTTTCCCCCCTCCTTTTTTGACTGGCGTCAAAACCCCGCAAATCCCTGAGACATATCAAGCGGCCACGGCCAACCTTCCAACAACTCAGGCGGTAACTGGAATTGAAATTGGTCACCGGCTGTATGGTTCATCCCTGCATTCATGTTATCAACACCACCTGTGTTTGAAAAATCAGGTTTAAAATCAAAATTATTGGGCGGCTGTTGGTACAAGTTTGCGCCGCCCGGTGGAGCATTGGCTTCCAGACTCGGATCGATATTCGGGTTCGTCGCTGTTGTTACGGCAGGGAGGGGTACCGAATTTGGGTATGCAGGGTTAGGCAGAGAAGAGGAGGCGAGCTCCTGTTGTCTTTGCCTGTTCATATAATCTTCGATCATTCCGATCTGGGTTCGGATACGGGAGGCAGCACCCACGGCACGTGTTATGCCGGTCTCGAGGGAAGCTAGGAGGTCGGCCATAGCCAGTCTGCGATGTTGTTAGAGATGCTATTTTAGTATCAGGATCAATAACTTACAGTACGTCTCTAACTTGTAGATATGAAGATTCCGACAGTGGGCCCTCAATAACTGAGCCAAGGATGGATCCAATGCCAGCCAAATGGTACAAGAGCGGAGCCGAAATGGCCCTTAAGAAAATGACAGGGACTTTCGCAAACCCATCAAGGAACTCGCGCGCAATAGCACACTTTTGATCTACTGTTGCATCTTTAGTCGTGAAGAGGATCATGCGCACGAGTTGCAGCGTTGCAGTGATATTCGCAACTTGGAAACTAAATTTATCTTCCAAGCCTCCCTTCCCATTGTCGGGCATCGGTTTCGCTTCTTTGAATCGCTGGGGCAGCGCTGCGTGCATTTCCATCACTTTGTCGAGGACTACACTTTGAACTGGACGTTCCCTGGCGAATAAATCACCGGGAGAGAAAGGACCAGAATGTTGTTTGGGACGACTGTGGAATTCATCCACTGCGTGTTCCAAAATGCGGTAGAGCTCGGTGGTGAAATTCCAGCCATGGAGCCATGATATCGGATTAGTGATGGCTTGAGAAGGAAAGGAGGGGATAAGTGCATTAGGAGGTTGATAGCCGGCGTCAAATAAGAACTCATCATCCACCTCGCTGGGATAGCTGACTTTGCACTGAGACTCACGGCAGCGGATTATGCTGCCCCATATTATAGAGGAGAAGACTTCGAGGGTGTACATGGACCAAAACTATACAGTGTTAGGCACTAGTTGAAAAGGAGGGAAAGGGGAGGTATTTACCAAGCGCCGCCGCACCTCAATTTCAATGAGTCCTATTCCCTTGGGCCAATTCTTTTCGTCGTGAAGTCCATCCATGGCCACAAGACTGTGGTAGAGGCCTAGATATTGATGCATAATGTGGATTTTCCCAACTTGAATACCATAAAGTGCCATCATGGCACAGGTACGCAGCCAATCAAGGCCACGCATGGCACTCAAGTCCTGTGGAATGGCTTCTTTTGCTGCAGCAAAGAACGATTCGGATGATGGAACCTTGAAGTATTCTGGGTCCCAGCGGCCAGGAAACAATGCCCCATCCCTTGCTCGTGAAGAAGCAAGAGCACACATTGCCATGACATCCGCAAAGAACGCATGATCTGTGAGGTAGTCTCGGTTGGCTGTCCGCCGAAGCATAGTTGGAGTATGGAAGAGAGGGAAGCTACAAAAGTCAGGCGCCAAACATGAACAAGATCTCCATGAGGAGAATATACGACATAGTGAAGGGTTGGGATCACGTGGAAGACCCGTGGCAAAAATCACGGGAACGAGAAGCCCAACGACAACGACATATGATCAGGAAAAGGAAAAGACGCAGTGAACTTACATAGGATAAACGACCTCAAAATATACCTCCACAAGATTCCGTATCTTCTCCTCGTTCTCCAAGACCATTGACCTCCATTTCTCTGGAATAAAGAATTTGTCCACAACATTGAAATTCCCATTCCCTTCAACAATGCCGTTCAGCTCCAGAAGCAACCGAGCATCACTCTGTCCATCATGTGAACTCGATCCCTCCTGACGTGACTGTTTGGCGTTCCCACTTTTGATCCCGCGCTTCTTCGCAGGGCGGTTATACGTACAACTGACTCCAAAGTCCAGACAGTTCTGACATCGCGTCGAATCTTCCTGACTGGGTGTGCATCTTATGCTTCGCTTGTGGCAAAAGTCGCAGGCTCTTGATATGCGCCGCAGCTTTCGAGGTCTGGGCTGCGATTCTGGATTTGGAGCTTGAGGCAATTTCGCGGGCCTTGGCGCGAAGGTGACGGAATTCTGGTTCATCTTGGTTCGAGAGGAGATTGAGGATTAAGACAAAAGAGATATACGCAGCAGTGATGTCGAATATTCCCAGAGAATACCAGGATCCTCAGTGATAAGAAGCGCTCTGATCCCTGGTTTCCATCTGGAGCAGAGTTCAGTGGTTTGATTATCAACTCAAGTCCGCGCCGGTAAACACGTGATGTATTGCGCGCGGCTCTGGACTCGATGGGAAACCTTGCTCGACAGCCCGTGGCTATTCCCCTACAACCGGCCGTAACTGTTTCGTCTGTGCAGACAACACCCCCTTGTGTAAGGAAAAGGGCATCAATTGTTGTTCGAATTCTCGACCTTTCGTGGCAGGGTTCGTTGTCGTCGATGTCATTTCTAAGTTTTGAATAAGCTTGTTATGTAATCATGCAAGTACCGAGCGCCGCCAGAGATCCACCTGAGCCACTCTTGCTTTTCTCACGCTTTTCCCTGGGGCAGGTGACCAGAAGCACGTGTGGCTACAGGCAAATGCTCTCGTCAAAATCTGATGTCGAGTATTATCGTTGATGCTGAGAAGTGTCCCCCTTATAGTTATGGAATTCCGAGGGTTTTCAGAGCCATGCGATGCAGTGATTGGTCTGCAGGGCATTAATGCAGAGACTAATGATCGCTACTTCACAATATGCCGCCCTGCGGTATCTACGGAGTAATAATGTCCGATAAAGCCATGACCCAGAAAAAAAAAATTGAAAAGGAACCAAAGAATGTAATAAGCAAAGCAGGCTTATCCTTCACATTATTGCAGCAAAAATAAGAATAGTACAAGCTTACAAAAGGAGACCAAAGGCAATCAGTTCAGTAGGGGCAGGTTGCTGGGCTGGGCCAAGTCCAGCTTATCATCTGGGCTTCCCCTTTCCATCGTGGCGCCATATCGCCTTCTGGGTAGTCTCATCAGTCGGTCTGGAATGCATGATATGTAAAGGAGTATCGTTCTCTTCCTCCAAAAACTCTTTGATGGCTTGTGCTGCTTTCTTCAGTTCGTAAGGGGCCTCGGAAATTGACTTGTCTTTTGATGTCTTCCTCCTACTGCGCTCTTTCGAGAGTTCCCAGCCTTCTTCAGCAGGTGCCTAGTTAAGAGTTGAAAATATGTCGGGATATTGAACTTCTAGTACAATTCTCTCCGCAATGCGAAGCGCCAGTTTCTTGCATCTCCGTGTCAAAGTAATGTAAATCAATTGCATGAATTCCTATATCACGTTGGACCCAATCCCGAATCCGTTGAAGAATCTCGATTGAGTCGAAGTGCTCCTTCAAATGGCTGTTGAAGAACGTTGGTTGCTTGGCATGATTGCCGCATGGATCAGGTTTGGAAAGGCCTGCCGCTCCAGACTTGTAAATTTTTTCTTCGACGCTGTTGCTGCGATTGAAATACCTCATAATTATTTTGGAGGAGTCCGTACCCGAAATCGTCGTAACTTGTGCTCGTAGCCTTCGGCATTGTTGACTTCTCATGTTGCGTGCGAAGGCTATAGGGGGTATCTCATCCGAAGTTCGAACCGTGAAAGCAGTTGCTGGGGGGTTTGTTCGTAGCTCTCCCAAGAATAGTGCATGTACGTTATTTTGAATGGACGCATCGGAGGTTTGTCGAGTACCGGCCCTTCATCTCGCAGCCACGGATTTCTGCTTTGATATCTGGGTTCCAAAAATAAGGACCGCGGCTGACAAACACGCCCATGGAACGGGAATTCCTCGTGCAAGGATAGGACAAAAACCTAGCAATTGTAGAATAAGTCGAATTGTAGACAGAATCGTCATGTACCGGTAGGGTAAGACCTAATTCTGGGTGAAGAATGAGCGAGGCAATTCTCGAATAAGGACAGACCTCTTCACCGAGAGTGGTTGGGAAGAGACAAAATATCGTCTTCTTGTCGGTTTACTCAAAGGCCAAATCCGAGCAAAAAGACGCCACCATCAAATCTAGCTGACCGTTGCTATATTTCTCCCAAACCTCGTGGAAAGACTTCTGTGACCGATAGAGGTCTTGAAAGAAACTGCGGATGCTGAAGGCAAGATCCACCTCCGGTTCAGTCTCGATTTCGAAACATTACCCCGCTGGGCTTTCCCAGTGTTATTCTGTTTGGTGAAACCTCATCTGCTCAGGCAGATCTGTTGCGGGAACCTGTGTTGACTTTATGGGACCCTGGGCCAGTTCTGCTTCCATTCATGCTTTGCCCTGGTCGATTTCCCCAGAGAGTCGTCGTGGAGTCGGGATATTCCAAGATTCGTGGGTGTTCGAGACCCAAGATGCAAAGGCCTTTGTATCATCCTTATAGCATTGTAGCTTCCAACAAATACTTCTGGTAACATTTTCCTGAAACTATCAGCGAAATGCCATTCGCGATGGAATAGAATAAAGGTACTGAGATACTCCTCGTTCTCGGCCCGTGGATGGATTCTTATAATGCGATAGAAAGAAGATACTGAGGTATTTCTATACTCGCCGCAGTTTGGGATAGCTATTCCGCAAGACGATTTGACGGGAAAAGGCAATGTAATCAAAACGTTGGTACTGCAAAGTAAAGTCCTCCCTGACTGCAGCCCTCGTGCCTCCCATTAAAGCACAACCATAGCAGAATCTTCCTTGAATACCTAGGTATGGCAGGCCTTGGAACATATAACGAGTCTGAAAAGTTTAATAGTAGCACTCTCATTGAGCGTGAGGTACTTCAAAGATCAGCGGTCAAAAAATTGGTATTGAGGCACTACCTTGAATTGCTATTTCAAGGCGTGCACGTCCATTTTCCTTGAAATAGACTATCAGCAACCGTAAGACACCTTCTCTCTCTGGCTGCTGTTTTATTTTCAGTTTGAGGCGCAAAAAAAAGGGGAAACTGCCTTTCTCAGTAGGAGTGTGAACTCCTGCTTTGCTTGCAAAGCGTGCCAAAAAGAATTCCAAGAAGTGCGGGAGGGTCTCCGCGAACCAAAAGATACGCAAAACAGTAGGGCTCAACCGGGATTTGAACCCGGGGCCTGTCACATATGCCTATTCTGAAGAATAGTGAACTTTTTACAGCCCGAAGCGACAATCATACCACTAGACCATTGAGCCATGTCTACTTGATGGTGTGTTCTGCTTACAAAGCATGTTAAGAAAGGTTCGACAAGGGAGTGCAAAGAAAAAGATTCTGCAGAATGAAAGAGCAACAAAAGAGCAAAAATGTTGGGGCTCAACCGGGATTTGAACCCGGGGCCTGTCACATGTACCTATTCTAGAGAATAGTGAACTTTTTAAAGCCCGAAGCGACAATCATACCACTAGACCATTGAGCCTGTCCCGAATTGGCTGAACCAATCGTATTTTGTTTGAAATTTCGATATTTCGGCTTTTAACAACAACTTTTCAGAAAGCTGTCTAGTTCGCATCGCTCAGAGCTGTAGACTTCTAGTAGTTTATTTCATTATACCAACAGTGATTGAATTCTAGAAGCTAAGAATATTTTCAATCATAAAGATTATTGAACTGCAGTTATATGTACGTGAGTTAAATTACCTACACTCTTTGTACAGACTTTTACTATCGCGAGAGGTTATAGATATACCCCTGAAATCAGCGATGATTGTGTTTTTCTTGTGAGTCTTATGAAGCTGTTATGAAGTTGGTGTTATGAAATTGAATCTATCTGTTACAATTATTTATCTCTTCTTTTCCACAAGCTTCATTATAGCATCGACGCCTGCCTGCGCGACCTGCACATCTTGATCATCATTGATGGGGAAGTTGTCGGGGCCATTGGTTGCAGTAAGTCGCCCGGAGGAGACGACGACATTTCCTCTCTCCCCCCCCCCCCCCAACAACAAAAAAGACCAGGTATTTACTGACGATCTAGGCAATGGAATGCCGGACCGGGATGCCGCCTGGAACATACATAAACTTGCCATCGTTGCCATTATTGATGCCATATGCAGCACCTCCCGGGTATACAATGTCCTTCCAGGTGGAGGTCGGGGCGTGATGTCCTGCCGCCGTGTAGGCTTTGCTCATGCTGATATCGATGCATGTGATTTTGCAGCCGGGCATGCGCTCGAAGTGCAACAGGTAGGTAGTATGATCGACAATGGCGATGTTCATGGGGCATTTGATCGCGTTTGCTTTGGCCCTGCATGCCTCGGAGGCGACCTGGGCGGCTGCGAGGGTAAGGCTTGCGGGGCGGGTGACGACGGGGGCGCTAGACATCTCGTCGGTTTGACTGATGGCTTGTGAAAGGGCGTTTTGTACGTTGTGGAAGAGGAAAGCCGTGGTGCTGGATATTTGTTGTATACAGACAGTAACGAAAACAGTCAGTATACTATGGGCAGTAAGTAATTGAGTTGAATTGACAATGCTACCTCTACTCTGCAGTGATATGTTGGTTATATAAAGAGATGCCGGAAATATCAAAAATGCTTCTACGTAACCAATCTGGATGCCCTAGAGTCTACAATGATAATAACTGTAGAGTTACGTCAACCCTCCTAGGAGGACTTTAGTTTCAACAGTACAAATCAATTGACCCCACTGTATATGTGCTTCTTCAAGATTGCTGGGTGCTGTGTGGTAGGATATAATGATGCATGGATACTCGGCCGATAGCCTTGACATCACAAAGTATACTTGACGTCTCTGCACTCGTTGACATCTCTACACTCGTTATCTCTACACTCGTTGACATCCACCTACGAAAACTCCACATATGTCTGTAGAGACTGTACTTGATGTCATTTAAGGAAATCACCATCATTACTATATCTCGCAATGCCCTGGTCATTACATTCCGACTTCGAGTGGTGTGGTTGGATGTCGCTCAATTTGGCTCTTTAGAGGTTCGGGATGCTGCGGTTACAAGTAGAGCCGACTTCAAGGACGCGTACACTACAGTGTTCTGTAGCACGCATAAAGGAGGACCGATATTTCTACCATGAAGACCAAGTCCTACAGTTTGAGCGTCATCGTCCCAATCTCCCCTCCTCACAATGCTACAATGCCTCCTCACATAGCGGATGATCTGATCCAAGTGACGAGTCGGGCAAAGTGCACGCAATCACACTTGTGAGCACCAACACTTTCTTTCTGGTTGAACCATTTACCGCTTGCTGGATAGGAAGCAACAAGAAGAACCTAGGAATCAGCTTCAGGATTGTCGCCAATAAGGCCAAAAGACATCAGCCAGAACAATGGTTGAAGAAAAGTTTAAAATGACACTGTTCAGGAACATAGCTAATGGGAATGAAGACCGGTCCAACTACGCTCATTATCATACAACACGGCCATTGAAAAAGGCAACGCTCCAATGACATCTTTCCTCTTCGGCCAGAAACACTTTCCCATCTCCAATTCTCTCCTTTTTGGAATCTTGCCTAGTTACTACGGCCGTAAGCAGCGTCAACCTCCTTCTTGTACTTTTGCAAAATGAGCTTTCTGTTAAGCTTTTGCGCCGAGGTCGTGAGGCCCTAGATCGATTAGTGTTTTATGATCAGATAGGGGGTTAAGGTCGCCTACATTTTGAGGATTCCATTCTTCGTCCGCCAATACTACACCTTCAATGATTTCAATACCAGACAACCCACCCTGCTTCCCAGCCTGCTGCAGCTCCTTCAGAATGGCATCTTGCACCTGCCGGTTGTGCACCAAGTCTTCCATTCCATTTCCTTCGACGCCAATTCTTTCTGCGAGCTTTTTCAATGCTGGTTCAGCTGGGACAATGATAGCAATTGGCTTTGCACGTTGTGTATCCGCATACACGCAAATATTGGCAACAACCGTCGCGGCACGATAAACCGATTCAAGTTTCTCCAAAGCGATATACTCGCCATTCAAAGTCTTAACCAAGTTTTTCTTCCTGTCAATTATCTTGAGATGGCCATTCTTGTCCCATTCTCCAATGTCACCTGTCTTGAACCACCCATCTGGGGTAATAGCTTCTGCGGTCTCTTTCTCATTTTCATAGTAGCTTTCCAGAACTGGCGTGCCTCGGATCCAGATTTCACCTTGTGGGTTGGGTTTGTTTGTGGCGTGGTAGCCGGCCTCGGGGAAGTCGACTAACTTGATCTCGATACTTCCTGGGATATTTCCAAGGGCGTCATCGGTCCATTCCATGGGATCCGTGAGTGCACCCATCGCAGTGGTCTCAGTCAACCCGTAGCCACCGATCATAGGTGTGATAGCCATAGAGATGAAGCGTTGGGTGTCCTTTGCAATCGGCCCACCTCCATTCATGCAAATTCTTAATCGGCCACCAGTTGCTTCCTTGACCTTCTTGAAAACAACCGCATCCAGAATACCAGCCCCAGGAAGGCCGTAGTGTAGTAAATTGTTTTTAGCCCAGAGCGCGGTCCAGAATAGGCTCTTGACGAGGGTACCACCAGAATTGACCTTGGCGACAATGCCCTTCTTGACCGTCTCCCACACCGCAGGGACACCGACGAGGATGGTCGGTCTTAATTCTCGTATATCACCCTTGCAGTTCCTGACAGACGTATCCGACAGTGTCTTTGGGTTTCCGTAACCCATAGTTCCACCCCAGTATATACAGGCATTTTCGAAGACGAATTCAAGAATATGGGCAAGAGGGAGATAGGCCAGAAGAACATCACCAGGACCGATGTAGGGTTCAACGATAACACTGACACCGGCAACTAAAGAAGTCAGTACTAGGGATTACAAAGGATTTCAGGACTCGTACCTGCTGCTACGACAGCCTTGTGCTTGAGCGGCACACCCTTTGGAGGACCGGTCGAACCAGAGGTATACATGATACAGCAGATATCTTCAGGGCTCGGAGGAACCATGTCGACTGGATTGTCCTCTCCAAGCTTGCGAAGCTCCTCAAAGCTCAGAATTGTGAGCCGGTCATGAGCCTTCTTTAGAAGATCGATGTTCTCCTGCTTGACATCATGCTGGCTGTTCCAGATGACATACTTGATTTCCGTAGCTTCCTTGAGCGGCTTAATGAGCGTAGGAAGAAGGTGAGGATCTAAAAAGATAGCCTTTGCCTTGGTTGCTACGAGAGAGTGTTTGAGACCCTCCTCCCCGAGAGTATCGTAGGCAGTAACAATAGGCATAGATTGCGAGGCAGCCCCGTGTGCGCTTGCTAACCAGTGAGGACCTGTTGCAGCAAAGATATGTACGCGGTCATCCTTTACCAAGCCCAGCTTCCTGTACCCGGCGCCAACTTGGGTGATCAATTTTTCGTAGTCGTGAAAGCTTAAGTACTCGTAGCCACCAAGCTCAAAGTATGTCCATTGCTTGTCAACTTCCTGCTCCTTGCCATCTATTGTCTTTTTCACCTTCTTCGTCTCATGGTGAGTCTTCAGGAGCTTTCGCCATCCTATAGCTTTCGCGTTGCCAAACTTCTCGGAGCCACGCTTAACGATGTCGAGGACGGTCGCAATATCTTCGGATGGGCGATCTTTCAGCTTGTTGGCAGTCAAAGGATTTCTTCGCGGAATGGTCTCGCCATCGACATGCTCATACCCGGGAGCTTCGACACTGAAGGGGGGCTTGTGGTAGATCTTGGGCTGCACAGTGGCGTTCTTGAGAGACATGATGGATGTGCTCGTTGGGAAGCTCCAGCAGCACAGCTTTGGGAGAGGCGGGAGTAGAATCACAGGGTCGATGATCCGAAGAGAGATGAAATAGAAAGTATGATGGAATAGGCTTAGACAGTATTTCCAGGCAGTGGAAATGCAGATGTTGACCTCTCTGTCTTTGTGTGTTTTGGATTGGATTGTTTACTGGAGGGTTGGGGTGGCATCGTCATACTCGTCAACGAGGCAGCCAAAAAGGCACTAGAGGTTCGACCCGGTGAAGACCCCCGAGCAGAGAGGCAGAGCACCAGCCGGAGCACTCTACGTCCCCTGTGTCCCCTGCCTACAACTGTTGTACTCCGCAAGGTCCGGAGTCGCAGCGCTTACCAACTTACCAAGGGACGACCAGGTCCTGTGGACAAATACGGTGCGAATTGACGAGGGCATACAGACTTTTCATGTTTCGCACCAAGGGAGGGCTGTGGTTGAGCACCCTTTCTACCGGTTGGACGTGTTAAAGCGCTCCTGTCCCTGCGCGATCAGAAGTCAAAGTGCACCGCTCCTGTCTAATGTACCTAGGTATGTTCTACTGCCAACTGCCTATACGGCCTTCATTTCCGTTGCTATAGCTCTCTCGAGTTGGAGTTGCGCGCGAGTTCCCCCGCATTCTGCATATTGGCCGTTACCTCCCCTGTTACCTCCCTCCAGTAGCTACTGTATCATGCTTGGGCTAATTCCTTGGGGGTTAGTAGTAGAACAATGAATGTTCCTCGCCATCGATAATTCCCTCTGGTTGGCTGTCACATTCTGTTGGGAATCTGACCCTCCATCCAAGAGTAGTCTGTGGCAGTCATGACAGTACAAACATTATTGTCCGCCCTTGGGCCAGAAATAGAAGATCCAGAAGAAGGTACAAGTGACGACTCTTCTGGTTTGCTGTTTGCTAATAAGTCTGCGGCGCTTTACAGAATCATTTCTTCTCTTCTCGCAGTCGATCCCATCTCAGAATCTTGGGTTCGTGGATTCTAAAGCTACATTGTTGGAGCTGACAGTTGGTTCTCGTGATCTTTCTATTCATCAATCGCCGACTATACTGTCATCAAACCGAGGAGGTGGGACAACCGGTGCTGGTGAGTAGCCCACCCAACCTTGTACCCCATCTCAGTCCATAATTAGAAATTTCACAGTTGTCTGGAAGATCACCCCTCTATTTGCCTCATGGATTACTTCCGCTTCAAATGTTCTCTTCACCCACAATGTCCTTGACTCCAGTTCGGCGGTGATTGAATTAGGATGCGGAATATCCGGAATCATTGGTCTAGCACTGGCTCCGCGCATCCAATCTTATGTCTTGACAGACCAAGACTATGTGATGAAGCTACTGAATGAGAATCTAAGAGAGAACCAGCAAAATATGTCCTCGGGCAAAGGCCGGAAAAGCACACCAAAACCGAAGAGAGGCTCTGTGTCCGCCCCTGCACCGAAGGCGGAGAGCAACATTACTGCCCGGCCTCTGGATTGGGAAACAGATGAAGTGACAGCTTCACTTACAGGATCTACATCGAGTCACGATTTCGATGCAGTTATAGCATGTGACTGCATCTACAATGATGCTCTCATTGAACCTTTGGTACAGACTTGCGTCAATGTATGCAAAATGCGCCCTTCGGATACGGCAGAGGATAGACAGAAGCCTACAGTATGTATTGTGGCACAACAGCTTCGGTCCGCCGAGGTATTCGAGGCCTGGCTCAAGGCATTCAGCAAGGCATTCCATGTATGGCGTGTGCCGGATGAAAGTCTGATTGATGGATTGAAATCAGATTCTGGATTCGTTATTCATATTGGTATCTTAAAGTAGTCTTGGTGCTAAGCAATCAAAAAAAAGTCCTGCCAAGGTCAGAGTCACGTTGTGAGGCAAGGAAATTGATTTTTGGTCTTCCCGACCCTCTCAGGGCGGTTGGAGTTTGATCAATCATCAGCGTAAGCAGCATTTGACAACCGTTCTTTGTAAAATCTGTTATACATGTCCATATTAACAAGGTCAGTATATATTATCATCTAAAATGGAATTGATAGGGATGAACGTCTCGGATTAGATACCTACCTAGGCAATCCCAACAGAAAACCCTCTATATATAGTCACGTGCTTTGGTGTCTTGGTCTTACACGTCCACCGGAATGTTCGCGTCTTCATCTTGATCATCACCTGGTACCTTACTGTACCTTATCAATACCAGCATACCGCGCTGCTGGTTCGTCTCAGAAATACTCCCCTCTGAGCCTTAAGTCCTGATTCAACGAGCGTTTATCGACCATGGCAGGGCTTATAAAATTCATCCACGGGAATCAACCCCCGCTACCTGTTCAACCAACTCGAACAGACCGTCTCGCACATGGTGCGAAAGCAAAGGTGCCTGCCAAAAAGTCGATAATCAATTCGGCCAGTGAGCCATTCGCAAGTACAAGTCGGATTCCCGAGTACAGTTCGAGCCCCGCGGCTGGGCAGAATACGCATCCCAATTCTCGATATCCCCTTCAACAGCAGCAAGTAACCGACGCCCCGAAACGGACATTTGATGATACATCTGTGTCTGGACTTGAGGAGACGGAGAGTGATGTGGGATTCTATGATCAGCAGATGGACACGGGCGGTGTGATTGAATACAACCAGGACGCGCGGATTGAAGACGATTACAATGAGGACGGAGCTGGTATGGAAGAGGACGATGCGCGCTATCCTACACAGGTATGTCCCAGTCAAACTTAAGTCAACATTTTGCTTCTTAAAGCTCCTAACAGCCATTGCAGCATAGAAAGCCGTATACTGCCGATTATGAGCCCCATAATCGGCCTACGACCCCCAGAGGAAACGCCATCAGCGGACGGTTTCACCCCAACGCCCAGAATCAACAACCACATGCCAACCTGGAACTTCGTCCCAATCAGAATGGTAATAGCACAGCCCAACAACTCAAAGGTTCCAAGAAACGCAATCGATCCGATATGCAAGGGCATGAAGTGCCTGGACCTCCACTTTATAGAAATGTAGACGCTCTGGGGCCAGACGAAGAACTCGAAGAACTCGAAGAACTCGAAGAACTCGACGAGCTCGATAATAGTATTGGTGCAGAGAAACCGTCGAACCCCCCTGTCCCAAGCCGTCATCCCGACTTCGAAGATCAGGAATTGGAGGGCATGACTTACAAGGATCTCAAAGATCAGACTTGGGATGTCGAAAAATATGACAATAATTCACGTCTCCCACAAGAGCTGCGGGATAGTGCAATCCCTCTCAGCGATCGCTTTCAAAGTTGCCTGGAGATCGATGAGCCCGAGGCACAGCTTCAGTTCTTTGCGACAATGCCCATTGCGGAATGGGAAGAAGCCGGCGATCTCTTTATCGAAAAGTTCGCAGAAATCATAACAAAACTGAAGGAGGCTCGACGAGAGAAGCGTAAGATAGCAACAAAGTTTGAGGAGGAGGTCGAGGCGAGGGAGGCTGCTATTCGAGCCAAGTCCGCGAGCCTCGATCAGGACCTCACGGAAATGAGGAAGGGTGGGGAGGGAGTGCTCAAGGGCAAGATGGTCTAGCCTATATACTAGAATCTGTGATTTCCTTGTCAAGGAATAATGCGGTTTTCTAAGGATGCTAAGAAAAGGAGGGTTTTGCAGGAGCCCACGTATGAACTTGTTACTCGTCATGGCGGAAAACACTTGGGGGTATGGCATTGAATTTACTCGGAGCTTCTGATGGACGGATCACGGATGAAAAGGGGTATTAGGGAAGGGCATTGCATTTGCTGGAGTTGTATAACGAGATACGAGATACCCCTTTGGCTATGAACTTCAATGAAGATCGTTATGGTACTTTTATTGAATTCTATGACTTCTATTGTTCTATTGACTCGCCTTCTATTGATATAGACATGTTGCATCGTTGATCACTCAAATAGTGATTACATCCTTCACCCTCCTATCCCTCTTGACGACCAACCTCAACTGCTTGCCCTCTCCCTTCGCCTTCAACACACCCGCTCTAACCCCTTCCGTAAAGAGTTCATAAGCAGGATAATACCCATCCACAAACTCCCTAATCTTCTCATCCGTCATGCCACTCCCCTTTTCCCTCCTGAGCGCGGCCTCCTGTTCCAATCTCCACTCATAAACATAGCCCGTCTCCTCCGCATCAATATGAATAAAAGCATCAAACGCGTCCGTCATAACATCATAATCCTTCAACTTCTCATTGACGAAGAGTAGATCCTGAAGCCGGTGTTTATGGAGCGTCGTTGACGGCGCTGCCTGCTTGCGCTTGATCTCCTCCGGGGAGATGGAGCGGAAGCCCACACACCAGCCCTCAAAAATCACAACGCGGATCTTGGGCTGGTCGAGACCGTTTACGGTCTTCCATTGAGAGGAGGGCACGCGGTCGCCTTGGCCGTTGTGGGCAGACTTGTCGTACGCGGGGATCTTGGTCTCTTTGCCTTGCTGCAGAGCGGAGAAGAGGTCTCGCGCGAGCTGCATGTCGTGGGTTCCTGTTTAGCACCCAAGAGTCTGCGTTAATAATCATCGAGCGCGCCATCCACACCATCAAGCACTCTTTTCCAAGTCATGAAAAGAAAAGGGGAGGGAGGGGGAAAAGGATACCTGGTTCTCCCCGATGCTGCACTAGTGGATTCTCAGCATGGGCCGCAGCCAGAGCAACTTGATCCGCATGCGTCAGATACAGATCGTCGATGCTGCACACCAGCGTCTCGAGCCCCTCTTTCTCGCGCAGCGTGCTGGCGAGCGCCGACACCAGCGTGGTCTTCCCGGCGCCCTGCACGCCATTGAGGCCGATGAAGAAGGGCTTCTCGGGGTGCGCAGCCTGGTGCGATGACAGCTGGGAGAGGATGAAGGGGATGCAGTGTGGGGATTTGTCGTCTATGATCTTGGGAGCGGGGTGCTGCGGTGAGGTGTCCGCGCTGGACGGGGATGTGAGAGGGGCTGTCATGTTGGATGGGATTGGGCCATGAAATGGAGATTTACAGGATGAGAAGAAAGAGAGGGTTTTGGAGTAAATATTTTATAAATGCTCTACTGTACTTCTCCTTCAGTTGATACTTGATGCTCCAAGCTCCGTGTTGTAGCCGCACTTGACCCCACTCCCCGCAGTCGGGGATTTACCTAGGGACGGGTGCCTGAGGACGTCAACTTACCTATATGTCTGAGAAGTCATAATGATGCCTGAGGATACAGCACGGGGAAGTGGAGGGCGGGCATCCGGTGTTGGTGACAAGGGATTACTATTCTCTGTCACTGCCGCATCGTCTAGCTCATCCGAAGGGGGTTCTCCAGAGGTGGTTTTCCTCCGTAGAGACCCCTCTCGAAATCATCGTGGCCTGAGGCGCTCGTTTCCGGGGATTGGGCTCAGAGGTCTCGGAGTGGAAATCACAGGGAAAGTAGAAGGCTCTTCAACCCTCTTCTAAACCTCAAGATTTATATGTAAGGTATCCAAAGGCCTTTCTGGCGCACGTGAAACGTTCTCTTGCAATTTGCATGTGAACGCTGGAAGCTTGTCTCTGTGGGGTCGCCCGCACGGGGAAGCTGTCGTCACCGGACCAGTGAGCTGACTGTAAACCGAGCCGAGGCATCTGATTGCCGAGCCCCATCATCCATAAACACTGGTGCATTCCTCCCTTCTTCTCAATTCCAAGCACTTGTCTTTGAACTGAGCTTTGATTTTCCAATTTGAAAGCAGTTGAAGATGTCGGAATTGCGCTATGATGGTCAGGTAGTGGTGGTGACGGGTGCTGGTGGTGGTCTTGGAAAGGCGTACTGTCTGTTCTTCGCATCGAGGGGCGCCAGTGTTGTTGTCAATGATCTGGGCGGCTCGTTCAAAGGCGAGGGCACCTCAACCAAGGTATGTGCATGCAGTCGTGCCCGGACTTTCCTGAGAGGGAGGAGAACCTTGCTGATAGAATCTAGGCCGCAGATGTCGTCGTCGACGAAATCAAAGCCGCAGGCGGCAAAGCAGTGGCCAACTACGACAGTGTTGAAAATGGCGACAGGATCATTGAGACTGCCATCAAGAACTATGGCCGCATCGATATTCTTATCAACAACGCCGGTATCCTCCGCGATATTTCCTTCAAGAACATGAAAGATCAGGACTGGGATCTTATCATTGCTGTTCATGTCAAGGGGTCATACAAGTGTGCTAGAGCGGCGTGGCCATACTTCCGGAAACAGAAGTATGGACGGATTATCAACACTGCTTCTGCTGCTGGTCTTTTTGGAAGCTTTGGCCAGACAAACTATTCCGCCGCCAAGTTGGCTCTGGTTGGGTTCACGGAGACGCTGGCGAAGGAAGGTGCAAAGTATAACATTCATTCCAATGTTATTGCTCCAATCGGTATGTCCCTCTTTTCCAGTTGTACAGGTAGAGTTATTAATGCTGCTTAGCCGCAAGCCGAATGACGCAAACGGTCATGCCACCCGATATCCTCGAAAACCTCAAGCCCGACTGGGTTGTTCCTCTCGTTGCAGTTCTAGCCCACAAGGACTCAGAAGAAAACGGACAGATCTTCGAGGCGGGAGGTGGGCATATTGCCAAGCTCCGCTGGGAGCGTGCAAGCGGTCTTCTCCTGAAGGCAGACGATACTTATACCCCCGGTGCAATTTTGAAGAAGTGGGATCAGATTAGCAACTTCAAGAATGCGGAACATCCCACGGGTGTTGCAGACTTCCTGGGTCTGTTAGAGAAATCTATGCAGCTGGGCCCGAATGAACAGGGGGAGACTCTAGATTTCAAGGGAAAGGTCGCGTTGATTACTGGGGGTGGTGCTGGGTAAGTAATTCGGTCTCAGCAAATGAATTTCCACTGACAATCTACAAGCATCGGTAGAGTTTACTGCTTGGCCTTCGCCAAGTATGGTGCATCAGTCGTGGTCAACGATCTCGTGAACCCGGATGATGTCGTTAATGAGATCAAAAAATTTGGCGGCAAGGCAGTTGGTGTGAAAGCCTCTGCTGAGGACGGAGATGCAGTTGTGAAGGCTGCTATTGATGCTTTTGGACGTATCGATATTGTTATCAACAATGCCGGTATTCTTCGAGACAAGGCCTTTACGAACATGGACGACAAGATGTGGGACCAGGTTATTGCTGTCCATTTGAGAGGTACATATAAGGTTACCAAAGCCGCATGGCCATACATGCTCAAGCAGAAGTATGGACGCATTGTCAACACTACATCTACCAGCGGAATCTATGGGAACTTCGGACAGGCCAACTATGCTGCTGCTGTAAGTCAATTCTTTGGTCTCCACAAAATGAGGACTAGCTAACATATCCAGAAATGCGGTATCTTAGGCTTCTCTCGCGCTCTTGCTCGTGAAGGAGCAAAATACAACATCTACGTCAACACCATCGCACCAAATGCCGGAACAGCGATGACCCGAACCATCATGCCGGAAGAAATGGTTCAAGCTTTCAAGCCCGACTACATAGCTCCTCTTGTTGTGGCACTGTGCTCTGACAAAGTTCCCAAACCACCCACTGGTAACCTCTACGAAGTTGGATCAGGTTGGGTTGGCCGAACACGCTGGCAGCGAACTGGTGGCCACGGATTCCCAGTCGATGTTAAGCTTACGCCTGAGGAAGTGGTCAAGCATTGGGAGGCAATCACAAACTTCGACGATGGAAGAGCAGACCACCCCGAGGATCCAAATGATGGACTCAAGAGCATCATGGCAAACATGAGCAATAAGAAGGGTGGCGCGAAGGTATGATGCTTCTCACATAGTCTCCTGAGTCAGACAGGGTTTTGTATAAATGTAGTTGTATGGTTAATGAAACTTATTGACTTTTGTGTGTCCTTAACAGAAGAGTGAGAACGTGAACCAAGAGATCCTGGATAACATTGCTGCTGCAAAGAAAGCTGAATCTAAGGGAACGGAATTCAAGTACGAGGAGAGGGATGTGATCCTCTATAACCTGGGAATTGGTGCGAAGAAGACGGACTTACCTTACGTTTTGTACGTCCCTTACTTCCCCACCTTTCAAACATCCAACGAAGCAAAGCTGACTCGCCCTTGCCACACAGTGAGGGAGCTGAAAACTTCCAAGCACTCCCAACATTCGGTGTTGTCCCCTTCTTCTCCGCCGAGACACCCTACAACCTCGACGACATCGTCCCCAACTTTAGTCCCATGTTGCTTTTGCACGGCGAACAATACTTGGAGATCCTACAATATCCCATCCCCACCTCTGGAACATTAGTTTCGTACCCTAAACTTTTAGAAGTCGTGGATAAAGGAAACGCAGCTATCGTGAAGTCTGGAGTTACCACAGTAATCAAGGAAACAGGGAAGCCTCTCTTCTACAACGAGATGACGGTATTCATCAGAGGCTCGGGCGGCTTCGGTGGTCCAAAGAAGCCCTTGGATAGGGGCGCAAGCACCGCTGCTAATACCCCACCCAAGCGCGCCCCAGATTTCGTACAAGAAGAGAAAACGACCGAGGAACAAGCCGTCCTCTACCGTCTATCCGGAGATTACAAGTAAGTCTCTCTTCCCAACCTTAATCTTTATAAGTCTGTATGCTAAGTATCCCCTCTAAAAGCCCTCTCCACGTCGACCCAGGATTCGCCAAGGTAGGCGGCTTCCCTGTGCCCATCCTGCACGGCCTGTGTTTCTTTGGCATAGCGGCCAAGGCTGTCTACCAGCAGTTTGGAGCCTTCAAGAACATCAAGGTCAGGTTCGCGGGCACGGTCCTCCCGGGACAGACGCTGGTCACGGAATGTTGGAAGGAGGGCAACAAGGTGATTTTCCAGACAAAGGTCAAGGAGACTGGGAAGTTGGCTATTGCAGCTGCGGGGGCAGAGTTGTTGGATGAGGCAAAGGGGAAGCTGTGAGGGGGTGCAAGGGATGGATCTTTGATTCGAGGAATGGAATTATTAAGTAGGGAAGGTTGAACTGTGTATAGATATCGCATAAAAAGAATTGGTCTCTTTCTTATGGAAGAACTTGAGCACATGATCATGAAGGAAGCGACCTCAATACCTACCTACTATCTAGGCAATGTAGATATCTTGTGCCCCATGAAACCAGATGTCAGTCCAGCCTGAAAAGGTAAAGTTCAGGATCAATTAAACCTGAGTTCAGGGGCAGAGGCAACACGTGACCAAAACCGCGAACCAGGAACCCTCACCGTACCTTACATTTCGGCGCCTTCAACTTTCGCGACGCGCGCCTACTTCAAGAACGCCCTCCCAACCTCGACTTCCCCCATTGAAACTTGAGGAATCGGATCCACGACATGCGCACGCATGCTCTCGCGCCCAACACTCTGTGCGCATCCTGAATTTTCCCTACGCCCTCCAAAAAACTGCGAACGATAAAAGAGACAAATGTCGACACGCAGCCGCAAGCGCTCGCTCGCGGCGCCCGAAGAAGATGAGGGAGTGGATGAGCTGTCGCCGTCGGGCGCGGACGTGGATATGTCGCCGTTGAGCGCGGCTAAGAGGCGAAAACTGAATGCGTCTCGTAATGGGAGCTCGCCGCTGGGGAAATTGGGGGGGTTGCTGGGGTTTGGGAGGGGGAAGGGGAAGGAGAATAAGGAGGTTGATGTTGATGTTGATGTTGATGAGTTGGCTGGTGGGGAGGATGATGATAGTGAGGGTGAGGATGGGAATGGGATTGGGAGTGTGGAAGGAGAGAAAGAGGACATTTGGGAGGTGGAGGATTCTGATGCTGAGGAGACGGGGTGGAGGAGGAGGAGTGGGAATGGGGCGAGAAAGGTCAAGAAGAAAGAGCATGGGAGAGCGGTAGAAGAAGAATCGGTCGATGGAGCTGAGGATGTGGAGGAGCTTTTGGACACCAACCCTTCAGATCATGAAGATGACAATAGGAGTGGGAAGTCGAAACAAACCACGCCGCCGAAGTCGAGTGCGAGTGCGAAACCGAGCGCGAACTCGAATGATACACAAGATGTAAATAAGGAAGAGAGCACGCGGAGGCGTCCAGGCAGACCGAGGAAACATCCCGTGAAGGATTCGACTACAAACATATCACCTAGCAAGATACAGGTTGAGGTGCCTGTATTACCCAAGCGTCCACGAGGACGTCCACGGAAAGTGGATCTCTTAATGAAAGCAAAGGCACTTTCGAGAGCGGCTATTAGGAAGATAATGACTGAGCAGGGGCTGGCTTGGGACGAAGAGGAGAATACAGAGGAAACCACGACAGAGGAAACCACGATACAGGTTGAAGATACAGATCCAGATGGCACAATCACGGTTCCTGCTCTCCGTCGGAGGGGGAGGCCGAGAAAGGTCCCAATTGAAGCCGATTCATCAAAGGTGCTGAAGGGTATACTTACGCCGAGCAAGACGGGTAGTACTCTGAAGTCGAAAAAGAGCGTGGTCTTTGAGGGACGCGATGAATTGGATCTGGGGTTCAAAGACATTCCACTATCTACCAAAAAGTCGAAAGGACCAAAAGCAGCCGAGGAATCAGAGGAGGATAACGACTCAGAAGACAGTGATGATGTGGCATGTGCTATCTGTTCAGGCCTTGAATCAGAGGAGCCTAATGAGATAATATTCTGTGACAGTTGCGATCTCGCAGTGCACCAGGAGTGCTATGATGTCCCAGTAATTCCAGAAGGAGACTGGCTCTGCAGAAACTGCCAGCCTAAAGATTTGCCAGAAGTGGAGTTGGGTGATGAGGTGGATATCGCCGTAGCTCCAAGCGATCTGCCCGATATTGCAGGATTTGAGGATCATCTGCGGAATATGCAAAGAGTAGTGCTGGACAAGCTTACAGGTCAGAAGCGCATCAAGCTCTGTGGGCACGACGAAGAAATTCGGAAGGTGCATCAGGTCGTTGAGCAGACAGTTCTGGCAGGAGAAGGTAATTCGATGTTGGTGATAGGGGCAAGAGGCTGTGGAAAGACGACTGTGAGTTCCCCGAGTCAGATTCCGATTTCACAATTAACACTTTTGCAGCTTGTTGAATCGGTGATATCTGACATCTCCACCGAACATCGAGAGAACTTTCACGTTGTTCGGCTGAATGGTTTCATTCATACCGACGATAAATTAGCTCTCAGAGAGATCTGGCGACAATTAGGCCGCGAGATGGAAGTCGAAGATGATGCAGCAGGCAAGGTACGAGCACCTCACCGTTACTTTTTACTTTATGTCTGCTAACAACCGGTCAGACAACCAATGCTGCAGACATATTGGCGTCTCTGTTAGCCCTTCTGTCCCATCCCTCGGAAATATCAGAGGATCGTGCGGATGAAACTGCCAAGTCCGTCGTCTTTATCCTGGATGAATTCGATCTCTTCACTACACACCCACGCCAAACCCTACTGTACAATCTTTTCGATATAGCACAAGCAAGGAAAGCGCCTATTGTCGTTCTTGGCATCACAACAAGAGTCGACGTAGTGGAGACCCTTGAAAAGAGAGTCAAAAGCCGCTTCAGTCATCGATACGTGCATTTGTCATTACCTCGAAGTCTGCCAGCCTTTTGGGATATTTGTAAAGAAGGACTTACGGCTGAAACTGAAGAGCTCGATGCCGCAGGCTTCAACATCGCCGCTGATGGCCAGGTTGAGTTCCTCGCCTTCTGGCAGTCGATGATTGAAGTGAGTAACTTTCCAACGTTCATGAAGACCAAGCTGATAATTTTAGGACCTCTACAACAAGGATTCAACCTTCAAGCATCACCTCCAGTCACATTTCTATCGAACGAAATCTGTGCCAGCTTTCTTCACTTCGTGCATCCTCCCAATCGCCAATCTCTCCCTCAAAACCCTTCCTCTAACGAGCGGAGCCTTCACATCAAATACTATATCGCTCTCGCCCCCCGATTCTAAACTCCACATCCTTCAAGGGCTCTCAGAGTTAGAGCTCGCTCTCCTAATCGCCGCTGCACGACTTGATATCATACTTGATACCGACACGTGCAACTTTGCCATGGCTTACGACGAATATAGCTCCTTGACTTCGAGGCACAAAATACAGACCTCTAGCACTGGAATGGCCGCTCTTGGCTCGAGCGCCAAGATTTGGGGAAGGGATGTTGCATTAGGAGCATGGGAAAGATTGGTAGACTACCAATTACTGGTTCCTGCAGGCATTGGTGGGGGTGCTGGACGGGATTTCGGGGCCGGGGGTCGAATGTGGAAGGTTGATGTTGGTCTCGAGGAGATAACAGGGAGTGTTCCTGGAATAAGTGCTGTGATGGCAAAATGGTGCAGAGAGATCTGAAAATCAAGAACATCACCCACACCATTTCTGAATTGAGATTTGGCCTCCATCCCTTTCTGAAGTTAGGTCACGTCGAGGCCAGTGCCCCTCATTTGTACCACAAACCTGCTCATTTGGAAAGGTCGATATCCAGAGACTCCTGTCTCACCATGTTCGTGTAAACGATATTGTAGACTCGCTAGGCATCATACTGCCTACAGGCCGCTCTGGAAAGGCGCAATCGGCGATTCTCCTTTGCCTCCGAGACTTCGAGCAGCAGTAGTGACGGCGATAGCAGTAGTCGTCCTACCCAGTTTTTATCAACTGTTTCTAAACTAAAGGAGAAGAGTCAAGTGAATCGTTGTTATTCCCCGTCTTCTCCCTCAATGCCACTATTAGGCCCTTGGGTAGGCCCTCCATCCCCTCTACCGCAGAATTGGTGGCCTGATCTACTACCAAGGGTACCGACAACACTGGATGGAGCGCTCCTAGGTCCCCCAAGGGAGCTTAAGCCCATCCAAAGGTCTTTCGGGTTCAACTCCACACTCACGTGTCTCGTTCACGTCTCCCCCGTTACTGGTACATCAAACTGTAAGCTATTTCTTTTTCGTAGGAATACCACAACTAATAGTCGATGAAGGGCAACCGTCCAGCATACCATACTCTGATAATCGTAAACCAACCTCGGCCACAGTTCCAAGCCCTGCGTCACCAGCATCAGGTTTCGTTCCCGTAACAGCTATTCCGTCACCTAGCTCTGCTACAATTTCACCGCCAAAAAGCGCTATCCTGGCACCTGTGAAGGCTGATGAGGAGTCTCCCATCAAGGAGGAGGATGAGTCTCTTATCTCTCAAGAGGCTGTCGAGTGCATCGCCCCTGTCTCTTTCTTGGCTCAAACCTAAGAACTGCAGGCCTACAGTTCCAGAAGCACAACTTTTCAAATACCGGTCTACTAGATTTGTCTTTAAATTCAAGAGCTTATTCAGAAGCAAGGAGTCACTTGCAACGGAGATGAGAGGAGTACTCACATGAGAACCATTCTGTCCCAGCTCAACACCGATACATGGTACAAGACCTTTGGCACGCTTGACCTCTGGGAGAATAACAACTTTCAACTGGTGCTCCACCCGCGGAATTGGGGAAAGGGCCTTGAGAGAGAAATCGTCGTGCTCAAGGTTTTGCAAAACCATAGGCCCAGCGCGTAGACGAGATCGCTCAGCCAAGGTTTCCGAAAACAATCACGCGATTCCGGCCCTTTCCTCCCTGCTGGGGTGAATGATCGGATAATACTGGTTATTGTACGGGAGAAGTTGGTTGCTGAGAAACCATCGAGTCGTACAATAGGGCTTCGGCCTTGGCCGCCTACTCCCCCTCGTCCTCCTCCTACACAACCAGCTTCCCTACCATCAATGCCGAGAACCCAACCTTCTGCAGGAGAAGGCTATGACAAAATTACGATGGATGTATGTACTTCTCATTACTCCTTATCAACCCAGGCTTTTTTGGGGCGTAAGGTAGCTCTTACTCCTTGGATCATCAAAGGCTGATGTATGTTCATAGGGCCACTCATAAAGATGAACTGGTGGCAAAAATCTAGGACGTCTCGATATTTGGGAAGGAATGAATTTGCTAACGATTACAGGGTCAGACATATACCACAGACGATGCCGCCCGCCATATCCTGACAACATAATGCGAGTATATTCAGCGCGTCTCTGAGCCTAGAGAGTCCAAGGAGGTTTGGTGGATGGGCTGGTAATCACTCGGGGACGGTAGAGATTCTAAGGTGGTGGAGGGGTGAAAGAGGGAGAGATGAGTACGTAGAACGTTTCCCTGAATAAGATCGCTTGACCACGCTATTATTTGAGGCTTAGGGATATTGACCAGTTAGGTGGGGCTCGGTGTAGAGTTTAGTTGTAATATTGCGTCTTCCTAACACATTTTTTGAGTCTTCGACTCTTCGTATATATAATCATGTACTATTAGTACAGTATGACAGTGCACATTGTACAGAAAAAGTAGATCCGTATAGTAAGACTACGCCGACTACATTTCCACTTTATTCTTCTTCACAACATTAATTATTTGTAAGCCCTTCTATCCTAACATAAAATACCTCAGTTATGAAGGATCACCCCTAACTGCTAGAAAAGGGGGGACGATCTATCGGAACAGAGAAAATCCGACCCCACAGCGGGGTAATTCGCTCACGTGATATGCGCGTTGCTCTCGCGACGCGTTCCTCTCTCCCAACCGCCCTACCACAACCAAGCGCAGTCATGGACTACGCAACGCTCCACGGGCCAGGAATCTCAAACTTTGATTCTTTTCCTTCACAACGTACTTTCCCATCTTTCCTTTGGACATTGATATGGGTGTTTCTGACTACCGGGGCTAGATCGGTTGCCGACGGTCTCGGCGGCGCAAGCGTTGCAAGATCTCAGGTCCTCGGATAGGAGATGCATAGAGACGGGTTTGAGGGCGTTAGATGAGGCGATGGGGAATGGAGAGGCGGGGGAGAGAGGGGGAGTACCGAGGGGGAAGGTTACGGAGATTTGGGGACCGAGTGGGGTGGGGAAGACGGGGTTGGGGTGAGTTGGTTTGCGTTTGAGATGGGTGAGAAAGGAATGGGGCTGATTGAGTTTAGGATGCAATTAGCTGCGAGTGCGTTGCTTGCTGGTGAGGGCGTTGTGTGGGTAGGTCAGTTGACTTTTGAGTTTGTGTTTGGGTGCTTCTTGAGTTTGAAAGGGGTCTCTGTCTTTTGATTATTTCTTTGCCTAGGTGCGAGGACGTATACTCATATTGCTTTGTTACTTTGTTGCTCTGTTTCTATTTTGACCTCTACTTTTCCACTACCAAGGCTAGTCTGGCCGGCATAAGGAGAGGGGACTTCGTAGAGTCCATGCATGAATCGTTGTTGGTACTGACAGTCTCAGATGCATCACACCCCCTATCCGGACCTCGTCTCTCCCAAATCCTCACTTCATTTAAACCAAGCACACCACCCTCGAGCTCCATCTCTTCAAGTCCACCGCAACCACCAGCTCTATCCGATCTTCTCGACAATCTCACTCATTTCTCTACACCTACCCTCGCCCACCTCATCGCTCTTCTGTCCCATCATACTCCAAACCATCCAGCCCATAACACCAGCTTGATAATCATTGATTCTTTATCGACACTCATCAGCAATGCATTTCCAAGGACCGTAGATTCTCCAGCCACGCCACGGAAACCAGGCGGTATGTTGACTTCTTGTTCTCGTTACATATACCCGGATCCATGGATTTGATTCTATCCACCCCGCAATCCCTTTTCGCAAATCCCACTGACAGAAAACCAGCGCCCAACCCCTCGTCCCGCAAATTCCCCATCCTGCAGCACCTGATAAACTCGCTGCAGAAATTGGCGGCCACCCGCAACATCGCCATTGTCATACTCTCGCAATGCGTGACGAAGATGCGGCCTGGCGCAGGACCCGTCCTGGTCCCGGCCATCAACACGACGGCTTGGGAGCAGGGCCTCGGATGCCGCGTAGCGCTGTTTCGAGATTGGGGCTGGAATGATGAGGAGGGGAAGCCGGTCGAGGTGAGGCTGGCAGAGGTTGTTAAGGTGGAGGGGGTGGCTGTGGGCGGGAGGAGGGCAAGGTTGGTTGGGTTTAGTATTGATGAGGTAGGTGCTGCTTCTGACCCTTTCTCGTAGATGGACCACAGGTCTTCACTCCATCTAGTTTTATCTAGTAGCATCCCATTCTAACACACTTTCCAGACCGGACTCCGACCCCTAACGCTTCCCACCCCAGCACCCCAAGATCCGCCGCGTGCACAGGTCCCGCAAGAAGCACAGACAGCGAACTCCTCGCCCCATATCCCGCAGAAACGCAAGCTGTCAGCCACAGGTCTCGAGATCCCGGATAGCGATGGCGAGGACGACGAGGATTACGGGTGGGCGGACGAGGACGAGGAGGATATACCCGCCATGCCACCGCAGTGGCAGGGCAGTGAGGATATCCTGGTTCCTGGCGAGGGGGAGTTAGAGGAAGAAGAAGAAGAGGAGGAGGAGGAGGAGGAGGAGGAAGAGGATCAGGAGGGTGAGGATGGACTTGCTACCAACGTTATCCCTAATGTGGATGGGGGGGCAGGGACTAGATTGGGAGTCGAAATCGACGATAGCGAGGATGAACTCGCACTCTGACCAGGACTACGAATATGGGAAGGGGAAGCTAGTCCCACTGTTTGGAATTCTGGAGACAAAGTATGTGTGTGCGTGGGTGCAGGCCCTTGAGGAACCCAAGCTGCATCTCTGGGTTATTGACCAACGTTCTATTTACTCCTCATCTCCACGCATCCTCCCTCTGCCGCAGTACAGCTCTTGAGCTTCCTGGAAGAGACGAAGATGGATGACTGATAGGATTGATTATCTCTCAGGAATCTCGCATACCTGACAGCATTACAGGCACATATTCTATCTAATCCAACTCTCGACCAACCTAGACTCGAGAACTCCGGATCTTTTCGGAGAGAAAGAGAGGACGGCCTTGAGATGTCTTATATCTTCTCATATGCCAGAGGTTGGACACTTAAGAGTTCCGAGGAGAGTCTACATCTTTCTGGAATCCCGCCATATCGCAAGCACGTGCTTTGATCATACTCTTGCATACCTCCTCCGGAATGGAAATCAGGACTTATGGGAGAGGGTTGTTTGAGATTAGAAAATTGCGAGACTGAGGGAGGGAGGAAAGGAGCGTGCGTTTGACTTGGAGCTGTGGATCAGTAGATGGTACGGTGAGGATTGGGAGGAATATTTGAGAGTATTCAGTCCATTCGGAAATCCGAAGATGAGATACAGAAACGCATCAATCAATCAAGCTATGAACTTTCCCCTTCCCGCTCTCAAGAGAAACATAAGAAAAGAACGATGCCGCTCACGACGTTCCCGACCCGTCCTCATCCACGAAGTCAAAACTAGTATCTGATGAAGAATGAATAAATAAATAAATGAACAAACGAATAACAGGAGAATCCAGGCTACGTGAAAGAATACATCTTAGGACTAATTCATAGATTGATAGATTCTCTGATTTGAAATCATTTTTCATTGTTAAACAAAAGGGTTTTATTTCTAATTCTTCGGTTTCTCTAGAATGGAGTTGATAGAAAGATATATAGATGGAAGAGTGGATATCAAAATCCCCCCTCCCCCTTCTCCCCCCTAATTATCACACATATCACAAATCAGGAAACAGGAATCATACTACATAACCTTCCCTTCCTTTAGTCGTCAAAATCCAGAATTAAAAAAGTAGAAATAGAAATGAAGCAGGAACTTCCTGAGATGTTTATATAGACTAAATTTTCTTGATAGATGATGGGGGGGTATGTGAATTTAGGAAGAGGTGCTGGATTGGGTTGGAGGAGGAGAAGGAAGAGAAAGAGAGAAAGAAAGGGGGGTTTATCGAGGGTGGGACTTTTTGAGTTATTGTGGTACTGTATCAAATATCCTTCCCTATCCTCCCTTTCTTTCTTTCTTTTTTCCTTCTTGCCGTCTTCACTACCCCCAATCCCAATCCCAATCCCAACATAAACAATTTCGCCACCCTCTGAACACGTGGTGTTCCACGTGCCCCCTTTTCCTCCCATTCCCTCCTATCCCGGCGCTCCTCCGCTCCGAAAACAACCGAGGCCCTCGGATACACGTGACTCGTCCTGCGGCGGAGCGGAGAGCGTCGAGGGGGGTCTAGGCTCGGCTATACCCCGGAGAGATAGGGGGTTGTGGAGAAGGGAGATATTGAGATGGTTTTGGTTGGGTATGAATGGTTCATTGGTTCATTGGTTGGTTGGATTGTGATTGTTGTTGTTGTTGTAACGTTGTTATTGGGGGTTTTTACGAGGTAGGGCTGTGCTAGTTAGGTAGGATAGGGGATGGGGATGGGGATGGAGAGAGGGCCGGGAATAAGGGTGAGAGATGTAAGGCGGGGATGGATGGCTACAATCAGATTTCAATGCTATAGCCTATGGTAAACATACAACATCCAGAGTTACGAACAAACAAGAGCAAAGAACCGAGGATTGCCGGATAAGCATATCTGGGGAAAGGAAGAAGGATCTACAGCCGTGGCTTGGCTGACATGTGGATAGACTCCTCTCCTCTTCTCTTACCTATGTACTCGGCACAGTAGTACTGCTGAAAGACGATGATTGATAAGATCTCCGTAAGAAATCAATGAACTGAGCAGATTGGCGGGAATATGTTTTGGCGCGGCACGGAGGGATAATAGCAAGCTACGAGTCAGCGAGTAGAGAGAGGAGGGCGGATATTGGAAGAAAGTCTGTTTGATGATAGATGGGGTTTGGGTTTGGGGTTAAGGTAGGGCTAAGGTACTGGATATCGTATGGAGTAATTAGATGGTGGGATTGCATTATTGGAATTGAGAATGAGATTATGCGGAGTGGGTGGGTGGGTAATGGCAATGGATGACTGCCGGGGCAGTGTGGAGAAGCTATAGCTGTGCAAAGAAAAAAAAAAAATGAAAATGGAGAAAAAAAAAAGAAAAAGAGAAAAGAAAAGAAACTGGAGAGTTCATTCCCTCACCCTCTCTCCATCTCCCACGATCCCACATGTCCTCAACTCACGAACTTCAAAGTGAAAAAAGCCATTCAGCCGGCGGCATTTACCCAGATGGCGCTCCCCACCCGCGCCCCACCGGGCGACTGGGGGAAGGGAAAAGGGAAAAGAGCAGCGCGAAGAAAAAGGGGATTTCACATGTCAGCCCGTCGCATTCGCTTATCAGATGGGGCTAAGCGGGTGGAAATTTTCCTTTTCTCTTTTGCCTTTTATCTCTTTTGCGCCTGGAGCAGTTCGTCGTGTGTGCCGGGGATATCTGGAGCCATCTGGATAGTCGGGGAGTTGGCGCCCCACGGAAGGGCCGATGTCCGATGCTACAGCTGGAATGGAATGATGGGGTTCAGATCAGATCATAGGTACGGAGTAACTACTTGTAAGTCCATGTGAACTTGTAAAGAAAGTCCTGACCTGAGTTCCGAGAATTCCCTATCGGGAGCCCCCGGAAACCTTCTCATGTCTTGTTGTGTGTGTGTGCTTACATACGCCGTGGGCGAGACGAGCCGTGTCTTGGACCCCCGCAACTCAAACTCATGTCTCAGCGTCTCCTGCGGATAGCGACCTACGGATGCGGTACTCTGCTCTAGTACTGAGGCTATTCAGAGGGAGCTGGGCCGGTTTTGACCTTTTCCATCCTTCTCTTTGCCACCGGCTGATGTCGTGCGCAGGGCTTCACCGCAAGTTATACCGGCGATGGATCATGGATCATCACGCCATCCCTCCCTCACATCCGTCGCTGGGGGGGCTCTCCGGGCGAGGATCTGAGGATGGATCATGGATGGATGCCGAGGGGTTTGTACCTCCGTTGTGTATGGGGTTGTACCTATATTCCTCCGGAGCATGAGATGCTTCTGTTCCATCTGCCGAGGGTGCGGTCGATGGGTGGAGAGAGCCAGCGCAAGATGAGAGCGGTGGCAGTGGCAGTGGCAGTGGCAGTGGCAGCTCCCCCAGCATCTGTCTCCCCTTCTCCGAGCCGCGACCGATCAATTGATCCGGGGTAACCAGCCGTGGCATGACATCGCACCGTCGGGGCGGCCGAGGTTCTCGCGATCTGCCCATGGATGCAGGAAGGGAGGCCACGGGTAATGCGCCGGCTACTGCTCATCATCTACCTATCTGCTGTGTCCTCATCTCCTTCCTGTCTACGTGCGTAACGGGCGCCAGGAAGCAGGCTACAACTACACAGCGCATATCTCTCTCGCGCCCCCAAGCCTCACGGTAATTTCCCCACACGGCGTTATCTCTGGGGAGAGATAAGGGCGAACCAGGGCGGGAGGACAAAGAAAGAAAGAAAGAAAGAAAAAAGGGCACTAGTGGCCATGGAACTAACCCGCTTTGGGCTGCAACGCAAACTGCAGATTGCCGAATATAACCGGTAAGGAGAACGGGCGACGAGCGGTCCGGAGGAAAAGCTGGAGATGATGCGAGGCTGATGTAAGACGGTACTTGGCCGGGTGGTCTAGGCTTGGGGATCCCGTTTCTTCCCGAGCACGTCCGGGCGCGTGCGGTGGATGAAGCTTTTGATACGTACCTACGAGAGGGCTCTAGAATTTGTGTTCTCACTCAGGACTCAGGAATCTCAGCTCACCACTTGCCACGGCTTCCGAGACAAGAGTTCCGAATACACTCTTGCCTAGGTACAGTACAGAAGTCATTTACGGTATCTCTCTGTCTCTTTATCTATAGTATCCATGATCCTATCCCATCCCTCACAGAGGTCACTCAAACAACTCAATCAACTCATCTCATCTCCGAGACAAAGCCCCATTCCAGACCGGCAGCTCCCACCAACCAAAACACCACATCGTCATTGCCCTCCCCAACTTCTTCCATCCCTAAAATCCCAACGCCCATGTATTTCTCCTTTATCTCGTCCCCCCACCGAAATGATCCCGGCCCCCCACATTTTCTAATAATCCTCTCTTTTTCTTTCTAGCCTTATCCGTCATTCGTACTCCCTGCCTTACCTTAGGTACTCTCCTCATACTTACATGTACATGTACCATACCATCCATACGTTACCTTACCTTACCACACGATATAAACACCCTGCTAAACGGCTCCCTTTTTTCAAAAGGAAAAAAAAAAAAAAAAAAGGAATAGATGCATAAAACCCCGCCAGCTCGAAGTAGGTAATTCTCGGCTATCCTGCCCTCCCCCACAGAATGCCCGATCCGGTTAGGAAGCAGGCGGGGATTCGCACGGGTTGGCTGTCCAGGGTATACTAGTAACCACCTATACTAACTGCAGACTGCAGTGTAGCCTGTAGGTAACTAGGGGTGCACTGCCGCCTAAAAGAAAAACGGAAAGGGGTGGAGGCAAAAAAAAAAAAAGAAAGGAAAAACAGAACTAGGGGTTCTTTTTTAGAACACCGCCGAGGAAGGCCCTTGGGTTGGTGTTTTAGAGATAGATCCCGAATTTTCTCCTGGGGGATGGGATGGCGCGCGCTGTGTTGTTCTGGACTCTGGATGGGGTGTCTGGAAGTTTGGAGAGAGGAAATGAGAGATAGGAGGGAGAGAGATGGATTGATGATAATTATCCAATTATTCAATATTTTATCCATTCATTTACCTAACCTCCTCTCTCTCTCTCTCCATCCCCCAAGAGAAATCCCCCCCGAACCGCCCCCTCCTCCCCGTCCGTTAATGACGACACGCAGAAAAAAGCGCCAAGCTCTAATCTCCACGAGTCGCGGGGTCTGGAAAAAAGGGGAAGGAATAGCGAATTGAAGATGAGCCGAAAGTTTAAATAGGTAGGGTGGTTAATTAACACCGGGGTTGGTTTTGAGGGATTAGGGGATTAGGGGATTTGGGGGTAGGTTAGGTACTGTAGGTAGGATAGGTAGGTAGGTACCTAAGGTAGGTAGGTAGGTATTGGAGATGAGATAGAGAGAGAAGTTGAGTGATGAGTGGTTGTATGGAGTGTGGGTTAGGTAGGCGCTCGCTTAGACTTGGGGATAGATGGATAGGAGGAGGATACCTTTAGATGTTGATATCGATCGATATTTACATTAATTCCACAATCCAATCCCACACACACCAAACGTTACATTCCTCATCTCATAGATGCATCCTACAAGCCATACCTGTAAGATCCCCGCCGTTGTATCTCCTCAGCCTCGCATATCCCGCGTCGGCTTTCCTTCCTTGGAATTTCTGGCCATCATCTGGTCGAGCGATGTTACTGGTGCGCTAGGAGAGAGAGAGAATGCGGAGGAGAGATGGAATGCATGACCGACTGGCGCGCTTGGCTTGGCTTACCTTAGGTACCTATTCGATCCATGGCTTGCTGCTTGTAGCACTGTATAGGTAAGGTACAGATTAATCACATGTGACTACCTTACCTAGGAAAGTAAATAGTCAGGGCATACTACTACATAGATAGGTACCTACGTATGGCTGGTGATGGTATGGAGGACGGATAGTAACCCCAGCTTTTCGCCCGCCCGCCGGCTGTTGGAGCGGATGGATGGCATAGCATGGCATGGCATGATTGAAGACGCGTGATTCTTCTTCCGGGCCGGTAAAGAGTGGACGCGGAGCGGGTGAGTGTACATCCGCCTTTGCTGCGAGAGAATCTATGCGCGGACATGCAATCCAGTTCAGCTCCCTTCATTTGGAAACTCGATGTATCATAAATTGTCAAATATGTATACGCATGAATGGATAATCATGTGCGAGGTTTCAGGCATTATTGATTTTCTTTTTCAAGTGTTTGGTTCCTGTTTGGATTCGCGTTTCGCATTGCATGCGTTTACCCGCTCATCCTTCTCCGGATTGCGGGTTTGAGATGCGGAGAAGGGGGAGGCTGCCGCTTTCATGGGGAAGGGGGAGGGAGGCATTAAGCAGGATGGAATGCGATGTCATGCGAGGGGAAGGGGTAATTGGTTTGTAGCATCCAGGAATTGAAAGACGCAGGATAGGTACCTTACGTAGGTAGGTACAAGGTATCATTTGTGCAATGTGCATTGTGTCCTTTTACCCCACGGGGGGGAAGACGGAAAAAGGAAAAAGGGGAAGGGGGGCCCATGTAAGAATAAAGGGAAGATGACCAGGCTGTGTTCATCATCCTTGCGCATCCCACTCAGCTTCAGCCTTCGGGGCGCAAAATAGAAAGATAAGCTGCTCGGTGTGGCGCGAGATGAGGTGTTCTTGATGCTATTTCCACCGTTCGGATAAGGACACGGGGGTTCGCGGGAATGCCACGGGGAGGACGATGAGGCGGCGGCAGATGCTACGGGATGTGCGACCGGCTTTGTTTCTTTTCAATGGGCACGCTCTCCGATCGGCAGATGTGATGCTCAATAGATGGAACTGGAGATGGAGATGGGCTGAGAGATGGGGAGACGGGAGATGGGGTGAGGGTGATGATGGAGCATAGGGGCAGGGCGAGCTGCAGCATTCCCCACGTTTCTCGCGCGACTCCAGGCCCCGGGACTCGAGGCGGAATGCGCTGGATGCTCGGGGACCGAATGTTGGTGCTGGAAATAGTCCGACGGTAATCAATTGTCCCACGGTAATAACATCATCATCATTCATGCCTCTGTCCGGTAAACTTCGGTCGAAGGGGGCAGGGCCTCCTATCGGCAGACACATGCGGATTATTGGTTCATTCAGCTGCGCCGGAGTCAGCAAATACCATAGCTACCTAGGTAAGGCTTACGAGGGGCCCCGGGAAAAGGCTCAGGAACCTGCTTGAAAGGTTAAACAAGAAAAGAAAAAAGTAGGCAAGATTCGGCTGCTTGGGGTCCTCTCCTGGCGAGATCTGGGTGGCGGCTGACGCCTTCGCTCTTCGCTCATGTCGAATGATGAGAGAAGATACCAGACCAAAAGTGTTACGTGACGGCCAACTCTTCCAGCGCCGACGCGGATGGACTGGCCCATTCTTCTTACTCAGCCGCTGCTCCCCGTGTGCCCTGCGACCCTGTATCTCCCGCGACACGACCCGACGCCCATCTATAGTGCTACCTCATGAGGTTTAGACTGCCCCTCATCCGATCACGATGGGCGAGAGGGCGGGAGGAGAGGGAGAGGAGAGGGTGGAGGACGGACGAGAAGAAAGACGATGAGATGAAGTACACCGAAATCATAATGAAGTACACGCAAATAAAAACAAAGAAAAGCAGCGACATGGTCGAGATCAAAAGGGGAAATAAAAGAGAAGTCAAAGTAAAAGTAAAATAAAAAGAATTACCCCATGCCCGGGCAGAAATGATACCCGATGAGGCAAGCGACTCGTCCCTCCGTCATTCTCCGCACAGGCGGGCGCTGCAAGGGAAAAAAAGGGCGTTCTGCGGCGCTACAGCACGATGGATCATTATCAGCTCGAAGTCTTTTTCCCTTTTTCCCTTGTGCGCAAGAGCCTAGAGGATTGAGGACCATCTTATTTCCGTGGCCCCCAGACGGACGGACTCCAGAGCCCAGCGTTCTGGCCACCGCACTTCCCCATGCGGCCAGATGGGTTAATGGAAGAGGGAGGGTGGATGTAGCACGAGAGTAGTTTCTACAGTAGTTGTATCGTCTCCCCCGCGCTGCTAGGATATGGACGGGAAGAGAGCGCGGAGAGGGAGGAGGGGGGAGGCGGAGGGGAGCGGAGAGAGAAGAGGATCTTCTTATGTTGATTATTGATGATGATGATGGCGATGAAGAGAGAACGAGAGGAGATGTAGATGCATGTATGTATATCTGCACATTGAGATCGCTGTCTTATATACGTGGAGAGAGACAGGAGATCGGTATCTCAGGTGCATAATGATAACCACCACCAGACAGACATGCGCAGATGCAAGACGCAAGACGCAGACATCTCCAGTCAATCAATAATCCCCAATGCCGCCTCTAGAGACACACGCTCTTTTCTGTTCTCCTGCCCTTCTGCCCTTCTGGCCCTTCGCGATATGGCCTTGCGGTACCCACACTATTTGACACACCGAGAGACACGCCCCCCTCCCCACCCCACCGGGGCCCAGTCGCCCTCACGGTTCTGCGCCCGCCCACACAACGCTACGACACATCCTATAAGACGCCGACCCCCCCTCGGTACCTTCTTCCCTCCGTCCTGACCCCCCCCCTCCCTTTCTCCATTAACCCCCCCCCCAGTCAGAAGATTTCTTGAGCAATACATACGCACGACCAGATTGTGATATCTCTATCCGCAATCTCCCACTTCTCCATCTCTTCTCCATCATTGCATCACTCTTACTACTCTCTCCCGAGTATATCCTCTGGCCCGCTCCCCTTACCGAACTGGCCTCTACTACTTCCCACGGCTACTACTCTCTCACCACTTCACCACTCCTCACCTTCCTCCACGATACCTTCAGCCCTTGGTACAATCCAGTCTGCTGATCTTCGACTTCCCCCTTCCCGGTTCGACAGCTCTTCGTCTCTCCCCTTCGCTGCGGCGGCGATCACATGCAACGCGCATCCTCCGCCGTAGATTTTTCAAGTCTACTGAATCCCCAGTCGACCGTCGAGGCCGAGCAACAGGCTGCTCGTGAGAAGTTGAGGCAGATCGAGGAGGACCAGCGGAGCGCAGAAATGGCTGCCGTCAGTATGATGCCGCCCATGATCGGCGGTCAGCCCGGTGAGGACCGCCAGGACTTGCCCCGACCCTACAAGTGCCCACTGTGCGACAAGGCTTTCCACCGTCTCGAGCACCAGACCAGACATATCCGGACGCACACGGGCGAGAAGCCTCACGCCTGCCAGTTCCCCGGCTGCACCAAGCGCTTCTCGCGATCCGACGAGTTGACCCGGCATTCGAGGATACACAACAACCCGAACTCGAGGAGGAGCAACAAGACCCAGCAGGCGGTCCAGAACATGGCTCAGAATGGCGCCTTGGAAGGCTCCTCCGCAATGGCGACTACCATGATGCCTCCCCCAAAGAGCATGTCGTCCAGATCCGCGCCCGCATCAGCCCTGGGCTCCCCGAACGTCTCTCCTCCACACTCCTACTCCTCCTACTCGACCGCCGTGCCCTCAAATCTCAACCCGTACGGCCGATCCCTCGGTGGCTCCCCCAACAACGGCTCGACCCTCGACATCAACTTGCTCGCCACAGCCGCGACGCAGGTCGAGCGGGAGTCCACCTTGGCAACCCATCATCCTCATCACCGTCACCACCCCTACTACAGCCACAGCTCCCACAGCAGCCGCAACCACCTCCCTTCGCTGTCTGCCTACGCCATGTCGAGAAGCCACTCCCACGACGAATCACCCGACGACCACTATGCGCATCGTCATGCGAAACGCTCGAGACCCAGCTCTCCCCAGTCGACTGCTCCCTCCTCGCCAACCTTCTCCCACGACTCGCTCTCGCCGACTCCAGACCACACTCCGCTGGCCACCCCTGCACACTCTCCACGCCTACGTCCTTATGGTGGTGGTTACGATCTCCCAACTATCCGCAATCTCACCTTGCAGCACACTCCTGCGCTCGCTCCCATGGAGCCTCAACATCTCGATGGCCAGTACCATGCTCAGAACACGACCTCGAACGCACCGCGGACTGGGTTGACGATAAGTGATATCATGAGCCGGACCGACGGAACACAGAGAAAATTGCCGGTTCCACAGGTGCCAAAGGTTGCGGTTCAGGATCTGCTGAGTGCGGGCGAGACTGGCTTCGGAACGCCCCATGGCAGTGGACGGAGTAGCACAACAGGGAGCGTTGCGGGAGGTGATCTGATGGACCGGATTTGACCTTTACCAACGGATTAACGATTCACATCCAACTACGAGAGCGCAACACGAGACGGAGTCGAGTCGGTAGGCTCATCCGAATAACGAGAGACTCGGAGCTCGATCGGATCTCCACTTCTCCCGGTGATCTTGCCAGCGGGCAACAACACACAACACAACTCACGCTTCTTCAATTCCTTGATGACGGACGATAACGGAAGGGTGTACATATAGATTTGCTATTGCTCGTTCAGCGCGCACTATAGACTTTGCTTTTATCCTTGTTCTCCAATCTCCTACGATTCCTTGATTTTTACGTCGGTGGCGGTGGTTGCTTCAGGGAAGCAGAGGATCATACTCACGAGCATCTCCTCCTTCGCCTTACTGCGTCGAACGCTTCCTTTCATGGCCATGTAACGCACGAGCAAACGACACTATCTACCTATCTATCTCGGGTTGTGGGTTGGGAGGAAAGGAGGACTCTTTTTTCGCAATTATAGACGGGAGGTTTTCTACAGGCGGGATGTATGGGAAGGCGGATAGGATGGGCCGGGGAGAATCCAGGAGTTCTGATTGTGATTTTTTGATTTTTTGATTCTTTGATAGGGTGGGCAGAAGCCGCAGCAGCACAGCAAGGGGGGAGGCGCTTTGATGGAGCGCGAGTGTATGTGTGTGCGTGCGTGTGACGCCGATTGCAGAATTGAGTAATGAATACGATATACAAAGTAATAATTCCACCACCAGACCCCCAATATCAACCGTGACCAGGAAGGTACAGCAGTATCCCCCGAAACCCAAGCTCGTGATCTGAAGGCGATATGGGAGACGTGAGACATCACGAACCGTGACCCGCGCCTCATGCCACTCCATCATATTCACATGCCATCGCAACACCCCGGGGGAGACGGAGGGGGGCTCGACCTACCTAGAATCTAGACTTGGAACCTACCTAGCTAGACCTTCTTCCTTGCATCCTGGTAAATTAATCCGGGTGAGATATTCCAGGCACGAGGATCTGGGTATGTATGTATGTCGGTAGTAGGGAGAGGGGTCTGTCGGTAGTAGCAGGTTGATCTTTTGCGAGGGGTTGTTTGTTTCTTTCTTTTTTGGGTTGGGAGGGGGACGAAGAGAGACATGTGATATTGGGGAGAAGAAGAAGAAGCATGTGATTATGTGGGTTAGTGGGTGAGGTGGGTGATAAAAGAACGAGGGGCCCGGGGTGTGGTGGTGGGGGTCGGGGGATGGGGGATGGGGGATGGGGGACGCAGCACGGGGTCGGGGAGGAAAAAGGAAAAGTTTAATTTCAAGGAAAGGAGGAAGGTATAGGATTTGACATGTGACTACGTATTGCAGAGCTTTCTTTTTTGTTTATTTGTTTTTCTAGGTTTTGTTGAAGAGGTTGATGATAAGAGAAGAACCTGAGGTAGATATGTTCCTTCCTTTCATCACCATAGATCTTCTCCTCTCTTCTCCTGTTATCAAAAATATACTTTGATCGAAAGCTACTTAATCTTTCCTTCCCCCCCCCCCTCTCTTTTGACTCATCTTCTTTTCTCCTTTGTTTTTCTTCCCTAAGGTAAGTCATTTAACGGAATAGATAATATATCTCGCACTATGTACACACTATACTATACTTGTTATACTGTACAAGGTCACACACCTACACACACGTATGTATATATTGTCCACGGTCATCCTACCTAAGGTAACACCATCCCCCCCCTCTTTATAAAAAGCAAAGAAAGAAAGAAAGAAAGAAAGAAAGACATGACTCGCCTACCTTAACCCCCTGATATTTCTCTACTTACTTAGGTACCTAGGGACAAAACCTAAGCTTCGGTAAGTAGGTAAGTCCTTTATACAGGATGGGAAAGGGAAAATTCTAGGTTCCTGGCGCAGAAGTTAGAGAAGGAGGGTGAGAGATGGAATCATGGAATATTATGAAAGAAGATAGGTAGGGAGTTGTGGCTAGGTAGAGAAGAGAAGAGAAGAGATGAGATGAGTAGATAAGAGGATCTATACCGTTATCTTCTTTGATGATGTTTAAAACGTAATGTTTTAGAGGATAGACAGGATGTAAAGAATGGAAAGAGAAGGAAGGGCACATTAGAGAGGAGATAACATAGTACAGCTAACTTTTGAAGTATATACGGAACTTCTTTCTAATCAAACCACTAGATTGTGATTATTATGTAAATACAAGAGAATCAAAAGTTCCTTTTCTTTTCCTTCCTTCCTTCCTTCCCAAAGATTCCTTCTCTGCGCAAAGAATCCCTATCTATGTATCCCCCTCCAGAAGTCAAACAATAGCCCCAAATGAAAACCCGGAATATTCACCTACCTAGGTACCTAGGTAGGTAAGGTCACCCCGGGCTCACGTGGTCCTCTGTCCTATACTACAAGACAGCAGCCAGCCAACTCGGGATTCGGGATCATCTCTTCATCATCATCATCATCATCATTGATCCAGGGTCCTCCGGGAATTACCCCTCCCCTCCTCCTCCTCCCCGCGCCCTCCCCGGGGGGCTAGCTACATGGACCTACCTACCTTACATTAGGCACAGGAGAGCTGACTCAGGGGTTATTTATTGTCCGATTTCCGGATCTCTGAGCCTCCATCCTCATGCATGATGACAAGTATCTAGCAGGTCTGAGGTCTCTGAATTACATCGTTTTTTCTTGTCTTGTTTTTTGATTGGGAATGTGGTTGTGGGAGATGGGAAGGGTGAGCTTTACTTTTAAATAATTGGAGCGGAGCGGCATGCGTGGGTTTTCTGGGTGGAATATCAGGGTTTCTATTAGAGGAGGTGGAAGGTTGGGGATCAAGGGAAGGGGTTTCTTTTTGAGGTGCAGGGAAGGGGAGTCGGTAGATGCTGGGGCTGAACTTTGGGTACAGCGCTGGAGAGAAAAGATGGAAAGGGAGGAACAACAGGCCCACGTGTCAGCTATGCATACCTACACCCGTGCCACAAAAAGTATCTCGAACACGGGACATGGCTCTCTTATACAAGAATCCCAATATATTTCCCTAGATCCTATCTCCGCAACTGTCTCCACCTGCTGACCAGTGAGGCTGAACTTGATTTGATACCGAAACATCGCCGTAGGATGCTTGCTCTCTGTGGATCATTGTATACGGAACCATTTCTTTCCGGGCCTGAGGTCGAATCTTCATGGCTTGATTAATGTGAGATATGAATGAATGAGCTGCTGGTTGCTAAATTCCCACCTACCTGCCGCCAAACAGCTCCGCCACGCCTTGGACGCGTAATAGCTAAGAAATGCCACACACGAGACAACAAATCTGGGAGCTGAACTGCCGGTAGGCAGCGCCGCAGCGCCTCCAAAGCCTCAAGGACAGAGTCACAGAACAAGCGCCGTCGACTTCAGCATATCACGATTATATCCGCACAATTCCCATTAAACCCGTTCCCGCCCTGACGTCGGTTCCCCAGCAGAGTTCATCATCCGACGTCACGGGCGCAGGCGGAGAGCGGAGAGCGGAGGCGGCGGAGTCCCAGATAGGGGTCGGCGGTTGCGATGCTGATTGGTCGACCCCACACCCCCGCATTATCAACCCCGTCATGCGTATCGCTAAGAATAGCAAAGAGTTGCTCTCCCCAAGACATTAAGATGGGCCCCTATCCGACCGCTCGTGGGTACAATCTCTTTGAGATGTCGGATACGGCACTTGGTTCGGGCTCTTCACATGCCCTTGATGCCTACGTATGTCGGAAAACGCTGTCTCCAGAGGTCTGAGAGGTCTGAGAGCCCCATTTGGCCCATTCTCGTCCCGCAAGGTGTCTGTTTTTGCGCGTGGACAGCGAGATGAAGAGATATATACAATCGTCGGGTAACGGCACACCCAGTTGAAAACAGGATCTGGAGAGAAACGCTGAGAGAGCCCTTTCCGACGAGCATCATCAACTGCCGCTGTGCTGGGCGCGGGCGGTGTCACTGCTGATTGGTCGACCCCGCACCCCGCGTTATCCCGCCGCGCTGCCAATTGGTCGTGGAGATTACCCTTCGGATGCTGCACCCAGCTTCGACGCCTCCTACCCCGCAAGTCCCACTCCATCGAGAGCCAGTGTTGGAGAATGCCTGCCAAGTCCAAGTGATGTCTCAATATCAGACAATTATATATATATGTCTCCTCAGTCCACTCTCCAAATCACTTTCGAAGCAGCATCTCTTCCCTCTTCATCATGGCTGTGATTTGGCAAACAAATACTGTCAGCGTCTTTGCGCTGGCAAAAGCCTACTTCGTCCCTATCCTCCTTACTCTTTATGTCCTGAGCATCTTCTATAATCGATTTCGACCAGGCGTCTCCAAGATCCCAGGCCCACGTCTGGCAAAATGGACCAAGTTATGGCGGTTGCATGATGTCTATAAGGGACAGGCGCACCAGACGGCGATTAAGTTACATAAAAAGTACGGTCCGCTCGTACGCATCGCACCAAATGTGGTCTCTGTCGGAGACCCAAAGGCCGTCAAGATTATCTATGGATTGACAGGAGGGTTCACCAAGGTAACTATCATGCTCTTCGCAAGGAAAGAATGTTAACTGACTTGCTTCAGTCTGCATTCTACCCCCTTCAGAGCATCTCATGGCAGAAGAAGCCCCAGATGAACCTGTTCTCCACACGTGATCCCATGTATCACCGCGAGCAGAAGAAGAAGGTTGCGGGCGCATTCAGCATGACCAGTCTGCTCGAGTGCGAAGCCGCCGTAGACTCCTGCACCAAGCTCTTTCTCTCCCGCCTGGATCAGTTGGCCAGCAGCGCCCCGCGGAAATCCATCGATCTCGGCGCATGGCTGCAGTATTACGCCTTTGATGTCGTCGGCGAGGTGACCTTTGCCCAGAAGCTCGGATTCCTCGAAACCGGTGGCGATGTTGACGACATGATGAAGACGATTGAGGGCATCTTAGCCTACGCTTCGCTCTGCGGCCAAGTACCTGAGATGCACCCTCTCCTGCTTGGAAACCCTCTCTTCCCGATCCTGTACCCGGCCATGGAATCGTGGAACGCGGTCTTGACATTTACTCTCAAGGCGATCAATGCCCGGACATCCATCAAGCGAGACGGCGAGCTCGAACTCAACGACGGTGCTACAACGAAGGACATGCTCTCGCGCTGGGCCGCAGTGAAGTCCAAGGATCCCGAGAAGTTGACCACCCGAGATATCATCGTCCACACCTCAACAAACGTCTTTGCCGGTTCAGATACGACGGCGATCGCGCTGCGGGCTTGCATCTACTTCCTGATAAAACACCCCGAGAAGATGCAGAAGGTGATGAACGAGATCGACACCGCGGATAAAGAAGGCAAGCTGAGCAACCCGATCTCCTTCAAGGAGTCGACGACACACCTGCCATACATGGGCGCCGTGCTGAAAGAAGCCATGCGTCTGCATCCCTCTGTCGGTCTCCTCATGGAGCGACACGTGCCCGCTGGCGGTGCTGAGATCTGTGGCCAACTCATTCCAGAGGGTACCATCGTCGGTATCAACCCATGGGTCCTACAGCACGATCCCTGCGTTTACCCCGATCCAGAGTCATTCATCCCAGAGCGCTGGCTCGAGGCGTCACCTGACAAGCTGGCGGAGATGGAAGCGAGCTTCATAAGCTTTGGCGCGGGAAGCCGGACGTGTGTAGGCAAGAACATCAGTCTGATGGAGATGCACAAGATGGTGCCGCAATTATTAAGAGAATATACCATAGAGTTGGCCGAGCCGAAGAAGGAGTGGACGACGAAGAACCATTGGTTTGTGCAGCAAAACGGGCTGGATTGTATTTTGACCAAGCGGACCAAGGCGTAATGTAGGATTGGAGCATTGTTTTGTTTTACATATTGTTCATAGAAAATGAACTCACGAATGAATATACGATTTTCATCAATATGACAGGTTCACTTGTCCGTGTCTTCCAGCTGGGAGAAAATGATGCGAACATTTCTACCCCCTTACTTACCTGCAACATTCAGCTAGTACACTTGATGTAGCTTGCGCAGATTCCTATCTGTACGACTCAGGGGGTGTAGAGGTGGTGAAAAGTCTCGTTGATTGTCCCATCCGATGATTACTTTGTCATCTTTATCGTGCCAAGATGGATAAATATAGATAAGGAAAATAGTGCTGCAAAATACGTCACCTTACAACCACCTACCTGGACAAACATACTCATAAATTTTTGCTCCCCCGAATTTTTGCTCCCCCGAAAGACCACTCGCAACTAATTCCCAGATCAAAATGTCGGGTTTCTTCAAGAAGCTCAACACCCTAAAGGCCTCGCTCGAAAGCCACCTCGACGGGCCATCCCGCCAACCCTCTCCCGCCTACTGGATCGCGAGCTTCAGCCCCAACCACCCCGTCACCGAGATATTCAGGCGCGAAACGGGAGACCATGGCTGGGGCAACGCTGAGCTTGAGAACTACACCGACTCCGACCGTAACTCGTTCTTCCGGCCGACCGGGAATGGCGGTCACAGTCTTGTGCTCAAGGCAATTGCAGAGGGGGACTCGCTCACCAGCGCGAGGCTGACGAGTTATGTGACGCTAGGCCGCGATCGAGGATACCTTTCTGCGCGGATCACTGCTCCCTCAGCTCGTAAGCCCGGAGTCTTTGCACGCCGCTGTGTTGTCCCTGTCTAGCTGTGCCTTGTGAGAATCCCCAGCTGACGATGTTCTCTCGCACACAGGAGGTATATGGCCGGCATTCTGGCTGCTGCCCAGCGAGCCGTTTAGCTGGCCCACGGATGGCGAAGTTGACATCATGGAGTCATGGAATGGCGATCGTGTGAATCATTCCTGTTTGCACTGGGGCCACTACAACGGCGAGGACCATGACAAGCACCGGGTGGTGGACACGCAGAACCACGACGTGGCACGGCCGGAGGGGCACGACTATGGTTTTGCCTGGGACCAGGCGCCGGACGGGCAGGGGAGGCTGCTCTGGTATATTGATGGGCGGCCGGTCATGAAGGCCGCCATCCCGCAGGGTATCCGCCGCATTGCGGATTTCCAGGTCAAGCTCAACATCGCGATGGGTGGTAATGTCATGCAGGGGCAGCGCCCGGATAATGGCGAGTATGAGATGGTGGTTCATAATATGGGACTCTTCGACAGTCCACCTGGCGGCTGGGACGCGGTGGAGCGCGACTGGAGGAATACTCCTGAAGGCCATGGCTATTAAGCGAATGACGATAAGTGCTGCATGGATCTACTGTCTATATATTTGATGATCTATCTTCCTGTATGAGATGTTTTGCAACATCAATATCCTGGCAGGTGCAAACAAATCCGGTATGGTGTATACACAGTGTTCTGCTAAAGCGATCTGGGCAACAGTCTCGGAAGCAAAACTTCACGAATCGCATCAGCTTCGCAGCGCGCAGCCGCTCCGCACTCCACAACCCCACGCTCCGGTTTGTGGGGAAGCGGAGGCGGTGAGGTATCAACATATCATATCGACTCGTCACATCTCCCGCCATGCCTCTTACTCTCCCATCCCAAACTCAACCCCAAGCACCATTTTCTTTTCCCTCATCATCCAATTCCGTTGAGGATCCCTACGCCATTATATCGTCATCCCGACCTGCCTATCTGCGGTCCAGCCCCGGGCTCTTGGCGCACTCTCCCGTTCGAATTAATTTTCTGGTGTGGTCTCTTAGCCTGCCTACCTTGAACCCTAGTTACCTAGGTATCTTTCTTTTCTTTTCTTATCCAAATACTTTTATCAATAGAAAAAGGGGAGGTGAAGGGGGGCGTGGGGGAAGGAATTAGGAATTCCCTTGGTCTCTTTCAGCTGTCTCGACGCCATGCAGACCAATGTATACGCATGCATCACTCTGCCATTGTTTAGGTTACGCCGGAAACTCAAAGGAAGAAAGAGGAAAGCAGCACATATAAGACCAAAGCTCCCCTTTACGCTCGCTTGCCACTACTCTTTAGCCTTGTTTCACTCCAGCAAAAAAAGCCGTTTCGAAACAACGAAACAGGTCGAAAGAGGCAATTCTCTACCTTAAATGATACCTCATGCACACAACTCGCGTACACCGAGGACCCCCGCGCATTACGAAAGACAAAGGGGCGCGGCCATAGCTGCACATTTCCGGTGATCAACATCTGACATCCGTCTCGGAAAAGGCAAGTCTTCGGAAATGACGGAATCCTCTTTCTTTTTTATTTTTTTATTTTCACTTTCATTTTTATTTTTATTTTTTCATTACCCTGGTGTCGTGGGGTCCGGAGCACATAGCGCAAGCGCTTCGGGATGTGGAGAGTCTGGAGAACCCGCTAGATGTACAGTAGTTGACTTGTGGGGCGGACGGCTTTCAACCTTCTCCATCGCTAGGCAGGTTGAGGAAGTTCTTCCTTAGAGAGTTTGGTTTGTTGAAGAATCTAGAAAACCTGCCGAGTTCTAGATCTACCTATTATTAGATCTTGGGGTTGAAGAGAAGGGGAGTACTGAGGATAATGATATCGCGCCCTTCTCGCTCCACAAGGTATATAATTATATTACTCCTACAGTACTAGAAGACGACCGCTCTTCTGCCATCCATACGAAAATAATTACGATCATAGTTTTACAATAACTTCCGAGCTTCCCCTCCTAACGCTATACGCAATCCCGCTTCTGCAAGCGATCGATCATGCCTCCCCGGAATACCTTGCCCTCATTGCATCTCACTAATAACGCTCCCCCGTCCGTCCTTCCGAAGAGGCACATCCGGGGAGGCCAGGCCCGCATCTCTAGATCTGCACCACCTCGGAGAGAACCTGATACAGTGATACGTCCACCCCACCAGAGAAACAGGGTAGAAACGCGCCCCCTAGCCCCGGCGTCGAGACTCCGACTTCCCTACGGACGCTACCCCGGATTTCCCGGCCCTCGGCGTACAGAATTCCGGAGTCTTGAATCAGAGCGTCTACGCAGATGATGACGGATGCTTGGGAATCACTTATTACTACTCGGTGTATAGGAGAAGTTTGAGCACGATCCAGTTCAGCTGTTGGGCACTATTGGGCCCTCCTTTGATCTTTTTGTTTGTCCGACTGCTTTGCTTCCGGCGTAATGCTAAGGTTTGGTCATGAGCTACGCGCAGTAACCTCGCGGAGAGGAAACTCTTAGGAACTACCAACAAGACTTCGGAAAAGTTTAGTGGTTTGTTGCTATGAACGTCGATGAACGCGTTAGGGCAGATTTTTGGATACAGTTGCTGCTAGAAGAACTATAAATATCGGATCTTTAAGTATGCCTGTTACAGAAACCTTAAAGAAAGATTTGTGAACCAACGACGAGGAATACTGGCAGCGCGTACAGAAAGGGAGTATGTGCCTGGCTTGGCAGGATGGGTAAGTGCTTTCAAGTGAGACTCCAGACTCGAGCCTCGCTGCTCTGAAGACAACGCAAAGACTTCACGTCGCCACAACCTGACCGAGCTTTTCAGACGTGATACAAATCAGCATCCATGAAGCTTTTGCCCCCCCTTTTTTTGGACTTCGTTATCTTTGTCCACCTGTTCTGCGGAATCCACATGTCACTGATGATATATTGCTCTATTACTGTCTGCACTATATTCCAGAAGTTCGCACTCTACGCGTAGAGGAATTATAGATTTAGTGGTTGTTGAACTTCTATGAATCTTGCAGCGTTACAGGCTGGGCAGCTTGTTCTGGAAGCTCGGAAGCCTTACAAAATCGTATATATGATAGAGCTTGACTATCTGTAGGGATCCCCATAATCCACAGCCCCGGCTTTCCACTAACAGCTTCTAAAGGTCTTATATTTACTGTGGAGTTCACGCTGTCTCCACGGAACTTCCACAATGCCTCGATACAAAGAAGTCTACAGGCTGCACAGCAGATATCCCTATGATCGACACGACAGCGACAACGACGACGATCTCTCAAAAAATGACGTCCCCTTCTACTACAAAGAAGATGAAAGTGAAGATAAAGCCCCGTTCAACACGAAAGCACAAAAGGACAACCTCGATATTCCTTCCGAACCTATCCAAGAAAATATCTACAAGATACAACCCCTCCGGCCACTTCCGACTTCGACAACTGTGTCAGGTCAGTCCGGGGCTAGCATCCATGATAAATCTCGACGACGACATCTAACAACGAATCAGGGAGCCCGCCCTCTCTAGACAAGCAAGATATAATGTATCACAGAGGAAAAATCCAGGGACGCCGTAGCCGCCATGGGCGCACGACTCAACATCGTCCCCTCCGCCAGAAGACTACCTATATAGAAGGCGCGCAAGAGGTGTCCGTCGCTTACCTACAAACTCAAGGATGGGAATTATCACCGGCGATGGCGGGAATAGAGAGTGAGCGGAATATAACGTTTCATGGATTTTTAGAGTTACCCCAGCGAGGCTGTTACTTACGGATGAGGTCAGGAATTCGAGTAAGAAGATACCAAATATATGAATTTATCGGCCGGCCGTATAAAGGGAGGTAGGTATGCAGGAATCTCATACATGTCGTGGTGCTAGTTGCTCTAACAATCTATATCTTTCTCTCTATGTAAAAGAATATAGGTAAGTATACAGAGTGTACTCATACATAAAGTTCATTAGATTCATAGCAAAAAAACTCAACCATTGAGAATCAGATACAATACACAGTTCAATATCTGATTATGTAGAATAGCTTCCATAGTTCCTAATAGCATGGAACTTCGTGGAGTAGTAGAATACTTGTAGATAGTCTTGAATAAATCCTGGTTTGGTGCCTCTTGAGGAATCCCTACAGAGCCCTTCTCCATTTACCAAACCTATGCATCCTCCTAGTTAGAGCCTACATACACTGGTATATATAGGCGTTACTGTGACAGATCGACTTGTGTGAGGTTACTTCCCCAGATGGGCAACGGAAAGGAGAGGAGTTTGAATGGAATGCCCTTGCATTCATCTGTTGTTTAATGGGTATGTACGTCTACGAATCTCATATACACCTTTTGCGATTATGAGTTAATCCTTTTCCTGAACACCAACCTGCCCAAAGTTCCCAAATTCGCCAAATTAATCCGACCCGGATGTGTGGATAAAGGTATAATGGTCGAAGCATCTGAACTGCAGACAACAGCCTTCCCCCAAAATCTGCTGTAGCTCAGAGATGCTATTTCCTGCTGCACTTCACCCATGGACCCTGATGCCAACCTTATTGAGGGGCTGCGCATGCTCGGGCCACCTGTTTGGGTCGTGGAGATGGAGGCGCCTTACCCACAGAGGACACGCCAGTCACTGGAGGCTCAGATTCCGAGACTAACAACCCCTGGATAGTCTCCAAGGCGCTCATCTGCTGGCCTACTCCATAACTCCCGTCGTAAGCCGTCGCCCAGTACCAATGCTGGCCACAAGTCACGCCATTTGCACCTCCTGAACAAGCCCGTGCGGCGGCCTCGGCGCTACCTTGCAGATACGTGGTTATTTGATTTTTGGTGAAAGGTGCCATGAGAGTGGAAGCCCACATAAAGCGGGAGAGGTACCCTTTGAAGGAATACTCATCGTTGTTGCAAGTATTGACGGTTTCGCAAGCGGTCTCACACATTGCATTCGAGTAGTTTTTATAAGGGTTGAAATACTGTGCCGAAGCATCCAAGAAGCCCTGGGTTCGCTCACCCCAAAGAGCCGAACCGTTGGTGAAATTGTAAAGAACAGCTGCTCCGTACATGTAGATGCCGGTATTGTAGGTCCAAACGACCTTACTTTGGCTCGAGCAGTTCTTGGTGTCATCCGTTCCGTCAAAGACTTGGTAGCTGGGGTCTATGAGTCCTACGTTGACGGACCAGTCGTATGATTTCTGAGCCCAGTCAAGATAGGTCTGATTCCCGGTGAAACGTGCCAGGCGAGCGGAGAGCTGGAAGAAGGCACCATTGGCGACGGAGTTCTTGTAATCGTACCCGTTATTGGAAAGGAAGATCTGCCATTTCAGTCCTCCGTTGCAGGAACCGAGGTCCCAACGATTCACTTGTGTATTCCAAAGATTCTCGACAAGCTGAACCCAAGAGGATTTGCCCGTAGTAGGTTGTGGGAAGCCCTTTTCGGCCGCAGACATTGCTGCAAAACCCCAGAATGCCTGATCATCGTTGCCTTCATCTCCCTTGTGGTTAGGCATCATGAAATCTGACGACGGGCCAACCTGAGAGAGGAGAGCTTGTGTCGTGACTTCGTTGTATGAGGGATCCCCAGTGTAGTGATAGTAGTCCACCATTGCTCCCCACATTGCACCGGCCTCCCACCAATAATACGGGGCCGGTAGAACTGCGATTGTCGAAGGCGTGTTGGTGACATTGCCGGTGTAGTATTTCATGAGATTGTATGCGATGATGCTGGAGGCATTCTTGATTGAACCTGCGGAGAACTGTCAGATCTGCCAAATGCATACGAATGGAGAGCGGGATTCTTCCTTACCCGCATTGGTGACATCGAGCTCTATGGCGCCAGCAAACGGAGCTATCACCGCTGCCAGCCCAGCAAAGGCCTTCACTAAGCTTACGTTTCTCATTCTGAAGTTGGATCCAGGTCAAAGTATCATGAACGTCAATGATGGATGAATGGGGGAGTTGTGGCTGAGTGAGAGGGAAGGGCATGTATTTAAACGGGGGAAGATCCACCTCGATCTCCCCCCACGCCTAGTGAATTGCATATGGACTGCCATTCGCGAATCATTGAATCCTGGGACGATCGGGGTTCAGACTGACCCGTCCCGTCCGAAGAAGACTGTATTCTACCATGCAAAAGACTCGCTACCGCGGATCCTGAGGCTCTAGCACGAACAGGGCCACTTGAACCCTGTCAGAGGCTGTAGAGACAAGAGACGAACGGTCGAACCGGATTCAAACAAACACGGCCAGCCTATCGAATGACCGGACGAACTGCACTCGCAGTTCTTGCATCGCGTTGCAGAGTTGCAGTTGAGGATTGTGGAGGTGGTGTTTCAAGACGGCAGGGAAACCTGGGAAGTCTATCCTTAGCCTGCCGTCTTAGTTGGTATTTTACGTGCATTACCGTAAATAGCCTGAAACAGATCCCACCGTTCCTGATAATCTCCCGCTCTTTAAACCTTAAATACCCCTTCATATACGCGATACACGTAATAACGTATAATATTCGTACTTCAATATATACAGTACAGTATAATACCACACAATGAACCCTACCTAGCGCGCTTCGCAGGATCCTGACGCCGTGCCGGCGCCTCGTAGAGGCGCATCGGGGCTATATTTGGCTCTCCCGCCCAAGCGCATTCTTTGTGATATCAATCCTTTCAGTTCGTTCTTTATGGACCACGCAACCGCCTGCACCGTTACATGCTTTGTAGCTACCTTGTCCTCGTGAATCGTGTTTCTTGAGGCGGCGAGACGCAGTTCTTGAGGCAGCGCAGCTGGCGTACATTATTCAGCCATGAGTGGGTGGGAAGATGGCTACGGAATCCAACAAGGTGCCGCAAATGCTGGTACGGTTGTTATCCAAGGTATTTCTTGACTATTTGCAATAATTGGCAGTGCCTGAATATTTAGCCATGACACAGCTGGTAGGTAGCCTTCCAACCCAGGAATAAAACTTAAACTGTGGCTGTCGAGTTTGAAACGGATGGATTCGAGTCTTCGTTGTGAGAGTGGAGACGCAAGATGGAAGGGAAATGTTGAACGAACAGCACTGACATGTAGTCCTCGAAGAAAACCCGTCATATAGTCGCAATTGTGGAGTGCGTCTACCTAGCTATAACAGGTCAAGATCCAAGGTGCCAATACGCTGCGACCCCAAATGCAGGGCCTATCCATTCGTGGTTTTGTTCGTATCTCATCATATCATCATCCTGAACTCAAAGTGGTCACCTTCTCTCCCTGGTCAGAGTGATCAATCAACCGTTAAATACCACTTCACCTCAGAGCTGCCTCATCGCTCCTCTTCCGTCTCGATATCCATCCTCCACCCGATGCTCTCTTCTCCGTGTACTCCCTGCTCCGCCTCGCCCTACCAACACAAAACTCCACCACCCACGCCATCTTCGCTAGGAACATGAGCGCAACCGCTGCCCAGGTAAGTGCGAGATACTTGCCTCCCTTATATGCGTACACGCCAATATCATTACCGTATTTGTTGATCAGATCCACGGCTTTGATTTGCACGACCGTGATGATGATGGAAGCTATGAGGAGAGCGAGGAACGAGATGGAGGCTAGTCCCCAGTTCCCAAGGGAGATGAGCCGTGAGCCGCGCAAGAAGAAAGCAATTAGAGCGGCGATGATGGCGCAACCGGCAGCGCCGATGCCAATACAGTACAGGACAAAGAGGGCATCGATGGCGATATCAAGATCATTCAGATCTTGTTGGATGTTGCTTGGCCAGTCGATATCGGAGAGGTTTAGGTGCAGCTTTCCGAGCTCAAGTTCTTTCTCTAGTTGCTGGGTGATATTAAAGTGATCTGTTTGTGACGTTGATTAGTCCGCATTCAGCCTTCGATAATTTTTGAATGGATACGGCTTACACATAGCTGTTTCGTTTGTGCAAGATGTGACATTTAGGTGAGCGCCCTTTGCAGTGGCATTCGGTGTATATGTTCCCTCACACATATCCATCAAGTGCATGCTATACCACTGCTTGATTCCCAGCTCAGCAGAGAGCTTATCTGCAACATCTCCAATGATGTTGTTAATGTCGTCCCCAATATCTCCCTCGATCGTACTGGTTATGTTGTCGGCAACACTACTGAAGAGCGATCCGATCGAGGTGGCAGTTGGCGTGGAGCCGGATGAGGAAGTTGTCGTGGGGATGAGATTGTGGCCAAGTGTAGAGGTGTTCAGCTATGACAGGATGTTAGTTGCAGAGCGTAGATGGGAGGAATATGACATACGGTGAGGATGTGATATTCTTCCATGAAGCCTGGCTTATGGCCGGCGAAGAGACAGAGCATTGAGAGAACGAATGCTACGATGGCGCATGCCAAAGGGAAGAGAGCTGACGGGCGCATTGTGAATGTTGACCAATATTAGAAGCCCTATCCTTCCGTGGTATGCCAATGGGCTGGTGATCAAGATTTGTTTGCTGTGGCCTGCTCACGGTGGTGGAAGCGCGATTAAGGCAGGGCAAGCGATGCTAGACGACAAAGAGACGGTGAATGAGAGAGTAAGAAGTGAAGGAGATAGAAAAACTGCTGTCTCAGGACAACGCCATCTCACATGCTGTAAACAAGACTCTCGAGCAACAAACCTGCCAGATACACAAGGACCGATATACGATAATGCAAGCCATAATTGTCCGGGGAGTCTTAATCTCAGGGGCTTATCCACGAGTAACCCGCACGCCACTTGGTGCTGACTCTGTTAATCGACATGCATTGTCGACCAATATTATTCTCCTCGCTGAATCGCGATGGAGGTGAGGATCAATATGTATGGATGGGCGGTCTGCATGATGACGCCGCTGCCTCGGCCAAGCGACTCCTCCCTGTCAGCCTTCGTGATGGCCAATCAGTGGCAAGCGCCCGATGTCCCTGAAACTTGTTTCTTAACAACCATTTTCTTGCTCTTCGGTAATAAACTACTCTATATCTTTCAAGGATGCAAGCGACAGCGACTTGGAATGACACAATTTGCAATTGGGCCCCTCATATCCGTCTACCATAACAGGTCACGTGAGTAAAACGCGGCCTTCCCCCTTTCCTGTACATAAGGTGCCTATAAATCCTATTCATAGACCCATTTTAAAAATCCGACTGTAGCAAATTCATATCAGGATCCGTTAATTGCACCAACGAACTCATAAGCCGAGATTGAATGGTCCTATCCTTCCTTTTTCTCTTTCCGGAATGCTGATCTCTAGACATTTGCATGATATTCTCAGGACAATGATCAAAAATCAGATACAATAAAGCGATAAAGATGCACAGGTCTATCACTTGATAGAATATAGTAGATCAATGGTTAACGATTATGCAGCTTGCTGATAGTACCTACTCTGTACACTAGCCCCAGAGAGTTCAAGTACTCAGATATGAAAGAAAGCGTCTAAGGCCCCAAACTTCGACTTATACCAAGTCTACCATTCTACGCTCCCCCAACATTTTCATGGAGGTCTAAAGGCCGTGGGAAAGAAATTTCTTAGAAAATCGATAAATGATACGAAGAGAGGAGAGTTGTATCGTCTCGCAAGGGGTAATCCCATGCTAGGCCCCGACAGGGAAAGCGGGAATAATCCAGGGGTTCTCGGGAGCAGCCGAGATGGGGACTATCTGCCGCTCCGGGGTCTTCTCATATCTAAAAATAAAAATTGAGTTTACAGAGAACTCTAGAAAATAAGCTTTTAGATCTAAGGCTATCCAAATGTTTATTTCATTTTGTCTAGATGTGACCGGCGGTACCAGGTATGTGTTGTATAACGAGATTACAGAAATCACTGACAAGTTGGTAGGTAGGTAATATTCACTCATTAATCAAGACCCAAGATAGAAATCTAAAGGTCGAGAGATCTGCTTTACTATAGGTATATATACAACCGTCATTTCATATCAACCCGTCGCATCGTGTCCCGGATATCCATCTATCCAACGCCAGCCTTTCAAAACCAACCAAACCAACCGACAAACGCGCCCTCTGCTCATGGATCAGAGTAATCACCACGCCTCCCACATCTGGGCCCCAATGGCGACAAGACGATTGAAGAGTTCTTCACGAAGCGCAATGGCAGTGAGAAGTTTCTTATCCCCATACTTATCAGTGATGAGCAGGCCATCTGCGATCTCGCGATCCATGGCCCATCCCACGACCCATCTTGTCTTCCAGCCCAGGCCGCCGACTTTTTTGATTTCCTGAATGCTACGTCAGCAGAGCATTCAATGAGAAGAGGGTACAGAGAAAGCCTCTAGAATATGACGAACTTGGATATCAGCAATAGCAATAGAGAACACCGGATCAATGTCCTCCTTCTCCGTCGTCCAGCTCAGTGCCGGACTCGTTGCTGTTGCTGTGATGTATGCGTGCCCTTTCTTCCCCTTATATCTCGCTGGGAAAGTAACTGGTCCTGCCAGAGGATTGGTGGCGGGCTTCAGCACGCCGAGGCGATTCTTGGCATGCTCAGCTCCCGCTGCTGCTTTGAGCCGGTCCGTGCTGAGCATGGACTCGACACCACCTTTGGTTACGCCTTTGATGGTGGCCAAGAGGTAGTGTTTCTTCTTTGCTTTCGCTACATCTGCCCCTGTATTCGTCGCCTTGTCATCGAGTTGGGTAGCCTGAACCATCTCATCGTCGGGTGCAGCTTTCGAATACGTCAATAGTTTGGATACGATCCTTGCTCTCGCGGACTTACCAAGATGATCGAGATTTTGGTCAGCAGGTTTGGGGGGGACTTGTGGGGGTAAGGGACCAGAGTAAGGTGGAGGCGGAAGGGGAGCCTTATTAGTCTCGCCGATCCGGAGAAGAGTAACTGTGAGTTGTGCATTCGTGGGTACGCCTTTGAGTAGTGTATTCCGCAGCGGCAGAAGTTCCTTCCAGTGCGGAAATTCTTTGTTCAAGTGAGACACGGCGCGCTGGATCCAGGGGTCTGCGAAGAGGACAACCCCTGCGAGTAAGCCATTCATTTTCATGAACATATATGAGCTAGTGAAAAGAGAAATGAGAAACATAGGTGCAAAGACGCCTGCAAGTCTCAAGCGTGGTGCAATCCGTGGAAATGGTGGTGTTGGGGATAGAGCATTGCCAAATCTCTCCCATCCATCCGAAATGCCAGCAATTATATGCATAGCAGGTCTCGTCTTGGACCACATCGCAGCACTCATCGGCTCCTTGGTCTTATCAGCAACAGTATTAGGCTGATCTCCGGATGAGTTTTGTTTCGCATCCGCGGCGTTCATAGCTATATTTGTCGGATCAGGCACAATTTCTTCCGCCGTACTTCCACCTTCTGCCCCGTCTGGATCGCCTTGAGGATGTTTGCCCACGGCACTGCTAATCGCGATCGAGGTAAAGCTCGTGACGAAATTACTGGCCTCCTGCTCAACCGCTTCTCCCTTGTGTTTTTCGGGCGCTCCAGTCAAACTATTGTCGCTCCCCAGTACGCCTGCAGCTGGCTTTTGAATTCCTCCGGTCTTGCTATCGATCAAGGCAATTGGTGCAGGTGGAAAACAGTACGTTCGAGCCGGAGGATATATTATCAGGAGCATCACAAACCCAATGATGGTCGGAACGAGCATATCAATGGCCCAAGCAAGAAAGTATACAGCGGCGAAAGTCATGGTTCGCTTTCGTTCTCGCCATGACCGAAGTCTGGCAATGTGTTTCCAGAAGCTCGCCATCCCAACAATTACAGTCATGTATAGACGTTCAATATTGGACCTTAGCTTATCTGGTGAGAACTCCTCTTCATCTGCGATGTTGAGGTCCAGTCCATCGAGAGGTGGTTCCGGCATGGCTTTAACATGATACATTTGCTACCAAGATCAGCATTCGTTCCCAGAGACTTTCGAGCAGCATCACCCACTTTATTAAATCTCCTAATCAGCGTCCACAACTCCTCGTTTGGCAGCCCACCTACTATCGGAGTAGGTACATCAGTAGGAATTTCATTCCACCCCAAATCCTTCACCTCGGTCTGATTATGGTCCTCCTGGGCGGCGCCTTTTTCCTCATGATCCGCGTTTGCCAATTCATGGCTCACAGTCGGTGTCTCCCCTTCATATTTCTTAACAATTTCTGGCCCTTCCTCTGACCCCGTATTTTCAACTTGGGGTTCTGGACCTGGATGAGGGGGTTCCTCAACCGTGAAGTCTTTCACTTCGATGGCTGACATCTTGTGGCGCCCAAATTTCCGGGGAAAAAGGGATAAATTAAAACAGGAAATAAGAAAGTAAAAAGAAATTCGAAAATTTCATCTGAGAATTAAAAAGAGACGTAAATTTAGTAAAGGAGACAAAAGTTCGTGTTGTCCATGTTGGTTCAAGAGAGGGGGGTTGACTTAGTTGATAATGGTGTACCTTGGTAGTACACAGCAAGCGACGTCATAACGAGGGATAAAGAACGCGTCTTTGACATCGCGCAAGGATCAAACAATCATCGCTCTCGAAGTCGCTCAAAACCAACAAATAATAGAAGCCCTTTGAGATCATATCTAAGATCATACTTACGATGCTCGCCAATCTTCCTCTATTGATCTGCAAAGCGTGTCAGTAACGCAGCCAACTGCGGAGCACGGATCCGCACGATGATGATATTCCACGAGTGCAAGAAGTCTTCCACCTACCGTTCCATCTGCCCAGCTTGCTGCTTATTGAGTTGAGATCCTTCCATGCTTTAGTCGAGCATCTTCTGATAATCGCTTTCTTGCCTCACTGCCAGGAAACCCCACAGCGCCCCGCTCGGGGAAATTCCAAGGCGGGAGGACTTATCGAAGTGAAGTCAACATTCCTGTTCCAAACAGCTTCTGATTGAAACCCGATGTTATTAGCCATCATTGTCGCGAGACATGGGCGTGCGCGTATTAGTGTTGCAAATGCCTTTTCATTACGTTTTCCGGTTGAAACGATACACATTGCTCGTCCACGGATCGTGCCTCGTCAATTGGGCGACTCGGAGGTGAGACCAGGTCACGTGGTGATACCAACGTCACGAAGTGAGGGATTCATATCTGACAAGACCTTTCAGTTCCTGAAGGATTTCATTGCTCAAAACTGACAGTCATGGTATAAGTCAAAGATGACGGCACAGAGCTACTTAGGGTCACACGACTATCATTCTTCTCAAACTGAAACTAGTAGGGGGGTCCTTGTTTGAACCTCGACTACAAGTTATAGCGTATTCTTTTGCTCTCTTCGCATGAATTCCTATTTTTGATTCACCTTGTGGCGTGCTTCCGAGAGCAACTCTCCCGAGAGCAACACTCTATGTCGAGATGCACATATTTTTGTCTTCAAACCTCGGGAGCTATTTCACTATAATATGATCCATTCCAATTGCATGTGAGGATAAGAGTGTAGTCAGTACTATACTTCATTTCTCAAATATCTCTCCTCGTGAGCTCAGAAACGAATGTTGGAAATTTCCTATCCAGATAAGACTAAAATCCATATACAAGAAACGAGTGCAAGCACTGCGGTCTATATGCGAAAAGAACAATACTCCAGACCCCAGTCATCCAACCTATCTCTCATCAACAAAGTCATACCCCTTATGATTCCAGTCCGTTACGTTCCAACAAGCCTCGATCAGCAGCGTTTGATCATATTCCACCTTCAGCTTTCAAGCTTTCTCCGGCCGTTCGGGCAGCACACCTCACCGTGACTGCATTTACCAACCAGTTGGCTTGGGGACTCCAGTACCGGTGGGGGCAGGGATGGAGGTGGTGGTGCCGTTGGTCAGCGGGAACGGTGCACTGGCGGTGGCCGCGGTGGGCAGAGCGGAGAGGCCAGAGGGAGCAGGAAGGCCAGAGGGGATAGGGTACCCGCTCGGGATAGGGACGTAGGAGTAGGCCGGAGCAGAGTCTCGAGCAACAACTGGGACAGACTAAAAATTTGTTAACTTTGGGTTGAGATAGAAGTGAGATTGAGTGCATACTCTTTCGGCGAGAGCTCTGCCCTTGAAGGCTCTGGGGAGGGCGAAACCTGAGGTCGTCTGGAAGACGAAGAAGAAAGCGATAGCGAGGATGACGGATCTGAAGGAGCTGTATAGGGTGTCAGTTGATGGCCAGGGCTTGAGGCAGTGGGGAGACAAGCTTACCCTGACAACATCTTGAATTGAAGATTTACGAACGAGGGTTTTGAGTTTTGATGTTGGAGGCGGTCGATTTGTGCTGCGACTTGGCTTGTTGCTGAAGAGGAGATCCTTGATGATGGAGAGAGAGCAGAGCAGGAGGCTCTGGAGATATATAAAGTCGCAGCGCAAAGAATGGATACGTACCCATCGCAATCACTTACTTTGGTACCATCCTTATCTCCCTGATGGAGCCGCTTCCCTGATCAATACATGGCCGGACCTGCGTAGCCAATCAGCCCCAAAGCCCCTTTCAGACTACTATAAGTGCGCCGACGCCTTACCCACATTAAAAGTCCCCACCCTGCATGTCGACGACGGGGCGTCTGCAAGGGACAGGGTCTACGGCAGATGAGGGTTGGGGGGTTCAGGGGAGCAAAAGTCCATGTTCACTCAACACAAGGTTTTCTCGATGCCTGACTGCAGCGACCTGTCACTCAACGTAAAGAAAAGATCTACCATGTAATTAAACATAACCATTTAAAGTAAATTAAACCAAATAAATAAAAATGCAAAGCCCCCCAAGTCGAAAAACAAAAAACGATAAATAGATGAGGCATATTCCCTCCCAAAAGGAACCTGTTCATCTGCACACTTACTCAATACTCGCAGGACTTTTTCTTTCCCTCGAGTAGGAACTCTGCTATGAGAACGTGGCATCGATGCCGCCGGCATTCACAAGAGATTTCCAAGCTTTCCGGAGGAAAAAAGGGCCTCAGGGCACTGATGGCTTACGCAGTCAGTAAGCTGCGTGGTTTTCCCCGACGCATTTCATCATCATCATCAGCAATGGCAAAAGCAAAAGCAACCTCAGAAGCAGCACCTCCTGTGCACACAGGCACTCGACTACTCACAGAGCCCACAACTTTTTTTCAGTCCCTCTCTTCCAGACGAACGAACATAGACAGCCACGTTAAACGCCTAGTTGATCTCATTGGCAACCGGTCTCTCCGGTACCTGTGTACAAGGCACTGGTACCTCACCACCGTACTCACCATCCACCAGTGCCTGACACTCTTTACTCGAGGTGGTATGCACCTCCGGAGGTTCCTAGTTTAGAGCTTTTAGTGTTTTTGCACACCTTCTATGCACCGTACAGTGTACGTGCAGGTCAATACATCCAGACTACCTTACTCACACGGTAGCCGTGCGGATCACTACTGATAAGAGCGGCGCGGCCGCACGGCTGCTTCGTCGTCGTGGTCTCGATGGAGCAGCAGAATATGCATAATCCAAGGTAGTGCGTTTGGAAGTGTTTGGATGGTAGCGTGATTGGCATTGTAGTATACCACGACCCATCCACCACAGAGAGGGACTTCGAGGTAGTTCGAGGGTCGGAAGAAACCCAAAGGACAAGGCCCCCCGACCGTTTCGCACCGGCTTCTGCTTCCTACGACGGCGCGCGGGATGGGCGTTCTTTAGCTGCCCAGGGTTCTGCTCTGCCCCCACAGCACAGGGTCCCAGACTCCCAGTAGTGGCGTCTTGGTTGGCCGGTACTGTAGGGCGTTGGGGACTTAGTACTGGGCCTTCTCCTGTCTGCAAATACTTCCGGACTACCACTAAGCACTGCTCGGAGCATGTACATCATCTGGATCCGGCCTCAAGAAGTAGTAGTTCCTTCACTCTCACACCACCACGATCAGCAGCTCGACTTGTCTCAGGACAAAGTAGTGCGAACTCTGTATGCTAATCCGCCGCGCCGGGCCCAGGTCGAAGGTTCTGGCGCCGGAGGAGCGAACAGGTTCGGCCCCGGAGCTCTGTTTTCGACCATGGAGTGATGCTGTAGATACTAGATACTGGCTTGCGGCCCCCTCGGCTTCGGATGCCAGAAATGGCGTATCTTGGTGTCCCCGAGTAGTCGACAAAGTATATTTTTACTTTGTGCACGTTTTGATAGACACGGTGAATTCCGTGAAGCGATCCCGAAACGTGCGCGCACGGCACTTCCAACTTCCTTGCTCCGTGAACGTGGTATCGGCTTTTCTTTCTTCATTCTTTCGATATATTCATCATTTCATCCTCGATTAAGACGGAGACGACTCAGTTGACCAGGGATCGAGCGAGATCCAAGTATTGATTGATCATTGCGCACAGCTGCCATTATTGCAGTGATCCCCCCTTTGCACAGTGCCACACTGCCAGGTCGTCGTAATGTCGTCCGAACCAAACCTTGGCTCTTGGCCCTGAACCTCCAAGAGCCTTCTGACGCGATCGAGTGCGCACTAGAATTGTCGATCGATCGCCAGTTTTCTTTCGTTCATACAAGCTTTTGCGATGCTACTTGCAGATCCCACCCACTACCACGTAGCTCGGAGCAGCTAGCCCACTCTCCCCAGGGTCGAGAAGTCCGTCGACTCGCTGCTGTTATCATTCCTTCACTCTACTCACCTGCTTGTCTGGTACACCACCTTACGATTCCTCCTGCTCCTCCCCCTCCTCCCCCATCCTTTTCTGCTGATCACACAACTCCTGGCGCCTGTTGCATCACCTCCCTCATCTAGAACCCCGCGCTGCAAAGGGAAAAGGGAGAAAAAGAAAAAGAAAAGAAAGTAGAACCCAGACTTTCTTTTTTGATTTACTAATCGTCAAGTCCACGCAACGATCGGAGAGAAAAAGCAGGTACGCGTACGTATGCTGCTGGGGAAGTCCGCGATACAGAAGCTCTTCTTCGCTCTCGACATGTGATGTTCACTCTGCCGGCATCTGCAGCTCCGGCATTTGGCTGATGGTTGGCTGGTCTCCAGATTCCACTACTGTTGCAGTTTCAGCCCATCTTCTTGCTTGCGTTATCCTGGCGCTTCGAAAGGCTGGAAGGATAGGCTTCCCCCTACATTATACAGCGGAGCCACAGCATCATCAGCAGAAAACATCCATATCACATATCAACCACAGCTGATCAAGATGTGCGTTTCAAACTCACTGCCCCAGCACTGCGAGCTCCCCCTGCAGAACAATGTGATGTAAGGGGCTTTATTTCCTTCCCTTGGCATCTCATCCCGTTACTCGTCTTTTCCAAGCTGCTCACTAATCCTTGAGGGTTTTTTCTCCTTCCTTCCGTGGTACATTCACATACCACCTTCTCCTTCTCCTCCCTTCCCCGCAAAACAATTCCCCAGAATCGCCCGGTCGCCTCTATTACCAAATCTCCATCCCCTGGACCTCGTTGTCTTGGATCATGCTCCTCCAGCCGATGGGCTTAATGCTCGACCCTCACCCATTCAAGCTTGACATCAATTGAACTTTCAGCATTACTTTGCGGGGCCAGATCCTGTGACTGGAAGGGGGAGAGGGTGATAGGCAACATAAACAGGGCGAAGTGAAAACCACTTGGCAATTGGCACATGTCTTGGAAGAAAAACTGCGTAAGTATATTTCCTTGTTTCATCTATTCGTACAGATAGGTGGGTATCTCTTCCACCAAGAACCTCCAAAGCAGTCCCGTTCCCTCAAAAAGAAAAGAAAGAAAACAAATGAAGGGGAAACCTAATTCCTACCCCAATGTCCAGAACGCCAGTCGCGTCTAAAAAGATCAAGCTGTGCTCATGATATCCTGAATGCTATTCGAAACTCCCATCCTTGAACGACCCTTCCTATGCAATCATGACAACCCCCGAACAGCAATTTTGGTCTTCGTTCCATTCTGTCTTATTACCACCACCCTCTGCATATGAATCCCAAGAAAGGGGTGCAGGACAAGGCATCTATACGCCCGGCTTTACACACTCCTGAACCTTTGGAAAAAGGTTCACCATCTTCTCATACAATTCCGGAAAGTCCCGCTCGAGCACCTCCGGGTCAAACGCCATCGCCACGAAGAACGTCGACAGCCCACTCTTGATCGGCACCATAAAGATATTACAGATCTGCAGACCGAGGAGGAAAGCGACGACCATGACGACGGGCGTGTAACCACCTTTGTCATTGTACGAGGGTTTCGTGATCTCGATGTACAGGTAGGCGATGAAGGCGCAGACATAGGCTACGAACATGGATCCCATAGTTAGGACGGGGTTGACCAGACAATCATTGACGAGCGCGTCGATGCCGCGAGAGCGGAGCATGCGCCATGTATCCTATATTCCCAATTAGAGGCTTCAAACGGTTGTAGGAAAGGGGAAAGAGACTAACCTTGGCAGCTGGGAGATATGCTTTCCCATACAACGCGATATAGGAGAAAGCATACTCATTAATGAACTCCACCAGCCAATCCAGGAAGTTGATAAAACAGCCCAAGAAACAACTCAATATAATGCCCACGATATCGCCCTCAGCTTGCTCTTCCGCTTGCACCAGCGAGCAAATCTGTCTCAAGAATTGGATAATAGCCACGACGAGAGAGCCAAAGGAGATCGAACCGAAGGAGTAGGTCGAGGCGCGTTTGAAAGCCCCTCTCGTAGCCCCCTTGGGGAACCCGCCCGCCTTTCGGGAGCAGAAGTACCAGCTCCCATAGACGCCCGAGATCGTAACATGGATAACATTCTTGATCACCTCGGTGATCCAAAACGCTGCGAAAGTGATAAACACAATCAACCCCACGACCTTCGCAACGCTGCAACTCCCACCATCCGCACTACATCCCGGTGCCCCCGGATGATATTTCGCATAGATGCCCACCAACGTGACGCAAAAATAGGCCGAGAACGCAGTCGCTAGAAGCCCGCCCAGAAAAGAAACAACGAACACATGTCCGTAGTTTCTAGAGACGTCGATGACGGTCTGCAACATCAGGACGGAGAAGGGGATACGTTTGCGCCACGAGAAGAAACAGAATATGTTAAGGAGGGTGAAGATCACGAACACCACCGCGGCAGGATAATAGTGCCGCGCGAAATACACAATCGCCGTCACGATACCCATGAGGATTTGGAGAACTGCGGTTATATAAATGACTTGTTTCGTGAGATGACGGACCATGAGAAAGTAAATCAAGGAGATCAGGAAGGCGATGATGACAACTAACGCACTGTATCGGTAATCCCAAGTCAGTAGATGGATTCCTGAACTAGAGGAAGAAGATAGGGAACGCACAATAGAGCAATAGTATTAGCATTCAACGCCAACGTAGCATGCTTGTCATGTATCCCTCCCTGCTGTCCCTTCGTAGTAGCACTATACCCCGAAAGCGCAAATCCGCTCACGGTCAAGAAACCCACGCAGACCAGCGCGAACACCACGCTGGCCCAGATATCATTCCACGTCGGCTTCTCGACCTTGAACGTATTATCAAAATCCAGCTTCTCTTCCGAGCTAATCTCTGCCGATTTGCCGTACAGAGGGGGTGCTTGGCTGAATTGCGCGGGAGATGGGTTATAGGGAAGTTGTCCGCCGTCATTCATAAAACCGTTCTGGTGGTACTCATGGCCAGGTGGAGGAGGTTGGTAGTACTGTTGCTGCTGGTAATAAGAATCTGCAGCTCCATGCTGCTGGCGTGGTGCATACGACATGCTGGTATCTATCTGTACCCAAACAATCTTTCCTCTATCTAGACAAAAGGAAGGACTTCAATGGAAAGAAGAAGAGAAGAAACGAAATATCTTGAGGGATTATGTGTCAAGAAATATCCAACTTAACTATTCTATCGCAAGGACCTAGCGCCAGGCATAATATCATGCTGCTTAGCATTAGGGTCGGTGCTTGCTTGCTCCATTCCATGTTGGCTGTTCTTGCAAGGAGGAAGAATCCAACATCCTACGTCCAGGATAAGTAGTACCTACCTAGACTGTATAGACATTTTAACATCGCACGCCCGGCTATGAAATAAGATCTCTTCCGCAAGGCTGAGCTGAGCGGATTTCGACCTCGCCTCGATTTCCGGAAAGGTACACAACCAGGTCTTCTTGCGAGTTGTTTGCTCCATTGTCTACTACATGGTGATGAATTGTGCTGGAACCTCGATGAGGGGAAATCAAAACAGGTCGCTTCGAGGTCGTTCCGTTCGACGAATAGGAGGCTCGTGTTGGAAAGGCTATAGCTCGAGAAACCAGCGCATGGGATATCATGTGATCAGGATCCTAGAGGAATCAGCAGCGGCGCAGCACCGTTAAGACTTGTTTCAGCCTTCGGAAACCATCCCTCTGGACACTTCATAATCCTTTGGAGAGCTTCTCGACATATATTGGGGTAGAAGCGACGTACTTTCTTGTTCCTGAAAATCCTATTCATGGGCAGTGCGTGAGATTTACTCGTACCATCGCCAAAAGCAAAGCACTGGTGTGGTTTTCATGTCATTATATTAATGCACGAGAGCACCGCAATCTATGCCGCAAATCTGATAGACAAAGTAGGAACATAGCCATGCGTCCGTCCCCTGCTGACCCACACGTCTTCATTCTGCCTGTATGTGCGCTTTCTCAAACCCCACCCTTTCACCAAAACGCCGAATCCAATCCACTCTCCTCACTGTGAAATGTTGGCTCTTCAGCTGTTTAGGTAACTTCGGATCGCGCCCTGGAGCCTCGATGCACCTTCTCCGAGCACCTGAGTCAAGTTTTCCAAATCGTCACCAGCAGTAACGCCGAATTTCCGGACAAAGTCCTTTGCGGCAGACTCAAGATCGCCATAATCTTCTCCAACGTCCTCTTCCTCAGGTCGGCCGAAGTATGCATTGGATGAGATAGCCGTTGCACCCTCGAATCCTTGCAGTCGCTGTTTTGCTTCTGACTGTGCGGCGGGATCAAATGCTCCCTTGCCGAAGAATTCGTCGGATGAGATCCCTTTTTGTGAGCCAAACTTTTCGCGGGCGTATCTCTCCTCATCATCTGCGTACATCAGTTTAAACCCAAAAGGAAAGTCTGTAGGAGAATATCTTACCTTCTTGTGTGGCTTTGATCGGCCCAACAGATCCAAATCCACCCATCTTCTTTTGGCCTGCAGCAGGTTTGGCTCCTCCAATCTGGCCAAACCCAAGTCTCCCAATACCCATACCCAATCTTTCAATCTCGCTATTGGTACGCTCCCTTTGTGCAGAGCCATAACCAGCCCTGGCGGGGCTTACAGGGCTAGGCGAGGCAATCTTGGGAAGATCGGCAGTCTTCGTGACGGGAGTGGCTTTCTTCGCAGCAGCTTCTTCAGCCTCGGGATCATAGCCAAGTTTCGCAATCCGCTCGGCCTCTTCCTTGGCTTTGCGTTCCGCCGCATCGAAATCAATAACGTCTCCTGTAACCTTCTTTGCACCGAGCTTTGTCTTCTTTGCTCCCAAAACACTGGTTTTCCGTGGTCCAGTTGTAGTCGCAGACCCCTTACGTAAAGCTGCGGACGATGTGATGCGACTGGCAGCTGGAGGGGCGCTGGAGGCTCCATCAGCGCCTACGAGTGGCGAAGAAGTTCGTGAGGTGCCGTTTCCGTTAGAGCTGCCGGCGTTGAGGAAAGGGGAGGGTGTTCGACCGACAACAGGAGGTGTGGCAGTTCGAGAAATGGGAGGCGTTGGTCGCTTGATTGAAGGCTTATCCCAAGAAGAGAAGAAATCATCATCTGGATCGCCAGCAGGTGTAGAGGATCCGTCACTTGTCCCATTGCCCATTACATCCGTAATGACCACTTCGTTGGGATACCTATTGTCGGTCAGCGTCAGTGTGGTAGGTATAGCACTGAGAATCGTACTCGGTAGCATCTCTAGCTGCCCGTCTTTTCAACTCATCCTTGTATTTGGTAGCCGCATTCGAAGTATATTTGGTTGTAGGGTCCTTGCTATTCAGGGCCGCGGTTCCGCCATTTGACTGGAAGAACTTTGTGGCAGACTCATTGCCACCGACCTTCATTATCCGTAATTGATCCCATTGCCATTCTAAGCCAAAATTAGCATCCAATCTCCTCAAGCGGGACGGGTTTACACGCACGGTCGAGGTTCGTGGATCGCACAAAGGAGATATGAACACCTAGATTACGGTGATTCGAAGAGCAATCGAGGCAGAGATAGATTCCAAAAGGTACAGAGGTCCACGTAGGATTCTTCTGCCCGCAATCAAAGCATATCTGGCATTCACAACATGGTCAGTAACTAACTGTAACAACAGCGGCGGGATGGACCGATAATTCGTACCCTGTTCGCGGGCTTCGTCTTCAACTTCTCGAATATCTTATGCGACTCAGACTTCGAAGCCATGGCCGCCATACTTGCAGATACTCGCTGGGCCTTTGGACAAGGCTGTGCGTGAAGTGGGGAAATGGTAGATGTACGGAGTGTTTCCCCTTTTCTCGAGGTTCAAGTTATTGTGGATTTCGGTCGTGGGAGCGGGACAGATTGCGATTGAGAGTACGCTTGTGCCGAGTTTAGCCTAGTAAGCATCCTCCCTCGGCGTGAACTGTGAAGCTTCTCCACATCCCGTGAAAAGCTTCAACCTCCAGAACTTTGTTAACAATTAAGATACTTGTTGTCCTCAAGATGAAGTCCCTCAGCAGAGCCAGTCTTCCCCTTCACCTCCAAACGCCTCTTCGACCCCTGCTAGCTGCACGATTATACGCCACTCAGACGGGTCTAGGGACTACAGGACCATCCTCACAGCCTAGGAGAAAGGCAGTGACAGCATTCAATGACGATGGGAGAGTTGCATGGGGGGACCTGACAGGCAGGGAGAAGGCTGCAAGGACGGCACAGCAAACATTCAACTTCAGCTTCATAATCATCGGTGCAGTCTTAACGGTATGGTCAAGAAACAAATTGATTTAAGAGGCAAATACTAAATCACAACAGACAGGCGTAGCATACGTCCTGTACCACGATGTCTTTTCTCCAGATAGTGTGACGAGCCATTTCAATAAGGCAGTTGATCAAGTTAAGAGCGACCCCAGGGCCACGGAGCTGTTGGGAAATAGCAAGCAAATCAAGGCATACGGGGAACCAACGTGGAATAAATGGGCACGAGACAGACCGATAGCGTATGTTCTAGGAATCTGTTTTCCTCGGGCATCCTTCCCCTGGACCAGTTTGATCCCGTTCTACAGCCAGGATTCTTATTGACTTCTTGAGCAGATCAAGCATTAAAAAGGATCAACGAGGGGCCGAACACCTGATTATGCACTTCAATGTAGGTCTCCGCGAGTCTGCCAAAGCAAAATACTAACAGCCTATAGGTTGAGGGTCCCTTAAACAAAGGAGTTGTCAATCTACATATGATCAAAGGCCCCACGGATAGCGAATTTGTCTACAAATATCTCGCGCTGGATGTAAAAGGTCACCAGAGGATTTATCTCGAAAACGCAGATGCCTCGGACAGCCCAGCAAAGAGCAAGACAAAATTCTTTGGGGTCTCTTGGCGATAGTACGACAGGACAAGCTGCCGAAACAGGATGTCATACCTACGGAGGCTTCTTTCGGCATCCGATCCTCCCGAGCCGACCAGGTCACTGGAGTCTCGCGGAGGCATCTTCGAGAATGGCGCCTTGCTCAGAGACTCGATGATCGCGCTCAATCGAAGAAATCACTGCTTTGCAGAATACCCTGGCAAGTGGTGCAGTTACAAGTCCATTGACAAGCGACGATGCTGGTGGACGAATCGATCAAATCCTTGAAATCTGGGAAGTTCCAGCGTCCTGATTGACAGGTTCTTATCATTGCTCAAGAGCCTGTAAATAACACAGACTAGGCAAGGAAGTGGTGTAGAGAAAACTACCTTACCTGTAAGTAGGAGTCCAAGTGGCATGGGATGGATTGTGGATCTCTCCCTTGAAGCGAGTCTTTTGCATCTTCTAGATGCCCGCCCTACCTGTCTTTAGCATAGGCTATGTATGTTAGGAGGCCTATTAAGAAATGAATCAAATCCAAGAAGAACAAAGATTGCGTTTCGAACACTGGTGAAATTAATGCTGTCATGATATCTCACTCTCCTGTAAACTTCCAGAACCATGACAGGTCAGTGTTCACTATCCACACCTTCTCTCTCAAACCTGTCTCAAAATCTACCCCCTTACCCCTTAGAATAGAATAGTTATACACTGGATTAATATATGCAATAGTACAGGGACCAAGCCAAGCCAAGCCAAACCATCCCATCCCATCCCATCCCATCCCATCCCATGCCTACCTTACCTATGTATGTATACTCCTTCGTAAAACCCATCCATCTCCCTATGCCCAGCTACATACAGCATGAGCTCAAACCCAAAGCGAGGGGAAAAAAAAGGAGATATAAAGATGCAAACCCCAATATGTGTTCATGAAGAGCACGCGCCAAAACGCCATTGCTAATGCTTGCCAGACTGTAAAAGAAGGCTCTCAAAAAGAGCGGATGAAGAAGCAGCAATAAGTCAAGAGACTTTTCACCCCCCCCGTTCTTGAGTTTCCTACTCCAAGAACTCAGGCTTGACTTTATTCTTAGGGCCCCGGTACTCATGTCTCTCAGCCCACTGCGTATTAAAGTAATTCTCGAAATCCTGACACATCTTCCAGATCGGATCATCTTGCGTCCAGTACTCGTAGCAATTCTGAAAGATGAGTCGGACATCCGCCTCGAACTCCCTCGCTGTCGCATAGGCGCCGTTACTCATCTTGGTCCTGATGGTGTTGAGATCCATGGGGTGCTTGACGACGTCGAAGTAGTTGGGCATGTTGTCCGCGACGGGGTCGACGGGGTTCTTGAATGGGCCGACGAGACGCGTCCAGAAGCCGGGGCCGCGGATCATGCGCTCGATGAGGCCGCGGCAGAAATCCATCTCCTGTTCGGGAGTCAGGACGGGGGCGGGCCCGGAGACCCGACGGCTGTTGCGGCGCGCGGGATCGGATTTATGGCCTATCTTTCGGATGCTTGGCTTGACTTCGGGGTTCTCGACAGAGCCAATATCAAGGTCGGCTGCGGACCGTCGAACACGCTTGTTGGGATTTCGAGCTTGCTCTGGATCGGCGTCGAGTTGATGCTTGAGAGGTTGAGATGTAGGGGCTGCGCTTGGCCCGGCTGGGAGATCACTCATTACAACAACGAGCTCGCTGAGGATCTCTTGTGGGAGTGATTTGGCAAAGGCGCTGCGAATATCGGGGGTGGCACGCACTATGATACGATTAGTTGTGCATCAAGTGAGGGTAGGATTGAAGAACGCAGAGTATCATCTTGCTTGTTTCTGCTTTGAATCTACAGAAGGAGAACTAACAAGAAGAAAGGGAAGGGAACAGTTAAGTAACTCACTATGTTCTGCAGCCCAACTAATAAGCATCTTGCGAAGCCCACTACCCTCCTCCGTTTCCTTCCAAGCCTGAATCAGGAGCGGAGTACCAGGAATACTCGAGGTCAACCGGCGTCGCTCAGCCATGGCATTCAGGACAGCAACTCTCAAAGGAGCCATCTGCAATTGAGTCGCCAGTTTCCAAACCCCCATAAGAACTGTGTAGTCCGGGATCTCCTTTCCACCATCCTTGTCCCAGACCTTACCGGTGTAAATGAAATTCTGGAAACAGCCAAAGGTGCTGACATCAGTGTCCGCAAGCTTGATCAGGTGTTCGACTTTGTTGATCTGGGGATCCTTAGCAAACTCCTGTCGGTAGTATGGGCACTGGGCACAAAGAAGGTCCTTTTGGATGCCGAAAGGAATCTCATCAGGTCCGACAAGGATGATAACAAATATTGGATGAGGGTCACTATTTCTCATCAGCAATAAATCAGGTTAACATGTGTGGTCTAAAACACACTGCCAGGAGATGGAGGTAGAGACTTGGCCTGCCTCAGAGGTCAAATCAACACCTTGGTAAGCCATGTTATCCTCTGTAAGGCGTCTCTTCCTGCTCCTCTTCTGCTCTAATTGCTCTGTCTCCTCTTTGGCAACCGGATTGGTTACAACGTTGTCCCACTGCGCCAGAGTGGTACCTCTGTGGATCTCGTAAAGATCTGGGTACGATAGTTCCCTAAGATAGATGATAGGTTCGAGCCCAGGGGCAGGAGACTTATGGAATACTGTGGCATGTGCACTAGTAAATGGAGAGGGGGGAGGAGAGCGTCGAGCTTGTATAGTGGTCGAAATATCAGGTGTATTGCTATACAATGAACACCCACTACTATCACCACTGTCAGTCTCATCACAGTCTGTCGAGGGGTATATCAGAACAAAAATTAAAGAACATAATGCATAAAACTCATCACAATACTCCACCAACTAGAAAAGTTGACCCTCATCTTTACTTTATTTCATAACCTGAACATGAAGCTATAAACCGTTGCTCAGAACAGGTTAACACAAGCAAATTTGATGAGATACTCCTAATATCGTCATTACTGACACTCAGATCTTCAGCGATCGCTAGATCACCTTCGAACTTCCTGTTGTTGACAGTCTAGGAAACTGAATGTATCATATTCATGAATCAACATACAACAAATCACGTACCTAGACACAGTGTTATCTATCTCGATTGTTGGGTGCAATTGATCGTGAGGTGGGATTAGGTCTATCGGAACAAGCTTGACAGCAATGAAGCTATTGGCGTCCATCTTGGTGTCTGTGCTTTGGCATGGCCAAAGCTTACTGGGGTACGTCTAGCGGCACGCACAGTTCAGCAGTTTTGAAACCTCGCCTGAATGCCTAATATCTCAGGCACAACACACATCCCTTTTCCTCCAGGATGAATGGGACTGAGAAATCGCTCATCGCATATCAGTAGGAGCATCCCTAAAATCAATCATCTCAACTGTTCAATAGCTATATACGCTATATTTTATTCCATGCCCAGAAATCCATCTATCACGCCTCCGTTGAGATCAATGTATCTTCTTCGGCCGCCTCAGCCTCGGGCTCCGGTTCATCACCATTAACCTCATCCGTTCCATTCACATCAATCAGATTAACACCACCCTCGCTCTCTAACTTGAGATACTCTTCCCACTCGGGAAACAAGTCCTCGTCTTCGCCAGGGACACCGATCGTCTTTGCAACCCTTCCCTTCTTCTCCTTCTCCAAGCTCTCTTTCCACAGACCGACTGTCTTTACCGTGGAACTTGGCTTGTACGTCTGAGAGAGTAGTACTGCTTCAGCAACTCTTCCGGTCTTGGTCAAGATATCAATGCATCCTTCCACATCTCCCAATTGCCAAAGACAAGTGAAAGCAACGTTGTGGGCACCAGCAGCAGAGGCTTGAGAGCTCAGAGCCTGCAGACCTTCCCGATCACCCGTACTTGAGTGTAGGAGCAATAACGAGCCAAGATCTTTAGCATTCTTGAAGCATTCTGCAGCCAACGCAATATCCCATCCGGCCAAAGCAGCATCACCGACCGTCTTCCACTTATGTTCAACATCGGCCTCTCTTGCCAGCTCGAGAGCAATTGGTAATTGACCCAGTGCAAGTGCCAAGTCGAACTTGTGTTCAGGGTCAGTAGCGACTTCGAGCGCGAGCTCTTTGTGACCTTGACCCTCGAGGAAACGGGCAATTTTGTTTAGTTGATCAGTGGGAATTGAAGGTAGGAGTTCTGCTGCGGATTCCATATCATCGCGGAGGACGAGGGTTTGATATTCAACGACAGAGAGAGAAAGAGAGAATGAAGTGACGTTGACATCCTTGTCAGCGATGTAGATCCGTGAGTCGCGTTGGATGTAACCAAGGAGGTACATAGGTTGATCAAAGTGAGAGATGGTATAGGTTTGGTCGCCGACAAGATAGTTGAGACGGTTTGTGCTGTTGGTGTAGATGAAGCAGTCGCCGACCCATTCTCCTGTTCGCACACTTTGGATGGTCAGTTATGTTCATTCGGAGTACAAGAGAACTTACGTTTCGTTGATGTCTGTGACGACTTCAAAGGCCGACTCTACCCCGTCATCATCAACCTCTCCGGCTTGCACCGCAGCAATGTAGTTCTCTCGCGAAAATCGCAAGACGTAGAAGGTATCTTCACAGGCAATTGAGACCAGCTCTCCGCTTTCGGACCAGTAGACCTGAGTTGTCAGCAGGTATCCATCCTGGATACGAATGAGAACATACCTCTTTAGGGTCAACCTCGATCCTCCGAACCAAACCACCAGTCTGCCAATCAAAAAATCCAATACCACCTTGACCCTTAACACCGAGTAGAACACCGCCCGTCAAACCTTCAGCCTGGAATCCAACATCAAGGCCACCAGGTTTCTCAACAAAGTTTTTGAAGATTTTGACACTTGTGGGAGATTCTCGGATAGCGTAGTCGTTGCTGTTCTCTTTCGATCCCCATACGAAATCCAGCGCAGAACCGAAAGCCTTGTTTCTCCAAGCAAGAGCAGTGTAGATGATGAACTCTCCGTCACCACAAACAGATACGAATCGACCGTTGGGAGAATGGAGAAGGGTCTGAGGGTAGACTTCACAGGTACCAAGGTCCTTCGTTGGAAGAGTGATAGGATCGTTATCTTTCAAAGAAGTGTCTAGATGTGTCAGCAGGCCCAATTCAATAATCCTCGCAATCGAACTTACCTCCGCCTTTGATGATCGACGAGACAACTTCACTGTGTCTTGCCCAGATGATTTTTCCAGAGCTATCCATTGATACTGCTGGCTCTTCTCGGCCCATCTTTACAACGACCGCGCCCTCATCGAAACCAACTGCAACTCCCTGCTTTCCTCGCTGGTAACTAACACACCATGCTCTCTCCAAGCCATAGCTCAGAGACTGCTCCAATCTGTATGTATTCGCATGCCATATCTTCACGGTGCCATCCTCGGAACCGGATATGATGACAGGCAGCTCTGGGTGATAGCAAGCGAAAGAAACATTGCTTGTGTGGCCCTCGAGAGTTGCGATCAAGGATTTCGTAGTATAATCCCAGACTTTGACTGTTCGGTCGTCTGAGGTTGTGAGAAGGTATGGCTTGTCAGATTGCGGATAGTAATCAACATGGTTGACACCCTTGGTCTCGTGTGCCTCCAGTGTGAAATTGGCGGTCGAGGAACCCAGGCTCCAAATCTTCACCGTCCTGTCAAGACATGCTGAAGCAAATGTGTTCGTGTCCTTCGGGTTGATGGCTAGGCCCATAACATAATGACTGTGACCCTCGAAGACCTGCACGCATTTCCATCCTTTATCCCAATCCCAGAGCTTTATGGTCATGTCATCGGACGCTGTCAGCACAAAGGGTTGCGTGGGGTGTACGACAATGGCTCGAATGTAATCGGGATGGGCTTCGAATGAGGTGATCTTCTCGGAAGTATTATAATTGTAGACTCGGAGTTGGAAGTCGTCTGAGCCACAGACGATCCAATTCTTTCGAGCAACGAATCGGCCAGCTCGTACAGGGACATCGGTGAGTTCGAATGTCTTGACAATTGTCTATGGCTCATCAGCTGGCGCCCAGGAGGAATTGAAGGCACGACGTACCTGAGTCTCGTATGACCATATGTAGACATGACCTGGGAGCTTGACATCAGCGGCAATCCGTATATCCCATGCGCCAACATACCGCTATAGAGTGTCGTCAAAATCCATGGCTCAACAGGGTGGAAATCGATCCCCTTGACTCTCTCGCTCCTCGCGAACAACTGCCTCTGTATTTTGTAACTCGAGTTAGTACTCGTCGCGCCCACCGCCATGATTGCGCAATTCCAGATTCTTGGTCTTGAGAGGTGGATTCGGTGCCCCGGAGATCAACTTCTGCCCATAGGGTCTTAACCGTAGCTTGGAAGAGAGTAAAATCGCACCTTAACGTCTAATCTCATGGTGGACAAGCAGTATGCCGACTATGGGGGTACCGTCAGGGGGAGGAAGAAATATATGTGGCTTTCCGAGCCAGCGGAGGCAGACCGCTCTGCAAAACTTGGATGTCGTGATCAGCTGTAATCGGTAATAAAGAATGAAAGCGTCGCAGGTAAGTCCTCGAATCGTTAGATGCTGCGCGGGTCGTGAAGGGGTTCAATTCTCTGGACAGATTTCGAGATTCGTGGTCTTGGACAGCTCGAGGTTCGTGGGGCTTAGGGAGAGTCTCTAGTCCCGATTGGGGTTAGGCTGTGGCAGTTGATATTGGGGAGAACCTCAAAGGAAGGCCGAATCATTGGTATCATTAGAACCATTCATTAGAAAAACAATCAAAATCATCACAAATGTCACCAGAAACATGTCCAAAAATCATCAAAATCATAGTCACATTTTCATCAATTGAGGTATGTACTCAGTGTCGAGTGCCAGGGCGCCTGTCCTTGTGCTCCATACCAGATCATCATGCATGCTTTGCTTGGATATTCCCAGAAACGCTCCCAAGCTCCCACGCTCCCAATTCCCAATTTCGCCATGCTCCCAAAATATACCTTATGCATCTGCCTGTACCTTCTTCACGATCTCGACAACATGAGGGAATAAGGCTTCACTCTGTGTTAAACCGCAGACCTTCTCTACGACAGCTTCTGGCGTGTTCTCCGCCATAATCTTGGCTAATTCCACACTCTCATCGTCACCCTCGACATTCTGGAAACGGAAAGCCATCTCGGCAGCATCAAGAAGGGCTCTGTATTCCTTTCCTTTCTCCGCCAGCTCCGCAGCAGGGGCAATAAAGCGCTCCTTCCGGCTCAACTTTCGTAAAGGTGCGCGACCAACACGCTCTACCGCATCTTCCAGATGAGGGTTTCCAATCCGAGTGATGATCTTTTCTACGTAGGCCTTTTGCTCGTCCTCTGGGATGCCATGCTTCTCGACGATCAGGGTGCTCGTCTCGTCCAAAGCCTTTCGGACCTCCTTGATAATTCTCGGGTCTTGTAACGCATCGTAGACGGTAGCCTTTTGGTGGTAGTAGCCGTGATACGCCGCAGCCGCGTGGCCGGTGTTGACGGTGAACAATTTTCGCTCAATGTAGGGGATCAAGTTGTCAACCCACTTGACACCTTTGATTGCGGGGGGCTCATGGTCGTGGAATGGGGTCCGGTCAACAACCCATTCGTAGAACCTCTCCAGTTTGACGTCCAACCCCGAACCCGGGTCTTGAGCTGGGACGATGCGGTCAATAGCGGAGTTTGCGTATCGGGCCCGCTCGTGGTGATCGGCTAATCGGTGCTCAGGTGTGTGATCGTTCTTGATATGTTGGCCGAGCGTATCTGTTGCCCCGATAGCGTTCTCGCATGCGATAACTGCGATAGGGGTAGCCTCGTTTGGCCGAGAATCAATTCCCTTGGCAATGAGAGGCGCGATGAATTTCAGGATATTTGGGCCAACAGAGCAGGTAACCACATCGGCGGTTGCGATCTCTTTGACGACATCAGCTTCGTGGTATTTTGAGTTGATGGCGCGGTAGTTGGTGATGGTTGATTCGCTGTTGCCTTCGGCTCCGACTTGGATGACCTTGTAGGACTTGGAATTTTGAAGTTGCTCAATGATGCTATCCATCACATCGCAGAAGACGACCTCATATCCAGAGTTGTGCAGGAATCTGTAGATGGGTGGGTTAGTACTGGTCCCAGCCAGGGGAGTCCCGTGTATGATTTGGGGGGAGGTCTAGGTTGGCTTACTCTGCAACGAATCCTCTGCCAATATTCCCAGCACCGAAGTGAACTGCCTTCTTTCCCATGATGGCTATGTTTATGGTGATTGAAGGTTGATATCGATATTGAGTTGTATTTGAATGTTATTGAAGGGTAATGGTTGTGGCGAGTGAAAGTGAGGGGAAAGCAAACACAATGCGGGGTGATGGTTGATATGGGGTCAGGTGGGAGATATACAACGTAATGGAAGGAGTAATAGAGGGATTCAATTCGGGTCAACGTGAGGCAATTCAAAAAGTATTTAGTTCTAGGAGAAGGGGATTGTAATACCAGAACATATCACACTGAGGGGAGGGACGCTCCTTATATAAAGATTTGCACGTCGATTCCTGCGGGACGAGGCACAAGCAAGGCAAGGCTGGGCGGACGGGGGAGAGACGGGCAGACCACGGCATCTTCGCAGGATGGCAAACGCCATGACGCAAAGTGGGCGCCCAGGGACTCAGGGCCCAGTACAGTGAGTAGCCCATGAGCCCATGAGCCCATTAGCCCATTATTGAGCGATTGAGCGATACGCACATGGTGACATAAAGGCCTGGTCATCCCCGTCCCACAGTGTGACTTTGCCGTGTCGGTCCTATTCGTCCCCTTCGCCCTGCGCGCCCGGTCTTGCAGTCCTCCGCCAGTCAGAGAGCGCGCTGTGAGCCCGGCTTCCCACCAGCACAGGCACAACGTCGTGCGTTCCATCATCCACCCATTCTTACTTGCGGAGGGCATGAATGGTGAGGGGGACCGCTCCGCATCGTGAGCATCAAAGAAAGCCGAGCCTGGCCAGCCATGGTGGTCGTCGTGGTCGTCGTGCCCGCGATCATCTCTTGGCCCTCTGCTCTCATTTGCTGCTCGTGCTGCCAACGACAACGCTACGGCGAAACACTGCCTCGCTCCCATTATTCCATTCATCCTCCTTCCTCCCCCCCTATCTCTGGTATCTCTGCTGGGCTACTACTTGGTGATCGCTCATTATTCAGAAATCTTCAGGCCTGGGTCTCAAGGTCTCAATTGTCTTATCTCTCCCTTCCTCGCCTCCTCCCATACTCATCCTCTGTCTCATCCTATCTGATCCCCTCTCATCCTATCTAAGTCCCTCTCATCCTATCTATGTCCCCTTTCATCCTATCTCACTCCATCTTATCCCATCCCATCCCCATCTCATAGTCTCCTTCAAAATAAATCACTCGAGGCTATTCGTACATTTATGCACCCCATCAATCCCCATCATTAATGATGGGGTACGTCTCGATCATGCCAGCCTTGCTGCCCGGCAATTGCGGAGCCAAAGGCGGAGGAGATTCGCCGCCATGGGCCCTCCCTCTCATATGCAATGCAAGGCACTGCTCTCGCTCTCTGCCGCAATCGGGAAATCTCACAAGCTCACGATAAGATGATATCATTCCAGACGGACCGAGGGCGACTATTGCCTGTGGGAATGATTAGAAGAGCGGACAAGCGAAAATTAATAAACCCCTTAATAATTGCACCCCATCAGCGCTCAATTCAATCAGACCATCCATGATCCATCAATCGCGGCGCGGCGAGTGGAGCTTCTTGACCTTCTTGATGAATCTTTGAATCTCTACGTTACCAAGTTGACCTTCTTCGTTGGGACCCGAACATTCCCGACCACAGCTGAAGCCGAAGCCGAAAGAAGTTCAGGCAAAATTTTCCCTTCCCGGCCGCTTCCCCACGTGCTCACGATGCGCACTTTGGGCCCCAGGCGGTCTTTGTCGGGTTTGGTCCTGAACTTGGAAAACCCGACCTTACTCAGTCCTGTCTCTCCTGCGTCTTGTCTCTGGTCGACTTCACGATGCTGCCCTGCACCCCCCCAGCCATGCCTCATGTATTAGTGACGTGTCGGATCTCAAGATGGGATCCTGTGATGGCTTCTGGCTTGGGCGCCATCTAGATCACGATGGATGGATGGGCATCGGTCACACTTAAGTTGCAACTGGCCGGCCGTCTCTAAACTGAAAATGGCCCCGAGCGAACTGAGACCTGGGTCAAGTTTAAGTCAATTGATTGCCAACCTAAGTAGTTGCAGAAGTGCCCACTGCGACCTGGTGATGAAGTCGGGGGGCACTCAACCCTCAGCTACGAATGTCGGGTTGATCTGAGGTTTGAAAGGAGCAAATCCAGGAACCATGGCCAGAATGACGGAATCAATTTCATGAAAATTTTTTCCCTTTTTCCTTCCTTTTCTTTTCAGTTCTAGGGTACGGGTCATTCTAATCTTCTTTTCACAAATGTGTCAAGGAGTGCCTAGGGAAACCTAGACAAGATACAAGAGACTCTTCTGTTAGTCCTCTCATCACTTTCCAAGAAATGACCTTCTATTTGTCCTTCTGTTTGAGCTGTACAATCAGAGATGAATAATTTGATATGGAATCCCTTCGTTCTGGATAGAGCCAGCCATCTCTTCGGGCTGCGCTGATCTGACTTCCCCCGAAATTCACGAGCACAACAAAAGCGACTACGATGGCTGCAATGAAAAGGGGATGAAGCACAGGGGATCGGCATAGATGAGCCAGGATAGAGAACAGGTGAAAGTCTCGGGGTGGAAAAACTGCTGATACGAAAAACTGTAACGTATGAAAAGATCGTCAGGCCGCAGAAGAAACAGGGATGGAAATGCCAGGCCGTCGGGTTAAAGAATGAAGAATCCAACAACGAAGCATGATTCGCGAATGGGAGCTCTTTGAATGAAGAGAAGAAATGATCTTCGGATACAGGAACTGGCCAGGTGGCATCTATATCTTACATGTCGCTCGAATATCCACATCTCTAAAAGAACGTCTCTTCGCCCGGCACCCCATTCCCATACTTTCTAGTAACAGTTGTGTAATACCCTGTATGTATTCAAATCCTAGTAATTCACCATTTGAACATCAAAACCCCTTATCTCAAAACCAGTAAAAGTACATGTCTAGAAAAAAGCGCTCCATATTGAAAAGAGTTGGGCGTTCTTGACAGCTGTTTTGACCCCACCAAAAAGTCCCATTCGCGACAACTTACCCCTCCATCCATCGCGTCCTTGAAAAAAGAAAACCCACCACTTCAACAACCACCACCACTGCCCTCTACGCAGCTCACTCCTCCCCCATACCATGCGCAAGATGACACCGCACACCATCGCCTCCCTCCCACGCATGAGCGCAACCACACTCTCCGAAATCCTCCTCTCGCACAGCACCTCCAACCTCGATGCTCCCTCTGCGCCGCCCAACCTCGCAATCATCGACGTGCGCGACGACGGTCCGTCCTTTTGCCCCCCCTTTCCCCTCCATGATGATCCCCAAACCCGACTCAGCGACTAACTAACTAACACACTTGGTAGATCACATCGGCGGGCACATCAAACACTCGCAACACATCGCGTCCGCGACGCTAGACCACCGCATCCCAGAGCTCGTGCGCAAGCTCCAGGGAACAGAGACCGTCGTGTTCCACTGCGCGCTCTCGCAACAGCGGGGACCGCGCGCCGCACTCCTCTACCTGCGCGAGCGCGAGCGTCTGCTGGGCCCGGCGCCGGGAAAACTCCAGATGCGGAATAAAGAGGAAGAGATGAACAAGCAGGCGGAGAGCGAGTGGGAGGATGTCGAAGATGCGGAGAAGGAGGACGTCAAAGAGCAGAAGGTCTATGTTCTGGATCGCGGCTTCGTGGGCTGGCAGGAACAGTTCGGTACGGATCCGAGGTTGACGGAGGGGTATAGGAGGGAGATTTGGAGAAATGCGTAGGGAGGGATATATGAGTATGGTGTGAGTATGGTTGGTGGTGATGCTGGGGATAGGAGATGGGAGATGGGGATGAGGGAGCATTTGAATGGTATGTTTATTGCATACTTGGGAACGAACCTTTGACTCTCGTGCCGGAAAGTTCATTGGTCCAGCAGGGACAAAAAAATCAGATAACCAAGAGCCATATGGTAAATGGCGAGAATCTTGGCAGAGCGGACTCAGCGGAGGATATTGATCATCTCCCCTCTTCGACGGCTCCTCCAGGAATACATCAGATGAGAGCCACACCCGATAGGTGCCAAATCCACGAAAAACATCGAAGAAACCGGGACGTCAGCTCCCCAGAACCAGCACGAACCGGAAAAGCCTCCAAAATACAACAGGGGCCGATGGATAGACCAAAGATTAGAAATATATACGACTAGAATAAGATCCAATACCACCAACTCCACAGATTTCTCGAGCCATGCACCTGTGTGCACATTAAGTAGGAATGTTTACTTCATACTATTTTCAACCACTGGACCTCAGTCTCATTACCTGTAATCCAAGTCTCGTTATCTATACTTTATACTTTATACTTTATCATTATCCAACGGGGAAGTCCCCATTGTAAAGTTCCAGAAAGTTGACTACCTATTTAGGATTCTTACAAAGCCACTGCAAGAGCACTGATTAGTATAGCACCCCCCGCGGCGGCCTCGAATAGGTGCCATGTTGGCCCTATATGTGATATGTAGCGAAAGACAAAATCAACATTGACCCAGCTCAGAGACTTTCGAATTATATACCAGAGTTCGACATGCCTTATGGAGATTCCTTGAGAACGCCGCTGGTATCCCTACCTATCTACCTCGCCATGGGACCGAAACACTCTTTACTGTCACTGTCACTATCGCGATTATTGTCTCTATAGCTATTATTCTTGTGCACTCGTCAAGGAAATCGAAGTCAAAGGGCAGGTGATTGCTCAACGCATCGTGGATACTCTCTTAAAGCACCTCGTGGAGATGTACGGTTCTTGTTGGGGGTTAAACAGTTGACTGATGACTTAAGGACTCTCATGCACGAACCTGATGATGTTTGACCTCCCTTCCCCCCTTAGATACCGATTTCCGGACTTGGTGCCTCGCTTACGAGGACTGTACGTAGTGGACTTGATATCTTGGCACCTCTGACATTTAGTCACTCGAGGATGTTCTTACTTGCTTATACAGTTTTTATCTTGAGGAATTCTGTAGATACATCAATTTGTTTCTCCGCGTTACTTTCACCAAGGTATTTTATAGGAAAAGTGATGTCGACTAACCTAGCTCGGGGCCGCCGTCCCTTTGCCCCTTTACCCCTTACCCCACACTTACTAGGTAGACCCCAACCTCGGCTTCCACCCGCGATATCCAAACCCCCGACATCGAGCTTTTGTATCAAAACCTCTAGAATACAACCATCCAGATATCGCTATTCAATTTTCCTATTCTATATTATTACCACATATCACCACATCCCTGTAACAGTCATTTGGCCACCCTCTCCCAAATTCCAAAAAACCATGTCCACCCTCTTCACCACCCCACCACCCCCCCTCCAAAGCGCCATAGCGACCTTCCCCCACCCCGCCGTCCTCCTCGTAACCCTCAACCGCCCCAAAGACCTGAACTGCATCTCCACCCCAGGCCACTACGAGCTCGACGCTCTCTGGCGCTGGTACGACACCGAGCCATCCCTGCGCTGCGCCATCCTGACCGGCAACGGCCGCGCCTTCTGCGCCGGCGCCGACCTCAAAGAATGGCACGCCTCGCAGTCATCCCCCAATTCCAATTCCACTTCCAATTCCGAGACCCGCCGCTCCATGCCACCGTCAGGCTTCGGCGGGCTCAGTCGGCGCAGCGGCAAGAAACCCATCATCTGCGCCGTCAACGGCGCCTGTCTCGGCGGCGGCTGCGAGATGATCATCAACGCGGACCTCGTGATCGCGGAGCGCGGCGCCGTGTTCGGGCTCCCGGAGGTTAAGATCGGCGTCGTGGCGCTGGCCGGCGCGTTGACGAGGCTGGTGCGCACCGTGGGCAGACAGCGCGCTATGGAGATGGCGCTTACGGGACGGCCGCTGGATGCCCAGGAGGTGCGGGACTGGGGGCTGGTGAATCGCGTGGTGGAGAAGGGGGAGGGCGTGAGGGAGGCGGTGCGGGTGGCGGTGGTGATTGCGGGGAATAGTCCGGATAGTGTCATTGTGAGTCGCGAGGGGGTGAAGATGGGCTGGGAAGGGGTGGGGGCCGAGGAGGGCACAAGGTTGGTGTTGGAGAATTGGTATAGTAAGATGGATAAGGGAGAGAATATGAAGGAGGGGGTGAGGAGTTTCGTTGAGAAGAGGAAACCGGAATGGGTTCCGAGTAAACTGTGATATCACTGATATATTTTGTATATTTTAAATATATGCATCATCTGACTCCTTTTCATCAAATTCATCTCACCGAAAGATGCCTTAACCTGTGTCCGAAACTCCCAAGTCATTTCCTCAGACACTCCATCCTAAAAATAATAAATATGATTGCCATCAAAGCTGAATGTAGGCCTATGTATAGTATAATAGACCGTAGATATATCATATATCTCAAGCAAACGTGTACTCGTTGCTTGAGTATAGATTCATAAGGTATACTAAGAAGAAATGAGTTGCTCAGCGGTCCCAGGACCCAATCACAATGGCTTTACCCGAATGGCTGACTTCTTGATCGATCGATTGCTCAACCATCAGAAGTAGCTGGGTTGTCCGTATTATGAGTTCTAAGATGATTAGTAAAGCTGCCTTGCTATGGTGAGTTTTGACGAACCTTCATACTGAAGCGTATAAGAAACGGGAGCATCCTCGTCCAGGCTAACCAACACTGGAGCCGGGACGCTCTCGTCCTCAATAACTCTAATACGCAACCCCACGTGCTCTTCCGCATCCGCCCACAATAAACGTTTCTTGAACTCCTCGTCCTCTCCTTTCTTGGTATTTGGTCCGGATCCAAGTCTGTTTCGTTTAGCTAAGGAGGCACATCGCTCGGCAAGCCAATCCCTCCAAATCCGTGTAACACTATCTCCGATATTAACACAACTTAAGAAGAGCCCACGTTTCGGACCAACTTTGACAAGGTTCGTGATGGTGCAGAGTTGAGAGAAGAGTTCGTGCGATTCGAGGTGAAGATTCTGGCACACATATTCTGTTTCCTTCTGCACTAGAGCGTTGAATGGGCTATAAGCCCACCCACCAGTGGCGAGTGATCTGCGGGCTTTACGATCTTCATCTGGTAATAATGGGCGGAAGTGGGAGTATAGCCCTTTGAGCTGCCCAAGTCTATCAGTCCCTTGTAGGTTCTGAAAAATGCTGGCTTCATCTTCGGGCGCATCACAGCTTCCAGTTCCAAGGTAATCGCAGAATAGGTATGGACTAGAGAGTTTGGTTGAAGGGTGGAAGCATTCGAGGATGAGCTTGTGGTCTTTGAGAGAGGCTGCGTTCAGAAGTCGAGCCTGAAAGATTCGAATAATAATATCGTAGAAGCGATGGGAGGTCAACGTCATTGGAAGCAGATTGCGCGTAGGGAACCAGGAAAGAATGGTGATGAGAATCTTGGAACATCAGTCAGGCTTCGGAAACGGATTGGAGAGGCTACAACTGACCTCATTGGGCAATGCCTCTATTGTGGTTGACCGGGCCGCCATGTCGTTTTTCATATACACAACGAGTAAGATGAGGCAGAGACACAGTATCTACTCAAAATTAGCGGTATCTTGATACAGTCTCACAAGTGGTAAGGGAATACCTAATAATAGAGCAAAGGACCGAGGGCGAGAAGCGATGGACGTGAGAGTAACCAGACGAGGGACAGCATATGGAAATAGTGAGCTCTTAGACCGCGACGATCGAGGGTTAAGTATATGCGAAGAATGTGAAGGCTGAGGCTATAGACGATGTTGGATACAATCTTACTATTCTGATGGTAGGGCTGTTGGAGATGTTGGTTGTTGATAGAGCACACTGGTGGCGGTAACGCAATCGCTATCTGATAGCATGGTGATACGATAAGCGCCCTGCCGAGCTAAAATTGCTAAATCCACCCGCGGCTCGGAGAGTGGTAAGAGAGCCTCCAACGGTGTCACCTTATCACATACAGTGCCTAGACCTACGACAGACTTGTTCTTTTGCTGTGAAAAGACCATTGGATCAATACAGAGTCAATGAGGCTGTTGGACTACAGGACAACCCGTAGATAGACCAGATTCTGGAAATACAGGATAGGATATCGTCTCAAGGAAATAAGTGAATGCGAGCTTAATCTCATGCGAGCCTCGAATGAAAGAAGCTACTTCAAACTTGATCATTCTCCCCATGACCCGCTGGCCTCCCCTCCGTAACCTCAGGGTGAACTACATAAATACCTGAAAATCTCGGCCTGCCATCAACAGGTAAATCCACATCTGTCGTCACAACGCTGACTTTAAGACCTGCGACCTCCTCCCTTGGCTTATCTGTCCCGTCGGCCAAGGTGACCCTCCAATGCAAATGCTTTGTCAAGTATGGCAACACACTCTCCTGCCCTAAGCTTTTGAGGTTGCCTTTCTTGTATTCGTCAATTAAGGCCCTGGTTAAAGGCACGGTACCAGTGATGATGACTTGGCTCTTTTCATCATCCTTGCATTTTCCGCAGCCAGTGGTGATGGGATTTTTGCCAAACGCCGCGAAAGTCCCGACCAGTGTATCCTGTGTATGCCAAGTTGTCGTGTCGTTATTGAATTCCCCGAGAAAGATGTGCACACGGTAGGTTTGGTGAAAGAGGTGCTTGGGGGTTTTGATGTTGCAAATATATTCGGTATATTTACTTGGTTGTGGAGAGAGTGGAAGAGTGGGTGCTAGGTTGATTCAGTAAGGGAGGAAGTTTAAAGGGAAGCTGCATTTACCTTGACCAATCTCAGATCCAAGATTGAGGCCTCGGAAGTTTTCATTTAATTCCGGTGAGTGGCCCGAAACAGAAGTCGAAGTTACATGGATGGGAGACGAGGAATGGACCGGGGCGCCTGACGTAGAACTGGGCTTCTGTGTAGAGTCGTGCACGACCTTCTCCTTGATAATAGGTGTAGCTGGTAAAGCTGCGCTGGCTGTCATCAAGTCACTAGCAGCTTGACCCGAAATACTCCCATACAACTCGTCAACAGCCTTCTGTACACTTTCTAAATAGTCGTTGTCGCTGGAGAATGACCATCTCTGGGTTTCGGGATACGCGTAATTGAAAGTCTCAGTACTACGTACGACTTGGGAATTGTAGAACTTACGGCCAGATGCATCGTTGAAAGGAGCTAAAGGTGTGGTGTCGGTTTCGATGCCGTTGGAGCTTATAACAAAGGTTCCGCTCCCAGACTGTTCATTTATGTCGTAACTTGTCGGATTTAGGGCTTGCCATATAGCGAAGAGGCGGTCCACATTGCTATCGTTGGCGTCAGTCAGGTGCATCATAAGTCAATGTGTTTGGGGATTAGACTGACGCGTGATGAAGCCAGAACACCGGATCAAATGCTGCATAGTCAAGTTCAGACATATGTCCTGCGTTACCTCCGACTTCACTATGTATGGTATTGTGGACATCTTCCAAGCTGGCGAAAGTTCCTGGGTCTGACTCCCATATATGGTTGCTGAAAGCGGCAAAGTCTTTATAATTTGGATCATTCATCAGAATATTGACGTTGCTTTGTAGACTACTAAATTGTGATTGCATAGCATCGAATACTTGGCTTTCCTGGGACTTGGCATTGATTGATCTCTGAGATGATGGATATCGTAGAGTTGTTGGCCAGCGGTTATACTATAAATATTAGAATATATCAAAAGAGAAAGAACTACTGACATACTGGGACTCCATCATCTTCCACAAAGTCCCCCTTTTCAGGGTTGAGAGGGGCGAATTTGTACGAGTAAAGTGGATTTGGGATCGAGATGGTTTGACCGTCTGATTGCGGGGTGATCACATTTACTGTGGCGGAACCTCCAACGGAGAGTGGGAAATATTGATCTCCAGATGGCGGTTGAGCAGCCCAATCCCAATATGGGACGCGGAAAGTGGATGCAGCCTGTTGGTAGCGGATCCGAGTAGAATCAGGGAAGGTACTTGCAATATCCTGAATGAGACTATAAAGGACTTGCTGTGGTTGATATTAGGAAAATCCATTATCTTAGGTGACAGTATTCGTACCTCGAAGAGGGAAACATATGGACGGTGCCACGGAGCAAAAAGAATTGAAGTATGAGTGCAGTACCCTCCCCATGTAGGAGAGTTGGTTCCCTCAACCCCTCCCCATTCCCGGTAAGGACGTCCATGGATCCCTTCAGACGTTAGCGACTAAGTATCAAACAATATGACAATGAGTATAACCGGCGATGCCATAGAAAGACAGATCCGAGGCTTCGTCAAGCTTATAGAAAGCCTGGAGACCGAGTAGATATAGGTTCCACTGATCTGGGTGATTGTTTTGAAGGTTACGAACCTCAAGTCTCAGAGGAACGGATCCTGGACGAGTCAATGCTGTTGAACGGAATCAAGAAGTAGCGGTTAACTTACCATCAGCCGGAGCAGGGGATGGCACTGGAGGGCCTGTGATTGGGTAGTTCACGGCAGCCATGATTCGGTATGATATATACTACTGGCCAGGTGAAAAGGAGAAAGATACACAAGCATGGGACTGAGAGCTAGATTGCGAGATTATCTGGGAAGGGCAGAGGACAATATATAAGAAAGCCGTCTGATGATCATGGCAGCCAAGTCTGACATACATACCTCAATCACGAACTCGAAGCTGAGAAATTTCTGTCATTTCCCACAGGAAGCAGGTGAAAGAGTGCGGCGAAGGAGCGCCACAAAGACTAGATCATGGATAGCAGTGAGGATCATAATTCGACATTTCTATGACAGTGAAGCTTGTTACGGGGCCGTCAGCTGAAGCTTACGCCTTAAATTAAGCCACCAGGAAACAGTATGCCCGCTGTCAATGACCCTTTCCCACCACTTTTGATACCAAGTAGCCTGGCGAGGTTCTTATATGAGCTGCGGAGCCTAACTTGTGCCTGCAAACAGTGAAGTGTGAATATATCCTCGTTGGAGCTGCTGTCCTCTTCTGGGACTAAGAAGAGGCTGCCTAAAGAGAAATTATACACGGAGCTTCCGTGGCTCGTACCAGACGTAGATTTTGTCAGAAATCTCAGCTAAGCCAAGAACCAGGCTTTGCATTTCACCACTACCAAAAATGCCTAACATGAAGGCTCCCTGTGCAACAGTAAGATCATGACACGCCGAATCAGAAGACCAGTGACAGGCAAGCCCCAGTGTCCTAACGAATGATGCGGATACGTTAAAAAGCAAGAGTCAAAGGCGCTACTACCCGAATTCCAGACATACATAGCAGGCATATACCCTTGTATCCAAATAAAGAGGGGTAAAGCTGGTAATCAAATATAGCGGAGAGGCTTTAGATTCTGAACAGCACTAATGGCTGGAGGCACATGGTACGCTCCACATCCTAGGCTTACGAATTAACTCAAAGAGTAGAGAAAATCGAACATGTGGTGAAGATGAAGAATAGGGAGACCAGGACATTTGTGTGACTTGCGAACTCTTCACAGCCCACGCTGATGGTCTGGGGTATTGGTTGGCGTCTGCAACGCGCCTCACTGCTCATAGGTACCTAAGGTACGGTGCCTCAGGTGGCTATCCGCAGAGATGGACCCAAGGCCATATAGTAGCAAACCACTAGGAGCAAGCATATATGATCAAGCAGTATCCCAAACGAGCAAACGTATAAGAGATCTGGAACATCTGAAGATGGATGTATGTTCTCTGCAGCGATTCAGGAGCAGCTCCCCTGGTCCCTTAGCGTGTCAACGGCGCCGGAAAATCCCTACAGGGATCAGTGATAGCGACCGGTGTTTTCCCTCGCCGGCGGCCGACCCCTCCTACCTCAAGATCAGAACAGACATTCTAGACGCATATTCCAAACCAAGACCACCCTCTCTCGCTCTTGTGCCCTCCTTTCTTAACCCTATGACTAGACGAAACGGACCTTGAGCTGCTCGTCTTTGTCTTTCAATCTACAAATTGACGCTCTCTACCACCCTCCTCATTCTTCTTCCACTACCAACGTCGAGATCGCAAAGCTCCAACCCCCACCTCCCCGAACAGAAAGACCAAATTACAACCGTGTCAAGATGACCGCAAATGGCAATAGCGAGAGCAGTTCTGGTAGGTTAGAAAGGATACTATCTATGTGTAGTACCTCTATGAGCTCTGCTAATTCAATTCAGCTCCTGTCGAAGCATCCAACATCCCTAATGGAGAAGCACCATGGAGCGTTGAAGCAGTCGTGGCAGCTCTCCCGGGTGGACCCCCAAAAGTCGACTCCGCATCCCCAGTTCCTTTCTTCCACATGCTGGAGCGTCTCAAGACTACCAAGCGCGAAGGCTGGCGCCGGTTTGGCATCTCGCAGTACGCTCTCCTATCCAGTCGCACCCTCTCGAGAAAAACTAGACACATGCTAACGACTGGAAATAATTCAGAGGCGAATCGATATCTGACCACATGTACCGGATGTCCCTCATAACTCTCTTCGCACCCCCCGCGCTAGCATCCAAGCTCAACATCCCGCACTGCACGAAGATGGCGCTGGTCCATGACATGGCCGAAGCGCTCGTCGGGGACATTACACCTGTTGATGGAGTCTCCAAGCCTGAGAAATCACGACGTGAAGAAACCACCATGGACTACTTTACCCAAGGACTTTTGGGCCGCGTACACGGCGGGATGACTGGCAAAGAGATCAAAGACATATGGAGAGAATATGAGGACAGCGAGACCCTAGAGAGTAAATTTGTGCACGACGTCGATAAGATCGAGCTGGTCCTTCAGATGGTAGAATATGAGCGTGCTCATGAGCGAAAGTTGGATCTGGGAGAGTTTAGTTGGGTTAGTAGCAAGATTGTGCTGCCGGAGGTGAAGGAGTGGTCAGATGAGTTGATGAGGGAACGAGAGGCGTTCTGGGGAAATGTTGAGCATACTACGTATGATGAAAAACGATTACCAGGAGCGGAAAAGTTGGCGCAGAGCTTAGAATATTATGGTGGGCAGAAGTAAGAAGGCGTTGATTGGACCTTGGGCCATGGAAGCTTCAAGCTCGTGAGTGGAGTACAGGATTTTGCTAGCACTTGGAGCAGTGCTGTGATGATCATGTTTGATGATTGGGGGCCGTTTCCTCAGGTACCTGGGCAAACTCAGATGGGCGTTGGTTGCATGATAGGGAATCTTACAGATAGATCATGAACGCAGAGATGCCTCGCAGTTACTTCTACTGTGAGCAATCATTTGAGTATCTGAATGGCAGATCCAGGTAAGACTTGGTTACGATCCATCATGCATATGGTTCCTAGTCGACCTGGGACAAACCCGCTTTGCTCCACTCCGATCGGTGGCTTACCAGGCAGTTTGCATCTTCATCCATGAAGTGTTTTGCAATCATCGACCCCTATTTCAAGCTACCTAGCCTTCATTGCACTTTACAGAAGAGGCACTTCTAGGCTGACTTGACCAAGTCCTGGAAAGCCTTAATGATAGTTGACTTGTTGCGGTGCGGGGCTTAATGTATGTGATCTGCGGTCTCCGAATAGATCAGGTATATTGTAGTGGCCTTGATCAGAGGAGGGGACAAGAAGACGGGATTCGGGGAATTGATAGTTATCACGTGTTTGCTGGGTTGTGATCTCCCATGGCAACCACACAAACACTGCCGAATTCCACACCGCACTCGACTTGAACTAAATATCAAAATCTTATCGCGCTGCAGACAATGATTCTGGCAATCGTCTTCTTTGTTTCACCGTGACTAATTAATCTCATGTATCACTTGTAATACCTGCTCGCGGTCAAGCAGCCGCCTTGAGCCTCGCCTTTCAGCCTCGGCGGGAGAGCCCAACCAACAACGTCAGCGGGAGCTCATCATACAACCGCCAAACCACATCACCTTCCAGCTCCAGATTCACTAACCATCGCAATGTCACACTCAACACCGCAACCAAGCATGCCTGGCGCATTCAGCTTCTCCCAGCGTGACAACGGTTCAACACCCCGCATCTCTGGCGCGAAATCCCACCTCTTTCAACCACCACGCACACCCTCCGCCTCCGCATCATCTTCTCTATACCTGGCGCGCTCAACAACGAGTTCGGCCATGTCCTACGACCAACCCTCTGCGAACGCTGGGAGGAAACGCTCTCGGTTCGACTATAACAACGACCAAGCTCCAAGTTGCGACATGCCAGAAAGAGACACTGGATCGCCAATGCCATTCGTAAATACGAGGTACACGTTAGCGGGAGGTATGGATACACCTACTTTGAAAACAGCGCAGGATTACGATGTTGGTGGGAGTGTGTATTCGGATATTGGATATCGGAGGGAGCTGAGCGGGGATGATAAGGTGAAGGGCTTGTTCGGGGAGCAGAGCTCGTACGAAAGCTTTCCATTCGAGCTGGATCGAGAATCGGATGGTCGGCCAAGTTTAGGGAGGAAAAACAGTGGTAGAGAAGCATGGACAAAGACCGCGCTGGAAGTAGTGGGAGGCGTGGTTGGTAAAGTGTGGGAGTTTTGCAAAACAAGCGCATTCAGAGGATTCCACGCAGGGGGTGGAGCGAAGTACACAGTCAATAACACATCGCCTACGCACTTCACAGTCGACATCAGCGAGAGGGATAGCTTTTGGGAATCGGAAAGAGTGACTACAACGTGGGGATTTGAGAAGGAATCAACACCATTGCCAGGCCAGTTTCCAGAGGAAGAGTTTATCGCGGATTATATGGATCGCGCGACACCTGAAAACACCCCGCCTAGACCAGCGAAGAGGAGACAGGTTAGTCACCATAACGAGGATGAGATCGCCAAGAATTGGGTGGTGGTTCCTCCGAACACCACCCCATCGAAGCCCCAACCGAAAAGCCCAGCCAGATATAGTCTGCCAACTGCCTCTTCCGCAAACCGACGATCGGTTGCCGGCCGACCAGCCTCACGAGCAGGCGCGATAGGAATGGGAGCGAGGCGATCAATGGTTCCGCGCGTATCGCATGCTGGGTCACCTGCCCTACATACAAATCACGGCGCCAGCTTCGCAAGCCCTAGATCCCCAGGCGCAAGCAAGATCCCCAGAGCGAGCCCGATACGTGGCACCCCAAGTTCAGTCAAGGCGGATAGCGCTGCGGCGAAAGAGGCACAGCGATGGGCGGCCCAGAGGAAGAAAGAGGAAAGGGAAGCAGACGAGAGTATCAGGCGGCTGGACGCTCAACTCAAGGCCATGATCCGAGAGGGCAAGGAAGCGCTGGGTACGAAGATCGAGGTCGAAATGGATGATGATTTGTAGGAAGATGGTGCGCAATATTCAAACCATCTGACCTCGCATGTCCTGACAGCGAAAAATCCCACGGCATCTTCATTCAGTCTGTCTTCCACTTGGACACACTATCATAATGCCAGGGAAACTCTCAGCCCGCCTAATAAAACATCACGCACGCACTTGATATACCCCTCCCCCTCAGTCTTAATAATCGAGCAAAAGCCTAGTAGGATATGGAGCACTCGCATTTGCATTTCCAAGCATTTCTGGCGTTCGGATGACTGGATCAATGGTTTCTCAATTGGGGGTAAAATCATGAACTCTTCTTTGCTGCATTCAGGGGTTAGTCGCGCCGCGGGATGTTAGATACCTTAGGTAGATACTCGATGATTCTTTGGTAGCTAGCTAGGTACCTTAGGATAGAGAAGAGGCAGGCATGATACCTAGCTTGCTTGCTTGCTTCGCGAGAGAATTCTAATTTAAATAAATCCGAGAGAAAGTATTCAAATATCAGACTAGGCGTGTGAGGTTTACGGGTTTAGGGGAGGCTATAGGGAGGGGCTTCCTTCCTAGATTCCTGAATGAGGCCCTCCTTGCTGTTCATCAGCACTCACATATCTATTACCCAAAAGGACATATGTAGATCTGTCTGAGCGCTTTCTCTTCAGCGATGACGAAAAAGCGAAAATCACAGAGACTAGGTACGAACCATCAAAGACCACTCTCAGGGACAAATAAGTGTATAATCACTCGGCTCAGCGGCAATGTATATATGCATATGTGTGTATTATATTAATCTACAGTACAAGAATCCACAATCTAACGACCGATGAATACGAAGCAAAGCCAGACCTTCCACCAGGGAAGAATTACAGCAGCAGCATGCCCATCACCAAGCTTGATAGCAGCGCCACCACGACCGAGAAACCACCACCCACCCGCGCCGCCGCGCTCTTCGCCGTGCTGGTCGATGTACCTGATGATGCGCTCGCTGTCTCCGTCACGGTCCCCGAGCCCGCGGACGCGGTCCCCGTGCTCTCGTTCTCGGTCGTGCCGGCGGCTTGACTACCGGGGCCGGAGAGACCAGGTCCCTTGCCGGCACCGCTCTTCATGTAGGCCGCGGCCGGGGCGGGAATGGCGGGGAGGTCATCGTTGGCGACTTGCCATTGGGCGGATTCAGGGGGGCAGTTAGAGGCTGGGGAGGAGGTCTTGGCGCCGCCAAGACCGGTGGGGTTGGGAGTGTTTTTGTAGGCGGTTTCGAGGTAGGTGAACTGGTCGTTGGGGGTGGCGGTGTTGCCGTTGATGGTGACGAGACCGTAGTTGTTGCCTTCTTCAGAGTACTCGTAGACGAGACCGCCAGAAAAGACGCTGGTCATTTCGGGGCTGTAAAGGGCAGCGACTTCTTCGAAGGTGCGGTTGTTGGTTATGCAACCGTATTCAGACATGCTAAGGGTGGGTTAGAAAGGTAAGGTATATAAGGTTGTGTGATCAGTAACTTACAAGAGAGGGATCCCATAGCTGCTGTAGTTGGCAACAAGAGTATCCCAACCAGAAGTCTGGAAATTAGACGGGTCGCACCAGGAATAATCGTTGATAGAATAGAAATCGCTGCGTTGGTCATCGGTTCCACAGTTCATGTATTCGGCCATCAATTGTTGGTTGGCCTCAACATCTGCAGCGGAATAACCAACGGGAATCTTGCGATAGCCTCGGCTTCCAATGTATTGCTTCATATCCCTTGTCGTTGCCTTCACGTAAGGAGCAACATTGGTGTTACTGGCATTGTTGATGACTTCGTTTCCGGACAAGAAGGCGAGAGTGTTGGGGTAGTTTGCAAACGCATCGATAGTCGCGAAGACACTCTGGAGGTAGATACTGTTGTACGAGGGCGCGGGATCTGCTCTGTTAAGGGAGTATAGAGGTGTATCGGTGTCAAGAACGAGGTAGATGCCTGCAGCAGCCAATGCATTCATACAAGCGTCATGGTTGGCCGTATTATCGATTGTATAGACACGAATGGTGTTGATACCCAACTTGGTGAAATTCGGAATATCTCGTTCACAGCCCGCACTGTCTGCAATTGGGTCCGTCGGCGTACCAATACCACCACCTGATCGGTTGTCAGAAGTTGCAGATGTATTGAAGGGAAAGACTTTGTACCTGGAGCATAGTCGACGCCACGGATGTAGAAGCGTTCAGTACCCTGGTAGAAGGCTAAAGAGATCAGTTTGAGATTGCCAGAACGCACACCAGACAGACATACCATTGCCGGAGACAGTAACTGGGACTACAGTTGAAGAAGCTCGAGGGGCTATGACGGGAGTTCCAACAGCAGATGTGCATGCTGCGAAGGTGGCAGCTAAAAAGCCGCGAACCAAATTCTGCTTCATTGTGGATCGGGATTATGCAAGGGATTATCGTTGAGGGTGTTCCAACGAGATTGATTCAACCGTTCAAGAAGTCGTAGAGAATGAGAGTAACGAATGAAGGGATTGTAGGAGAGCTTTGCTTAAGCCCAGTGCGCGAAAAGCGATGAATAACGAGAGTGGTGAAGAAAGAGCAAATAATGAAGCAGTGGAAGAGAAGTTGGAGAAGTTGAAGGTTGTGGGATGAAGGGCGTTGAAAAAGAGGAGAGAAGTTGCGTTCTTGTGATATCAGACGTCAGAGCCGACGCGGCTATTAATATTAATTAAAATGTATTTTATTGAAACGCAGGGCAAACAGCGCACAGAAAGCAGAAACCAGCGCTGCACTGGTGTTACAATTGATGTCTTATTACGCGTACTGCTATGCTATAGCGACGCCAGGCCCCTGCTTGACTATATAGAGATACGAGACCATATTCCCCGGTATCCCTGCCGAGGGGAAATAATGGCACCTAGCACCATCACTTGTTTTCTCGGCCAGATGGAGCAGATCGTGGGCGCTTATGGGAATGCACAAAGATAAATCGATGTTCCCCGATAACGCTTGAACAAGAGCAAGACGAAGAGCAAGAGGGGACATTGAAGGGAAGCTTGACCTTCTCGAAACATCTGAGAAGGTTGTTGTGTCGAGACGGCTGCGCCCCCTTCCCATGAAACATTATGCTACTGAACCTACTTCGTATTTGCTTCGTGTGAGATCACTCGACGTCCACGAGTTTCTCGTTGATCGGAATGTAGAGTAGACTAAGTCGAATGGTAGACCGTAGACCCAATAGGGGGAGAGATCGTTGGTATTTGATGAGTGGTTGCAGCGGCCTAGCTTCCGTGCCGGCGGTGACATTCCCTTGCAGAGGGCGGGGCGTCTGAGCAGATGGATGAGGGCATTTTTGCGAAGACCGGATCTGAAGAGAAGAGAAGCCTCGGGGGAAGGAGAGAAGGAGGGCAGAAGGGGAGACTTGTTGTAAGAAATAAGCTTAAAATGCCAAGACTGTTGGCTGATGCTTGGAAGTCATCATTACCTTACCTTATTGGGTCGCATAGACACGTGACCAAGATGATCATGATGATCCTGATGATCGTTCTGGAGAGGAGAGAATACCGCCCTATATGTCCTATTCGTTCTACTTACTTGACTTTTATTTTTTGACTTCTTGACCTGGATCGTTTCTGTTTAGAACCTGCAGGACAGCTGATACTATTACAGTCCAGCACCAACAACATGTCTATATCGGATCGGTGAACGTCACTGTGTCGTCGAGATCGCGCCTGATGACTGGATATCTTTGCAACAAGCTTACAGAGTGATCTTGTTTTGCTTTTCATGGTGAGTAAGCGTTTCCGTATGCTACGCTTGTTGAGCCCTTTCTGTATCACAAAATCCGGTGAAATGGAAAGAATCTCACATTCCTCCGATCCTTTTTCTGCTCCGCACCGTCCTACACAGACCCGAGCTGTGCGCTTCTATCAAGTGTATCAACTTTGGCGGTGACACCTTCCAGCTACCGCCATTCCGAAAAAGCTTTCCTTCCAAAATCCCCGTCATTGAAAACCAAATAGCCCTACCTATTGTAGTGTCAAATAATTGAGGTTATATCACAGTATAAAGGGAGGGATATAACAGGCGAATTCAAGTTTGTTAGAAGTAGATTAAATTAAACTAAATTAAATAGAACAGAGAGTAGTCCCCTGTTCTATATACTTGAAAAAGGGGTTGTTATTTACATGTATAGGCGCTGTATCCGCTATAAACAGGGTATGTAGGTACCTAAGTGCCTAAATCCTAACAACACTATAAACTATTAAACAAGGTGTAAGGGATCGATCCTTGTATATTAATTAAGGGTTAGTTAGTAATTAGGGGAACAGGTTCTGTATCCTAGTAGTAATTAACCCTACTGTTTAACATACCCCCTTAGGGATTAAGCTGATTCTAGATTTGACTAGAGAGCTAAGTACTAGTATAGCTCTCTCCTTAGCTCTCTCCCTAATCAGGTAATAATAAAGCTATTCCTATACCTAAAGGTATACTAGTACTTACTAGTACGGCTCTCTCCTTAGGTAAAAGGTTAAAGAATTAAGGAAAGTACGTAATAGTAGGCACTTGATTAAAAGGGGCTTAACGTTTAAGTCCTAAAGCTCCTTAAGAACCTTAAGGACTCCTAGTGTCAGGGGCCGACAACACGATGCTTAGGTAAATGTCGGTTTTATTCTATAAGGAGAATACTCTAAAGAGAAAAGAAAGGAAAGGGTTTGTATAAGGTAAGGGGTAGGTAGGAGAAAACTCTACTGTTAGGGCAGGATAACGATAGTCCGGTTAGTCACGTGCTTAGTACTAACCCCTTACTAGGTTCTAACCTGTAACATTACCCCTCCCCCCTCTCTCTCTATACTAACGCCTAATCCTATAACCTGCGCTTTGTATAAGGGCCTTAATTAGCTCTTCTTAGCGAGTAATCTAGACGATCCCTATACTACTACAAATTAATTCCCCTTCCTTCTTATACCTAACCTTAATAACCTAATCTACTACTCTTACTACTACCTTTCCTTACACTATACGATCGTACTATAATCTATTAATTAAGCTACTACTAAGCGTTCTAAAGTAGCTACTCTTTAACGATTAGTAAGTCAAGCTCTCTTCTAAGCTCGTATAGCACTAACCTAGCCGCTAGCCTACTACTAAGCGTCCTAAAGTAGCTGTCCTTAACGATTAGTAAGTTAAGCTCTTTTCTAGTACAAACTTGTATAGTACTAACGTAAGCACTAGCTTATTACTAAGCCTTTTTTTTTTTATATATATATTGTCACGGGCGCGCGGTGCGCACGTGACAGTTGCACGTGATGCGCACAGCATATATGCGGTGTTAGGCGTGTTTAGCTCTCACAGGCCGAACACTTTAATCTTTTGGTCCTGTAGCGTAGTAGTAGCCTAACACGCTATACATAACAAGTGTGTTTGGCCTGTACTAGTCTTCTAGTAATTCTTTTGCGCGCACGTAGTGTCGTGATTAGTAATTGCTTACGTAGGGCTAATAGGGCTAATCCCCTAGGGGTCTAACGTATATAGCTATGCGCGTGTAGCGAGTGTATAGCGCGTTAAGCGCGTAAGCGTAGCCGAGATGGCCTAGGAGGCCTAAGGCACGAGTAACGCTTATTAAGCTCTAAGGACAGAGCTATAGAGGGGGAGGCAATGTTACGGGCGCGCGGTACGCACGTGACAGTTATACGTAATACGTACAGCATATATACGGTATTAGGCGTGTTTAGCTCTTACGGGCCAAACACTTTGATCTTTTAGTCTTATAGCGCAGTGGTAGCCTAACACGCTGTACATAACATATATAGTAAAAATAGCTACCTTAAACCTATAGAACACGTACAACACTACCTTACCTTTAGCTAGCCCTTACTAATACGTATATAGCCTTATTTATATAGTTAATAATACTATTACGTAGTTAAACGCCCTTACTACTTAGTAGTACTTAATCTTATATATTACCTTTCTTTACGTCCTTACGTAACTTATCTATATAAACAAGTAGCGTTAAGCCTTAGCCTTTTTAAGGCGTAACGTACTTTTTTACCTTAGCTATATTACTTTAGTATAAGTATAGACGTATTGTCTATCTTATATAAATATAATACTTATATAGCGTATAGGCGTACTTGTCTCTAGTAGCTATTCTTTATGTTATAAAAACGACTAAAAGGTCTTTCTTAACTACTAAGTACTACCTAGATTCTAGAATAAGGCGTATAAGAACTATAAATAAAAAGACTATAGTATAAAGTGTTTTACTTATAGTAGTAGTATATAACAGGCTTTCTTAGATAATTGTCTAAGGCTACTAGCCCTAAAGTAAGAGAAGGAGAGTAACGATAATAAGCTAGGTATAAGCGTAGTTATACGTTTTCTTAAGAGAGGGTTAAGGTCGTATAATAACTTAATTATACTATAAGGTCTAGACAGTAAGGGTTTAGCTAGTGTTTCTCTTACTCTCTTTTTCTTTTAGTATAATAAAAGGTTATACTCTTACCTAATAATCTATAACTTATAACGTTTATAATAACTATAACTCTATATACTATAAATAATAGTATAAGAAAAAAAAACATATAATAACTTATCTTTATACCTAGTAGTGTGTTATATAACGCCTGCCTTACTAGGTGTTCTATTCCCTCTTCTTTTACTACTCTTGTTCTTTATATAATACTAGTATAGTAGTGTTAGTTAGTATAGACGTAGGTTCTTAAGTAAGGGCTTAATACCTTACCTACTTAACTAAGTACTATACCTAGCTATCCTAGCCTTATCGTATAGTATACTTTTTTATAATCCTCTTAATATAGTATTCTTCTTTCTCTCTTATAATTATAGGCCTAGGCTAATCGTTAGTTACCTCTTATAATAAGAACAGATTATATAATACTAGATATAAGAGGTTAGAAGAGAACACGTTATAGATCCTTAGTAAGGTATTAAGCTAGTAGCTATATAAACCTATAACCTTTGTTACTATAAACTTAGTATACTTTATATTAAGCTTCTTTAATAAATAGCTTGTATAGACGTTCTATAGGTTAAGCTAGACCTTATTACTAACATTAAATCGTACGGCCTATAAGTACTACTAATTTATTAAGTCTACAGATCTATACCGGCAAAGTTAGACTCTAGGCTTTCCTTTTTAAGTATAGAGTACTAGAGGTAGCGACCCCCTAGTGCCCTTACAGTAAGGCCCTAGAGATAGCGGCTTACCTAATCCTTAACTACTAGTAGCTAGACTAATAGTAGTAGGCCTTATAGTAAGTACTTTACCTAAGAGCGCTATAGACGTTCCGCGACTTTATAGTAGTAATAGTAAAAGGTAAGAGCGCTTATATACTAATCTATTAGCTACTGTCTACTAGCTAATTCCTATAGTTCTGTCTAGCTAAGCGCTATCTAGTAGAGGAGTTATAAGAGAAAGAGTAGCCCTAGCTAGTAGCTAGTACTCTACTAGCGCCTTACTAGTGTCCTGTTAGTATATTTAGTATTACTAGGCTAGAAGGTTAAGTTCTAGTAAGGTAGTAATAAAGACCTAGCGCCTTAGTAGCACTATAATAGTGTAAACATAAGTAGTAGTACATAGGTTTTTACCTAGCTTTAGTACGGTTTTACTACGTGATTTATATAGTATAAAGGTTCTGTATATAGTAGGCATAGGTAGTAAGAACAATAATAATAATTTATTAAGTCCTCTTATACTTATTAGGCTATAGCTATTAATGTCTATACCTACTTAGTTGTATCTTTAAGCTTTCTTATAATATTATCTACTTACTAGGTAAGGCTCTTATAAGTACTATATAGCATTAAGTCGTATAATGTCTAGATTAGGCTAATATAGTACCTATAGGTTAAGAAGAAAGGGCTTACTCTTATAGATATTATATCTTAATTATTAATTACTAACTCTATAGTTAGTAGTAGCTTAGCCTAATTGTCTTAAGCGTAATTCGTAAATATATAAAGGTATATCTTTACTATTTAGTTTATATACTCTATTAACTTGTCTGTTTTAGAGTAGAACGTAGTTAATAACCTTTATATAATCTTTAGATATATGTAGATCCGTGCTTATACGATTCTTATAAACTATAGTCCCTTATTAGATATGATTACGTATAGTAGTTTATAATATTAGTAAAAGTATTATATAAACGTATTAACTACGTCCTTTAC